TTAGAGTGTAATTAGCATGTTTAATTATAGTGTGTGCATATAAACACGGTCAACGACCGGGCCATCGGCGAGCCAAACTCCTCCCGCCCCCATAAATCAGCATCCCCCCTCCAGCCCATCGTTACCATCGCCTGTCCCTTCCTCATCCTCCTCATGTCTGTCCCCCTCTCTTTTTTTGTCGTCTCTCCACGTATCTCTTTCACGCCTTCCTCTCATCGCCTCTCTTATACCTCCTCCTCTCTTATCATCCTACTCCTCGTCTCTCTCCTCGTCTCTTCTCCTCCTCGTCTCTCCTTGTCCTCCCCCATCATCTCTCCTCGCCATCTCTCCTCACTATCGGCCCTTCTTTCTCGTGTCGCTCTCATCTCCCCCCTAACCCTTATTGCCTCTCTCCCCGTCTCTCTGTCCCCCCCTCCTGGGTTTCGCCACCCACCCTCCGGGGGTTCTGTTCGCTGATCTCATCGTCCTCAAACCCCCAACACGCTCACCAGACGCCTTCGCCTTGCTCCCCACGGGCTCAGGGAGGCATCGAGTAAAGTGGTGGAGGGCTAAGCGCTAGGGGAGACATCGAGTACAGTGGTGGAGGGGTGAGCGCTAGGGGAGACATCGAGTACAGTGGTGGAGGGCTGAGCGCTAGGGGAGACATCGAGTAAAGTGGTGGAGGGGTGAGCGCTAGGGGAGACATCGAGTAAAGTGGTGGAGGGCTGAGCGCTAGGAGAGACATCGAGCAAAGTGGTGGAGGGCTGAGCGCTAGGGGAGACATCGAGTAAAGTGGTGGAGGGCTGAGCGCTAGGGGAGACATCGAGTAAAGCTGTGGAGGGGTGAGCGCTACGGTTGGGGCTCGAGAATAGCGTCAGAGCTCGGCCTATGGACAGATATGATTCGTCTTAGCCAGGGATTAACGTCTCAATCGATATTTTCCGGAACGCTGCTAGGCTGGCCTGGAGTAGGTATTGTCGGCGTAAGGCACTACCACGAGAGTGCAACGTAAGTCTATCTACAAAACACCATCTTATTGTGTCCCTATATGCCTATAATCCTATGAACAGGTTGGTATGTATTTGCTATGTGTGATTATTGGAACCAAATGCGGACACTATAAGGCCAAACTATTCCGGCTGCAAATCAGCACTTGCATTAAGGTTGGATCTTGTGTTAGAAGGTTAGGATTGAACTTGTCGGAGTGGGGGGGGGGGCTGACGTGTGGTAGTTTGGGGGGGGGTTCCATCCCCCTCCCCCCGCGTTGCATCTAAACCGCCGCCCTTTGTTATCGCCTCCATCTGTGCTCATTTGGCCAAAAGCGAGCGCCTCCCTTAATCCATATGCGAGGGGAGGGAGCGAGGGGAGGGAGCGGAGTGGGGGTGGGGGAGGGGTGGGGGAGGGGTGGGGGCCACCTGGTGCCCACTCTGTCCGCGCTCCAGCGAGGCGATGAGTCCTGGGGAGCGGAAAGCAGCTCAGGGCAGACGGGGCAAAGGCGGGGGCAGGCGGGGGCGGTCGGGGGCAGTCCCTCTTCCTCACGCCCAGTGGCTGTTCATGGACAGGGCAGGGGGACAGACGGAGCGTGGCGCTGCTGTTGTGTGGCGGTGGTGCGGTCAGAGAGCGGTGTGTGGGGGTGGCGCCAGGAGCCACGCGTTTCCCTTCGGCAGTGGGGAATGCCAGGGGCGGTGAGGGAGTTGCTAGGGGATGTGGGGAGGGTGGCCCAAGGGAGGTGAGGGAGTTGCTAGGGGATGTGGGGAGGGCGGCCCAAGGGAGGTGAGGGAGTTGCTAGGGGATGTGGGGAGGGTGGCCCAGGGGAGGTGAGGGAGTTGCTAGGGGATGTGAGGAGGGTGGCCCAGGGGAGGTGAGGGAGTTGCTAGGGGATGTGGGGAGGGTGGCCCAGGGGAGGTGAGGGAGCTGCTAGGGGATGTGGGGAGAATGGCCCAGGGGAGGTGAGAGAGTTGCTCGGAGCGATTAAGGGTTTGCTATGGAGACGAGGTGAGGTTGTTAATGTGGGGGGGGGGGGGGGGGGGGGGGTTGATTTTGAGTGTCACAATCGCGCCCATCTGTTGTCCTCTCCCGGCCTCCCTGGGGAAGGGGAGTGCGGAGTGAGCGCACGCGTGCCTCGTGCCCTCCCCGTGCTGCCCTCGACCGCGATGGTGTTACCACTGCCCTCGTGCTGTCCACAAAGCAGGGCGCTCTCTCGTGGCCATCGCTAATCAAGCGTCAGCCATGGCGAAGGTGTACACCGACGCCACCGCCGTGCACAGCAGGCGGTGGCCACCTCTTCCATCACCGTGCCCATTACCCTCCCCTCGTCATCATCCTCAGCTCCGTCCCGTGTAGAGCGCCCCCCCCCCCCTCCCGAGGAGAGGGGTCCAGGGCTGTTGGTGCGGTTGCCCCTGGTAACGGAGGCATTACGGGGATGCTGAGCGGCAGAGCAGAATGTAATTACGCGCGAGGCGAGGCGGCGTGTGTACTCGCAAAATAATCCCCTGCGAGGAAAAAGGGGGGGGGGCTGACCATGATCCCCTCGGCCGATCCCCTCGGCCGGTGTGGCGGTGTCGGGGGCACATTTGGTGCCTCGTGCCGCGCACAGCTGGGGGGGTGGGGGTGGGCGAAAGTTTGAATGCGCATCACGAGGCTAGCGCCTCGAAAAAATGACCCGCCGATGGTGACGCTTGCAAAATACGGAGCCACGATGATGACGTTGAAGGTGAAACCATTTCCCACCGACGATGAAGATCCATCATGGGAAGGAGATCGGCTCTTCGTGCCGCGCCTCCTGCTCGTGACCTCGTTCCCAGGTCCTGCTGCTCGCGCTGCGTTCACTCCCCATCACCATTCGAGTTTCATTACCACAACATCCCACGCGCGGGCCTCTGTGTGTGTGTGTGCGTGCCTGTGTGTGGGGAGCGGTGGTGTAGCGGTTAGCGCGCTGCGCTACGAACCCGGCGTCCCGAGTTCGATTCTCGCTCATAACCAACACTCAGTTACGATTATCTGAACCGGTACCTGGGCCTCCAGTAGGTCGACTCAGCCTCAAATGAGTACCTGGTACGATGTGTAAACATCGCCACTAGGGAGACAAAGGCGATCGGGTGTGGTGTTGGTCACCCACCCCCTCGTGTGCCGTACCGGCGTTCATCGGTGCTCGCTAACAGCACTTGCCCCACAGTCTGTTAAGGCTATACGGGGGATCTTTGTCTGTGTATACGTTCGTGTGTGGCTGTGTGGCTGTGTGGCTGTGTGGGTGTTTTTTTAATTTGCTTGCGCGTATATGCAGCGGTAGTAGTCAGCGCACGAGGCTACGAAAGTTGGCGACCCGAGTTCGATTCACGCTCACATTCACGCTCACATTCACGCTCACATTCACGCTCACATTCACGCTCACAATCAGAAGCGAATATCTGCACCGGCCTTGAGCCTCCCTGAGAACAGATCGACAACAGCCTTAAATTGAGTGTCTGATGCGGTGCGTATTAAACATCACCACTGGGGGAGATAAAGGCGGCCAGCCGTGCTGCTTGCTGGCCACATTGCTGTACTCCCCCGTGCGTCGTGTCGGCTTTCGCAGGCGCTCGCTAAACAGCACTTGCCCCAGCAGCCTGTGAAAGGCTATACGGGGGAACTTTTTCTTTGCGTGCGCCCGTCCGCGTGCGCTCGCGCGTGCGTGCGAGGCGTTTCGCGCGAAGGCCCGCGGAAGGGCTCCGCACCCTTCTCCTCCCCGCGCCTAAACGCCCGTGTAATTGTCCGGTAATTAGCGCATCATTGTTTCCTTCATCACGCGGTCGCCGGCTCCATTAGGACACGGCGCGGGCGAGCGCCACTTTGGCTAGGCGGGGCGCCGCGAGTCCGGATTTACGCCACCGCGATGACTTCAAAGTGCCCGAACGCGGCCGAGCTCCTGCAGCCGCGAGGCGGGGTTACGAGTGGGCCCCACGAGTGGGCCCCACCAGTGGCCTCCTGTGATGGGGTCGCGAGTCTAACCAAGGGATCCGAGAAGGAGATCACCCCGCCCCCCCTCCCCCCTTGCCCCCTCGGATGGGTCTACACGGGGACGCGCCGCACTCCCTCCATCCCATTCCGTCCATAAATTAATTTCGCGATGAATTTCACGGAGAGCCGCGCCGGCGCGCCTGCCAGCTGGCTCCCCCCTCCGCGAGGGACGGACGGTGGGAGAGAAGGGGGGAGCGACCCGGGCAGGGAGTCGAGCCCAGCGGCCGGCAGCTGCCGCTGATGAGCAGCGTGGTGTTGGTGGCTCGCGGACTCAATCCGTGGTGGCTATGCATAGCCAGGGGCTTAGCGGGGGCATTGCGGGGCAATCCTGTTGATCCGGGAAAAAACAAGCACTGGCAATGCACGCAGGCACACCCTGTCTGCGCGTGTGCAGAGGAGGAATCCTTGACTGCCCTTGGAGGAAGCAGGGCCTTGAGAGGTCGACATTCGTGGTTTCTGAGCCTCCGGAAAGGGGGTCACCGTCTCACGCATCACTGTGGAGCCCTGTGAACTAGGGGAGCTTGTGTTGTTAGGGTGAGCTGATCCACAATCTTGGGAGCTCTAACCAAGGGGATCCTGTCTCAGATGACTCTCATTCAGGGGTCACGGTCTCACAGAACCCGATTCCAGGAGTTCTGACCACGGAGATCCTGACTGAGCCCGGGGGTCCGGACACAGGGTACCAGTCTCACAGACTGCTCTTTAAATGCAGCTCGCGAGCATCACGTGTGCGCGCTTAATGAAGAAGTCTGGGAGCCGGGGACGTTTAAATGGATTCATCGATTGTGGAGAGCGGGGCCAGGTAATGATGGAGAGCGCTGAGCTTTCGGGATCTTCCCAGCAACACACCATGGAGACCTGGCTCCAAACCCCTCCTACTGCCCGGCTCACAATTTCCATTTGCAATATCTGGCTCACAGCCAGCACCACCAGGGAAACTGTCCGGCTCACAACGACCACCACCACTCCTGTGTGTGTGCTCCCATGTGACGTGTTTGTGTGTGTGGTTGTCTTTGTGTCGACAGACGCAGATGTCAGCCGCGCTCACCAGCCTCTCCAGCAAGGCCAAGGAGGCTAAAGAGCTCCTGGTGCAGCTCAAGAGTCTGAGCCACAAGATCCAGGTACGGGGGCGGCACCGTTAGGTTCACCGAAACCAACGCCCTCATATTTCACACCGGATGACCTCGCTCACTGAGCAATTTGCGTATTGTGGGAGGAAACTGGAGAAGAACCACACACACACGAAGACAAGCTCCGCGCAGATGGATTCAAGAATCCATTGGTATACTGACAATTAATAATTTATGTATTATGTTTGAGGGGTTTTTTAACCCAGGAAAGTCTCACCTATTCGCAAGCTACTTTTTCAGGAGGGTCCTGCCTAGGTGTTGCAGTCAGGAGGCAATGTTGTTGCTGTGTGGATCTGATGTCAGTAATGTTCACGGAATTTTTCAGCATGGGATATTTGGCCAATACCAGTTGCATTTTATGTTGTGTTGTTTAGCTATGGGAGGAAATCGGAGAACGCAGATGAAACCCTTGCAAAACAGGGAGAGAACATACAAACTCCACACATTCACACACACACAATAAATATATATTTATACAGGAAGGATCCGATGAGCTATGAAGCTCTTTTTCACAGATGTCCAGTAGGGGCGGGTAAGAACGTTACAAGAACAAACAATACAGAAACATGATAGTAGTACAAAGTAGAAGAAAGATAAACAAATCACTCAAATACAAAACAAATAAAGCATCCCCATCCTCCCAGTCAGAGCCAACTGAAGTATTAACTTGTTTTTCAGAAGCGACCTGCCCACGAATGATAGCTCAACAAAGTGGCTTACCATTTGGACATGCATAGCAGCAAAATAATGTAAATAATATCAATTCATGTTTCTAATTGTGGAGGGAAAACCGGAGGACCCGGAAAAAAAAAATCCACGCGACCACGGGGAGAACACGCAAACTCCAAATATACAGGCATCAGAGTTGTGATCGAACCCCTGATCTCCTGTATGCTAGACGAGTCATCACCATGGCATAATCACGAGCTCTCTCTCTCACACACGCAATCACTCTCACACACACACACTGCGAGACAGGGAGAGAACATACTCCTCACACAGAGAGGCGCCCAACTCAGGAACTTCTTTGCTGCGAACCACAAATATTCACCTCGGCGCGGCCACCCCGCTAGCCACCTCGCCGGCACCAAGCCTACAAGAGCCCGGGGCGATTCCCAGGCAGTCTCCCGTCCCAGGCCGAGCCGCGCTGTGCGAAGCGATCGCGACCTCGAGGGAGTCTCCGCGTCCCCGCGGGGGGCTGCGGGACTCCACCGCGGCGGGGTCGCCGCCGCAGCCACCGCTGTTGCACGAAGTGATTAGGACGACGCCGCCGCGTGCCTCTCTCTCGCTGTATGCCTGAGCCATTCCCTCCCCGTCCGATTCATTATTTTTATTATGACGAGCAGAACGGTTATGACCGTGGGTGGGGGGGAGGGGGCAGTGCCCCCTCCCCCCCACCCACCCCCAAACCGGTTTATTTGATGATATCTCGCAATCTGTTTAGAAAATCTATTTAATACAATTTTTGTACACTGCGGTGAATAGAAGCGATTCTAGTTGCCGTAGGGGTCACGCGAATCCATTACAGTACACGTGACGTTTACGGCTAGAAAATAACCGCCCTTGTATCGCGAGCGACTGATGCACCAGGTGCTCATTTAAGGCCAAGCCAACCTAGGGGGAGGCCCTGAACCAGTTCAGATACTCTCCACTGATGATGGCTTGCCGTGCGAGCGGTAATCGAACTCGGGTGACCGGGTTTTGGAGCACAGTCCGCTAACCACTACACCACCGTGTCCTCAATAAATCCACAACCAATACAGTCATCACCACTACAACCGCCACCGCTTACAGCCGCCACGTGCAGAGACCAGAGAGACCAGGCCCCTGCTCTATGCCCGTGTCACTGAGGGCCCCCACCTGGGGTATTAGGTGTTGATCCCGCGCCTCCTGCAGCGTGGACCCCACTTTCCCGGAGATAATGAAGCGTCGGGGTCAACGGGGTCACGCGCTGTGAGGTGGATGGCGTGGGTGGTGGGGAGGGTGGCGAGGTGGACGGTGGGGTAAGTAATGGGGTGGGCGTTGTGGGTAAATGATGGTGGTGACGGTGGGGGGGGGGGGGGGTACACAGATGACAGTGGGGTGCGTGGAGGAGCAGGCATCGGCGTTAATGATGGGATGGGTGATGTGTGAGTGATGGGATGGGTGATGTGTGAGTGATGGGATGGGTGATGTGTGAGTGATGGGATGGGTGATGTGTGAGTGATGGGATGGGTGATGTGTGAGTGATGGGATGGGTGATGTGTGAGTGATGGGATGGGTGATGTGTGAGTGATGGGATGGGTGATGTGTGAGTGATGGGATGGGTGATGTGTGAGTGATGGGATGGGTGATGTGTGAGTGATGGGGTGAGTAATGGGGTGAGCTGTAGGGTGAGTGATCAGATGTGTGATGTGTGAATGATGGGGTGAGCGATGTGGTGAGTGATGGGGTGAGCGGTAGGGTGAGTGATGAGATGGGTGATGTGTGAATGAAGGTGTAAGCGGTGGGGTAAGTGATGCGGTGAGCGGTGGGATGAATGATGGGGTGAGTGGTTGCGGGGTGGTAGACACCGCATGGATGAATCTCACTTGAGACGGTACCCTAAACGTGACGCTAACCCCGACCATCACCCTATCGGAGATCTCGCTGGGGGGCCGCCCTGGCACGCGTCGTGGGGGGAAGGAGGAGGGGGGGGGTGATGAGGCATTGGCCCGAAGCACGGCGCGTTCCGAGTGGCTCTCTTTAAGTGGCCCCAGATTAACATTGAGAGCTTGTTAGGGCGGTACAACCCATCTCCCGTACCGCCCGTATCTCTCTCATCTCCAATACCTCCAGTACCGCCCACATCTTCCGCACTGCGAGCATCTCCATTTCGCACCCCCATGAGCACGGTTGGCTACCACGTAAGGTGCGAAAGAAGGTCAACATGCACACGTACATCTCTCACATTGCCCCGACATCTCCCGCTCTCTGCGTCGACCTCTCACCAGAGTCCGCGCCCGCGCGCTTGAGGATCGGGTGAAAACAAATAAATGAATAATATAATCAACGGGACCGACAATCAAACATCACGGGCCGCTTTAACAGGGGGGAACAAACCAAGTGCAAGAGGGCCTTCCTCCCCGGGGGTGGTACTTGACGAGCGACGCGCGGTGGCGCATTAGAGTGTAGCGAATTAAAGCGAAGCGCATTAGGGATGTAGCGAGTTAAGGGGGTGACGCATTAGACGGCTGCATGGGGAGACGCGTGGAGGCGGGGGCGGCACGAGCCGAGTGGGGGAGTTGGGGGCGAGGGGGGGCAAACAGACGGGGGCCCCCCCCTTCCACTACCCCTCCCCCCTTCTCGTCTTCCTCCACCAAATCTCCATGGCCGCGGACAGCTGCTCCGTGCGATTGGCGGAGTCCGCGTCGGCCCCCAGCACCCGCGTGTTGTCCGCGGTGCCCGCGATGCCGGGATAGATAACGGGGGAGGGAGGGAGGGAGGGAGGGGAGGGGCTGGAAGAGATGAAGGGAGGACGAGATAGCGGGGGAAGGATGCAGAGAGGGAGCGATGGAGGGACGGGAGAACTCTATGAAGGACACATTGAGGGAGTGAAGGATGAAGGGAGGGATGGGTTGAAGAAGATCATTATGAGCGAGGAGGGAGTCGATGACGAATGGAAGGAGGAATTATTGGATTGATGGAGGGTGAGTGTTAGGGAGTGAAGGAGGAAGTGATAAATGCATTTATGGAGGAAGAGGAGTAAGAAGGGATGAGAGAGGAAGTGATGGAGTGAAGGAGGGGGAATGGAGGGAGCAAGGGAAATGCGTGGAGTAAGGCAGTTAAATAGAGAGGAAGGATGAATTGAGTAAGGGAGGGAGTGAAAGCGGGAAGGATGAATTGAGTAAGGGAGGGAGTGAAAGCGGGAAGGATGAATTGAGTAAGGGAGGGAGTGAAAGCGGGAAGGATGAATTGAGTAAGGGAGGGAGTGAAAGCGGGAAGGATGAATTGAGTAAGGGAGGGAGTGAAAGCGGGAAGGAGGGATGAATGGATTGATGGAGGCGCCACCCCTCGCCGCGGGCTGCTTGCTCGCGTGGAATATTAATTGCCTGGGACGCGGAGCCATCTCATCTCATCTCGGGGGGAGACCCGCGCTGCCGAGAGAGGGAGGGAGGGGGCAGGAGGAGGAGGGAGGAAGATTCTGCGGGGAGACGAGGGCGCGGATTTTACAGAATTTACTGCGGCAGCGCCCGCGGGATGAAGCTCATTGATTAAAGTTTTATTATTTTATTAAAAGGAGCCACGTGTGGGGTCGGACCCCCGCCTACACCCCCAGCTGAGGGCCCAGAACACGGCAATGGCGAGAGGAGGGGGCCCAGACCCCCCCCCCCAATCACGACCAACCACCAGCCTCACGTTCCAGACCTCTGTGCCTGTGCGATCCGCGCAGTGTGTGATTAGCGCTGCGTGTCTGTGCATCCGTGCTGCCTCCCCGCATGATCGGCGCTGGGCGGGCGGTGCTGCGTGCCTGCGTAATCAGTCCTGTGTGTGATCAGCAGCGTGTGCCTGTGAGATCGATCGTATGTGAATGGGGTGTGTGCTCGGTGGTGTGTGTGTGTGTGCCTGTGCGATCCGTGCGGCGAGCGGTAGTGTAGCGGTTACCGTGCTGCGCTACGAACCCGGCCACCCGAGTTCGATTCCCGCTCACGGAAGAACACCAGTGACGATTATCCGAACCAGTTATAGGCCTCCCTTAGGTCGACTCAGCCTCAAATTAGTACCGAGTACGGTTTGCAAGCATTGCCACTAGGAAGACAAAGGCGGCCGGGCGTGATGTTGGCCACCCACCCCCTCATGTGTCGTGCCGGCCGTCATAGGTGCTCGCTAACAGCACTTGCCCCGACAGTCTGTTAAGGCTACACGGGGGCTTTTTGTGCGCGTGTGCGCGTGTGCGCGTGTGCGCGTGTGCCCGTGTGACCCCCGCCACGTGTCCGTGTATGCTGGGGTGCTGCAGGAGAGCGGCGTGGAGCTGGAGGCGAGTCTCGTGGCGCAGTGCGACGCCCTCGTGGAGGAGCTGAACCGGCGCAAGGCGCAGCTCCTCACCAAAGTGAGCGCCGAGAGGGAGCACAAGCTGAAGGTGAAGACTCGCCCGCACTCACCACGCTCGGCACACACACACACTCGTCAGACCCGCCGAACCGGCCCTCGCCACACGCTCACTCAGCACACATTCACTGCACCGTCAGTGTCACTCACCAGGTGAAATGTCGCTCACCAGACTCACACTGACCATACACGCACCACACGCTCACCAGACTCACACTGACCATACACGCACCACACACTCACACTGACCATACACGAACCACACACTGACCATACACGCACCACACTCACCAGACTCACACTGACCATACACGCACCACACTGACCACACACTGACCACACACTCACCACACTCATCAGACTCACATTGACCATACACTCACCAGACTCACACTGACCATACACGCACCACACACTCACCACACTGACCATACACGCACCACACACTGACCACACTCACCAGACTCACACTGACCACACACTCACCAGACGCACACTGACCATACACTCACCAGACTCACACTGACCATACAGGCACCACACACTCACCAGACTCACACTGACCATACACACACTCACCAGACTCATACTGACCATACACGCACCACACACTCACCAGACTCACACTGACCATACACGCACCACACACTCACCAGACGCACACTCACCAAAACCACACGCACACCATAACAAATATCTCCCCCGTATAACCTTAACAGAATGTTGGGGCAAGTGCTGTTAGCGAGCAGCAGCACCTATGAAAGCCGGGTGGGTGACCACCACCGTGCCCGCACACACCACCCAGTCACCACAAACTCCCACACATTAATCCCACCGACCCTCACCACTCACTCCCCTGCCCCTGTGAGTCGTGTGACGGGCAGGTAATTATCACGAATGGGGGGGCTGTACCCCCTGGAGCCGTGCCACACTAACGAGCACTCAGGGAGGGCCCCCCGGGAGCCCCCCCCCCCCCCCCCCCCACCACCCCACCCCCGTCCTCTGTATAAAATAAAGAAAGAAAATCTAAAAATTAACGAGAGACGCTCTGGGACCTTGGCGGTTGTCGTGGTAACAGCCGCGCAAAAAAATATCGGACCGTCGGGTTCTTTGCGGCGGTGAGGTTGTGGCGAGGCGGCGTGTCTCCGGGAATCCTCCGTCAGGAGGGTCTCACGTATGAGCGAGCACGTGTCGACCGTGACACAGAGATTGCCTTCACGTGCGAGCAACATGGAGAGCCCGGGGGAAAGGCAGTCAACAGGCTGCACACGAGGGGATTAACGCTCAAAGCTCCGCACAGATCGATTTAAACGTTTAATTGCTGCACTGCCATCTCCTGGTCATTATACAGCCCAAGGCTGCAACCAGGGGTATTCCCCAAGCAGCCTACCACACAAGTATGTGCAGTGTTTAGTTTGGTGTCCTTCCCCGTACCTCCGATTAGCACGGTCGGCTACGTACGGTGCGAAAGAAGTTCAGCATACATAACCAGGTTCCCACCTGCTTAGCTTCTGAGATCTGCCGAGATATGAATCCGTGAGGAGTAATCTGGTTGTAGGCGTGGTGCCGAGGTTGTGGTGATTGAGTCTCGTGTGGTGAGTGGGGGGGGTGGCGTTGGTTATGGTGAAAGTCGAGCCTGCTGAGGGTGTGTTGTGGTGAGGGTGGATGGGAGGGATGCAGGTGAAAGTCTAAAGTGGTGAGAGCAAGGTCCAAGTTTAGCTGGAGCTGTCCGGGGTCTGAGCTCCAGAAATGTATAATCAAGGCCCTTCACGACGTGAGATACACTGGGAGGTTTGTAACAAAAGACTCCCACGAGTTAACGAAGCCCCCTGCGAGAGGGGCGGCGGTGAGATTCACCCCAACCGGGCGGATTTTATCGGGGGCAGCCCCCCGTTGCCCGCGCTGCCCTGCGCAGTCGCCGTTGTTGTGCGAGGCCCCCCCCGGCAGAAGCTTCCCGGGGAGGCCGTGAGGAGCGGTCCCGGTCGCCTAGGCAACAGTAGTAGCCCGTGGCTGCGCTTTGAAGCCACGGTCCGGCGCTCCCCCCCCCCTCTCTCTCCCTTCTCTCCGTCTCTCTCCCCACTCTCCCCTCTCTCCCCTCTCTCCGTCTCTCTCCCTTCTCTCCGTCTCTCTCCCCTCTCTTCCCTCTCTCCCCTCTATCTGTCTCTCTCTCTCTGTCTCTCCGTCTCTCTCCCCTCTCTCCGTCTCTCTCCCCTCTCTCCGTCTCTCTCCCCTCTCTCCGTCTCTCGCCCCTCTCTTCCCTCTCTCCCCTCTCTCCGTCTCTCTCCCCTCTCTCCGTCTCTCTCCCCTCTCTCCGTCTCTCTCCCCTCTCTTCCCTCTCTCCGTCTCTCTCCCCTCTCTCCGTCTCTCTCCGTCTCTCTCTCCGTCTCTCTCCCCTCTCTTCCCTCTCTCCCCTCTCTCCGTCTCTCTCCCCTCTCTCCGTCTCTCTCCCCTCTCTCCGTCTCTCTCCCCACTCTCCCCTCTCTCCGTCTCTCTCCTCTCTCTCCGTCTATTACCCCTCTCTCCGTCTCTTTTTTTCCATCAGAGGAAACAAGAAGATGCTCGGTGTAGTCGGCACTTTGCTTCATTCATAATTTCGTTATTTTTTTGTAATGCTTTGCTTTATGTAACCCCCCCCCCCCCTTTTTAAATCAAATATTAAACAAAAGATTTCTCGCATTGCTCTCCTTACCTTTTCTCTCTACCCCCCCTCTCTGCCCCCCTCTCTCTCTACCCCCTCTCTTCCTACTCCATGTCGCTCTCGCTCTCTCTTGCTCACTCTCTCGCTCTCTTTTTTTTATAACTACGACAAGTGCTGCATCTGCACGCAGCCCTCCTCAGTCAAACGGCCTCCGACGGGTAGCTCATATCTGAATGCAGAGCTCTCCGTCATCTGCCACCGAGCACACTGCCTCCTCCAGCGCCCACTGCTCCTTGAAGGCCGGCACGGCGTGGGTCAGCCGCGCATGGCGGAACTCCAGCCACACCCTGGCTCCGACCAGAGCGCGGAAGATGCCCAGGCTGCTGGCCGGACGTTGCCCCTCCAGGGCCACCTTCCTCGCCCTGTATATGGCGAGCTTGGCGTAGCCGACGAGCACGTTGACCAGCCCCTGAAGATGTTGGGGTCCGTCGCCCTTCGGGTATCCAAAGATGAGGACCGTCGGGGAGAAGTGGAGGCTGAACCTTAGGAGGATGTTTATCAGGACCTTGAAGAACGAGTCCAGGCTCTTGCACTCCACGTATTGGTGCGCCACCGTCTCCACTTTACCGCAGAACCGGCACTCTGGGGACGTGTCGGTGAAGCGCGCCAGGGAGGCGTTGACGGTGACGGTGCCATGGGCGATGCTCCAGCTGAGGTCGCCGATGCGGTTGTACGTCGGGCTGGAGAAGAGTTGCCTCCAGCGAGGCCTCTCCGGAGAGACGCAGAGCAGGGCTTTCCTCCAGGCATGGTCCTTGTGGCTCCTCAGGGTGTCCTGTTGGTGAAACCGGACCATGTAGGAGTAGAGCACCTTCCTCTTTACATTTGCGAAGGCCACCTCCGGTAGGTCTTCCAGCCGGTACAGGTTGTGATCCGCCTTCGTTTGTCGGCATTGGCGATGCAGTGGCACGACTGAGATCTCCGGTGGAGGGGGACCGAGAGGGGCCTCGTCATCCTCAACGCCGATGGGGGGCGTTCTCCCCGCTGCCGCTCTCTCTCGCTCTTTTTTTAAACTACGACAAGTGCTGTATCTGCACGCAGCCCTTCTCACAGTCAAACGGCCTCTGATGGGTAGCTTATATCTGCATGCAGAGCTCTCCGTCATTTGCCACCCAGCACACGGCCTCCTCCAGCACCCACTGCTCCTTGAAGGCCGGCACGGCGTGGGTCAGCCGCGCATGGCGGAACTCCAGCCACACCCTGGCTCCGACCAGAGCGCGGAAGATGCCCAGGCTGCTGGCCGGACGTTTCCCCTCCAGGGCCACCTTCCTCGCCCTGTATATGGCGAGCTTGGCGTAGCCGACGAGCACGTTGACCAGCCCCTGCTGAGGTCGCCGATGCGGTTGTACGTCGGGCTGGAGTAGAGTTGCCTCCAGCGAGGCCTCTCCGGAGAGACGCAGGGCAGGGCTTTCCTCCAGGCATGGTCCTTGTGGCTCCTCAGGGTGTCCTGTTGGTGAAACCGGACCATGTAGGAGTAGAGCACCTTCCTCTTTACATTTGCGAAGGCCACCTCCGGTAGGTCTTCCAGCCGGCACAGGTTGTGATCCGCCTTCTCTCTCCCCTCTCTCCGTCTCTCTCCGTCTCTCTCCCCTCTCTCCGTCTCTCTCCCCTCTCTCCGTCTCTCTCCGTCTCTCCGTCTCTCTCTGTCTCTCTCCCCTCTCTCCGTCTCTCTCCCCTCTCTCCGTCTCTCTCCGTCTCTCTCCCCTCTCTCCGTTTCTCTCCCCTCTCTCCATCTCTCTCCCATCTGTCCGTCTCTCTCCCATTTCTCCGTCTCTCTCCGTCTCTCTCCCCTCTCTCCGTCTCTCTCCCCTCCCTCCGTCTCTCTCCCCTTTCTCCGTCTCTCTCCGTCTCTCTCCCCTCTCTCCGTCTCTCTCCACTCTCTCCGTCTCTCTCCATCTCTCTCCGTCTCTCTCCCCTCTCTAATCCCCGCGCCGCGTCAGCAACTGGCGGTGCGTTCCCATGACAGCGGCAGCCACCGCGGGGTTGACCGGGCAGGCAGCAGCGAGCGACTCCTGGACACGGGGCCGGGGTTGGTGGCGGGCGGTGGAGACTGCGGGAGGGGATGCGGCGATGGTGGATATGGGCGGTGGGGTTATGGATATGGTGGGATGAAAGAGAGGGGTGTATGTGTGGGGGGGGGGGGGGGGGGGGGGCATTCCCGCCAAGCCCTTATGAGTGCCCTACCTTATTACAGAACGATTCAGACCTTATTGGTCACCCCCATGCCACTTGTAAATCTCAACGTGCATCCTACAAAGTCCCATCACAAGGGAGAAACACAAACAAATAGACAACATTATTTTTTTAAACTCAATTTCCCTGTACAAGAATACGCGTAAACCGTACGGGTTGACAGCTATGGGGGAATGTTGTGAATGTCGGGGGTGGGGGTGGATATGGGGAGGTGTGATGATACTGAGGATATTGGATAGGTGTGCATGTGTAGGGGAGGGGTGCGTGGGGGGAGAGGTGTCGATGTGGGGGGAGGGGCGCGGCTATGGGGGAAGTGAGGTAAATATAGGGGAGGGGAGGTGAATATGGGGGGAGAGGTGTGGATGTGTGGGGGGAGAGGTGTGGGTGTCGGGGGTGGGGGGAATATGGGGAAAGTGATGTGAATGTGGGGGGGGGGTGCATATGGGGGAGGTGTGGATGTGGGATGTGAGGGTGGAGGGGAGTGGTTGAATGAGCGGGGAGACGGGATGAGCGGTGTGCGGTGTTCGCCGCGTGATTGGTCGTATTTCTCGGGGAGCGGGGCGAGCTTCACCAAGAGCGGCGTGAATGATGGGCGCCCGCCGGGCTGAGCCTCTCGCGCCGTCACCGTTCAATTTATTGCGTGGACGAGGCGGCGCGCACAACGCCGCGGACATCCAAGGCGGCACGACATCGCCTTCGACGCACAACGCCCTTGGTTGGCATCGCAGAGATCGAGGGAATGAATCCAACAATGAATATATCTGAGATGTTGGTTTAACTCCATTGATAAAAAAATAAAATGAAACAATAACCAAGGCTACTATGGTCCGCTCGGAACAACCGGCTGGCGAATTCCGAGAACTCTCTCATCATCATTATCTCTCTCTCTCTCTCTGCGGCCTTGGGGTTCATTCCGCAGTGGAGCGCTCGCGCTCCCGTGTGGGATGCGAACCTCCACACCGAACAGCGGGACGCCGCCGTAAACACGGCCACAAGGAGCTGTCGCGGTGCGCTTTGGGGGGGGAGGGGGGGGTGCGACGACTCCTTCACCCCGAATTGTCTGCGCTGTCAAACATCTCTCCCTGCTGGCTCCCGAGATCCCGCACACCCTGCCAAAGGACTTCTTTCCTTTCCACAAAAACAGCCGCACCGCGGCAGGCCAACAAAGATCTGCCACGAAATCCGCGAAGATTTACGAAATTTACCGAACGCCCTTCCGAGATCGCGCAAAATCGTCCCCTTAAGCTCGTCCGGAGCCCTTGCATACCCGGTGCACCGGCACCTCGGAGAAATTTGCGACCGATTTGAGGCGGACGCCGCAATCCCAAACAAGCCGCCTGACCGGCGGTCCCCGCGAAATAACCTCTGGGATTTAATCTCGAGCGTGGAAACACTGGTCCACGTATCCGCATGTCCCAGTGCAGAGCCACCCACTACAACTCACATACAGGTGGACATTCGGAGAGGGCTCTGCGTGCTGCTATGGAAACAATGACCGGGCCATGGACCGCATATTAACACCCACCTCCAACTGTGAACATTCAACAGAAGGAAGCATTGACGCCATCTACCGCACATCAAGTGAAGCTTTTTCCTGCCAAACGAATCTGCACATAGATCTATAAGTAGCTATTCAGCCAGTCATACGCAAGAGGCAAGAGTAAGTGTTATTGGCGTGCAGAGAGAGCGAGAGTGTGTGTGTGGTGAATGTAGCGTGGCTGATATGTGGAGGAGAGTGATGAGGCTGTGAGTGGTGTGTTTGTGTACGCAGACTGTGGCTGGTGAGCCGAGGAGCTATGTGCAACAGCTGGTGAGCGATGCGGTTGATGTGCAATGTGGCTGGTTAGTACAGCGCCTGGTGAGCGATATGGCGGGTTAGTGTAACGGACGGTGAGCAGTGTGGCTGATAAGATGAAGTAACTGGTGAGTGGATCTTTGGGTGGCAGATTTGTGCCAAAAAGGCGCCACGTGTGTAAGCAAAATAAAAAAAACACATTTTTACTTGACTTGGCCTAGGCGATGTGCAGAAAGGCTGGCGAGCGTTGTGGACGGTCAAGTGTAGTGGCTGACAATTAAGCGGCGTGGCTGATATGCGCGTTGTGCGGCTGTGAGTGCTGTTTGGCCGTGTGAGTGTAGCGGCTTGTGGAATGTTGCGTGCACGCTCCGGCTGGCGAGAGAGTCCGCGCGACTGCTGCAGCGGTGCTCAGCAAAAGCGCCACCGTGGGGTGTGACCCGGCAGGTGGCGCGCGACCAGATGAGTCACTGCAGCGTGAAGCTGCGGCAGACCACGGGGCTCATGCAGTTCTGCCTCGAGGTGATGAAGGAGAACGACCCCGCGGGCTTCGTGCAGGTGACCCCCCCCCCCACACACACACCTACCCCTCGCCCACCGCCCCGTCCCTTGTGCACTCCCGCCCCCCTCGTTACCTGCCCCCCGCTCCACCCCCGCGTTCCTCAACCCCGCCCCTTATCCCGCCCACACTCTCGGGCTTGATCAAATTTCAAGATGATTGGTTCAATCTCTCTCGGCGGCCACATCACCCTAATTCGGCCACATCACTCACATATCAGCCACACCACTCTCATCAGCCACATCACTCTTAGCGGCCACATCACTCTCAGCGGCCACACCATTCTCATCAGCCACATCACTCTTAGCGGCCACATCACTCTCAGCGGCCACACCATTCTCATCAGCCACATCACTCTCATCGGCCACATCACGCTCATCGGCCACATCACTCTCAGCGGCCACATCACTCTCAGCGGCCACATCACTCTCATCAGCCACATCACTCTCATCAGCCACACTACTCTCATCAGCCACACCACTCTCATCAGCCACATCACTCTCATCAGCCACATTACTCTCATCAGCCACACCACTCTCAGCAGCCACACCACTCTCATCAGCCACACCACTCTCATCAGCCACATCACTCTCATCAGCCACATCACTCTCATCAGCCACACTACTCTCATCAGCCACACCACTCTCATCAGCCACATCACTCTCATCAGCCACATCACTCTCATCAGCCACACCACTCTCATCAGCCACATCACTCTCATCAGCAACATCACTCTCATCAGCTACATCACTCTCATCAGCCACATCACTTTCAGCAGCCACATCACTGTCAGCGGCCACACCATTCTCATTAACCACACCATCCTCACCAGCCACATCACTCTCATTAGCCACACCATCCTCACCAGCCACATTACTCTAATTTTATACACCACTCTCATCGGCCACACCGCTTACCAGCCATGCTGCTCATCATCGCCAGTAAATAATGTTTTACCCGTCACTGCAATCATCTTAGCCGCACTAATCAGGTGCTAAGGCGGCATTTGTGAGTGCGGTGTGCTTGCCTGACAAGGATTTTGAAAGTCGCATTTGTCCCGCATCAAGAGGAAAGGTTCCCATGTCCTCGTGTGGATGAGGCTCTGGCTTACAACACCCCCAACCCTTACCCCTTCCCCCCGGCCCCGCCCCCTGTGCTGATCAGGTGTCCGAGGCGCTGACCCGGCGGATAGTGCAGAACAGCGAGCAGTGGAGCAGCAGCGCCCTGACCCCACGTGTGGCGGGCAGCCTGGAGCTGGTGCTGGACAGCGAACCCCTCCTGCAGGCCATCCACCAGCTGGACTTCACCGACAAGCAAGGTGAGCCCCGGTTCAAAGTCATCCCAGCGCATGGACCTCACAGATAGGCAAAGGGATGCCTTGTTTCAAGCCACCCACTAGTTAAACCTGACTGACCAGTGGGCAAGGTGAGCCTTGTAGCCAGGGCTGGTGCTAGGGCGCTGCTGTCTCTTTGGCCCTCCGACGTTCGCTCTGTTGTAGTGGGCCACACTACAGCTCTACTGAACCACACAACCCCCTCCCTGCTCACAGCTGCAATCGTTTCCCAACCAGGGGACACTTGAGCCCGCCAGCACTGGGGCGAGGGGGCAGGAATAATTAGGAGGGAGATCGGGCCCCGTGGCGTGGCTATCGGGTGTGCAGGAGGTGCAGCTGCACCTGGGCCGACGGGCCGGTGAGGCCCAGACACGGGGCTACGAAGAGGCAGTGAGGGGTGAGTTGGACAGTGGCAGTGATGAGGGTTGGGCGGGCGTGGGCGGGCGGGCTGGGGCACCTTTAATCCGCGCACCAGGGCCCCAAAATTCCGGCCACACCACGCCACTGATGGGGCCAGAGAGCCGGAGGAGGAGTCGAGGCCTGCGGCGGCTCGGCCGCCCGGCCGCCCGGCTGGCTGAGTGATGTGCTCAGTTGTGTCCCCAGTGCCCGCGGCGCCCATCCTGCAGCTGGAGGAGTGCCGCCTCGCGGGCTGCGTGGCCACGCTGGCGTGGAGGCCCCAGCCGCTCTCTCCCGTGCCGCTCGACGGCTACGTCCTGGAGCTCGACGACGGCAGCGGCGGCGACTTCAGGGTGGGTCCTCGTCGCCGCACCTCGTCACTCACCTGTGTCCCTCCCACCTCGCCAGTCCCCTTGTCCACTTGGTCCCTCATCCTCCTCACCAATCCTCACCCATCCCTCCTCATTTTCCCCACCTCGTCGCTCTTACCGCATCGCTCCCCAGCACGTCACCCCCCCGCGTCACCCCCACCTTGTAACACATTTGAGTCGAGATGAGCCCAGGTGAACCAACAAGAGGGTGGGCCCAGGTGGTCATTGCAGAGACGTCGGTGGTACCCAGATGCGGCAGCTAGAACGGGTGGGCCGCACGCACACCCGGTGTGACGGCCCAGGTCGCCCGTCCCACCCCGCCCGCGCAAGCGGCACCGGTTGCGCCGGCTTGCTGCGCGGCGGCACCCGTCGCGGGTGTCTAACCGTGCCGGCGGCGACTCGCGAGCCTCACCGGCGACTCGCGAGCCTCACCGGCGACTCGCGAGCCTCACCGGCGCGTGTGCCGCGCAGGAGATCTACGTGGGGCGGGAGACGATGTGCACCGTGGACGGCCTCTACTACAGCAGCGCGTACAAGGCGCGCGTCAAGGGGTTCAACAAGGCCGGCGTGAGCCCATACAGCAAGACGGTGCTGCTGCACACCTCGGACGGTACGTGGTCGAGGGTTCGACTCCCGTACCGGGGGGCGGGGGGGGGAACGCGTGCGGTCTGCCGGCTCCAGTTTGCGCACGCTCGCTGAGAACGGAGGCGGGGGGTCTGGAGCAGCTTCCTTGAGTCTCTGTCGCGGTCCCCAAAGCCCCGAGCCCGTTGGAGGCTCTAGGAGATAGCAAACGCGGGTGGGGGGAGCGTGGGGTACCGCTCAATGTGGGGAAGGGGGTGAGGGTCACGGCAAAAGTGGGTGGGGGGGGGGCATCCGTTAAAACAACAGCCTCAACCTCAATATTAAACCCCATCAGTGGGATGAGATCGTAAGAACCGACCTTGGAGGGCCAGGTGTCAACTGGGTAAATGCTGCTGGATGTGGCAGAAGAAAGCGAGGGCGACGTGCGGCAGCGTTAACGGCCTTGTCAGCGGCTGCCTCCTTAACTCGAACTTGAGTGCCTTCCCAGCAGCCTCGAGGCGCTGCCTCTGAATGGGGACTGGGGGTGGGAGGTCTGGCCGGGGGCGGCACTGCCGTTCATGGCTCTGCTCGCCCCCGACAAGCGGAACCATCGCCGCCGTCGCCAAGCCTGCCGTGTGTTTGTCCCGCAGTGGCGTGGTTTCCCTTCGACGGGAAGAGCGCGCACGCCGACATGGTGCTGTCCAACGACGGGCTGACGGCCACGTGCGGCACGTCGGACGACCGCGTGGTGCTGGGCGCGGCCGGGTTCACGCGCGGGGCGCACTACTGGGAGTTCACGCTCGACCGCTACGACGGGCGGCCCGACCCGGCCTTCGGCGTGGCCCGCGCCGAGGTGGCGCGCGAGGCCATGCTGGGCCGCGACGATCGCGCCTGGGCCATGTACGTGGACAACAACCGCAGCTGGTTCATCCACAACAACTCGCACACCGGCAGGCGAGTGGCGCACCGCCCTGCACACACAGCAGCACCTTGCACGCCCTGCACACGGCACCCTGCATGCGGAACCCTGCATTCCCACTTTTAATCTCGCATTCAACATGCTTGGTGTGCTGGGTGCTTGGCGCAGGGCGGAGGGCGGCATCGGGAAGGGCTCCACCGTGGGCGTGCTGCTCGACCTCAACAAGCGCACGCTCACGTTCTTCATCAACGAGGAGCAGCAGGGATCGGTCGCCTTCGAGGGCCTCGAGGGGACCTTCTACCCGGCGCTCAGCCTCAACCGCAACGTGCAGGTGACCGTGCCGTGCCACACCGCACCATGCCACACCACACGGCACAGCACCATGCCACACATCGGACGACGTGGTGCCATGTCAAGGCAGGCCGACACTGCGGAATGCCGCTTCATATCACACCACTCACACCGCACACCGCTACCCCATGCCACACCGCGCCATGCCTCGCCACGCTGCAAAATTCCGACACCAAGCCACGGCACGCCACGCTGCACATACGCTGCGCTCAAGCCACACCGATGTTACTGCGGTCCACCCTGCTGACCCCGTTCCGCACGTGGGCTCGTGTCCCGCAGGTCACGCTGCACTCTGGGCTGGAGGTGCCGGAGTTTGTGAGCGAGGAGCGGCCAGGTGGTTCCTAGCGGGATCACAAGGGGCCGCCAGGGTCTCCGGGGATCTCCGGGGATCTTCGGGGATCTTCAGAGTCACCGGAGGTCGTCGGGGTCACCGGGGGGTCACGGAACCTCATGCTTCATCAGCTTTGATTTGAATGTAATTATCATTGCGCTGTGCTGCGTTAATTTCTGCTGCAGTTCCTTTGCCGCGATTTCAAGAGTCAACCTTGTTCAAATCCTTGTTTTACCGCGCGCGAGAGAGAAACCTCCACCTAACCCCCACACCCCCCTGACGTCATTGCCCCCCCCGCCCCCCCCCCCCAAGTCTGACTGTCACTGCGACCTCCGTCATCGTGACCTTCATCATCCTGATCACAAAACTGCAGTGACCCTTGCGATTAGGTGTAGCGTGGCTAGCGTGGGCCCTGGTGCAAGGAAGGATAGGGGACCACCACTTTGTCAGTCCAAACCCCCCCAGCCCCTTCGGCCCGTGGGCCCCGGTGCAGTTGTACCGACTGCACACGCTCGATAGCTGCACCGCTGAGGTGCAGCGATTCCCCGGTAAGGCAGCAGCGTCTTGGCTGTTGTTTCAGCCTTCTTTGGTGCTGGGGTGCACTGTGAGAGCACACCTGCTCTTGGGGTGCACTTTGAGAAGGCACATCACCCTGACCTCCCCCCACTGCCACCCCCGCTCCCCGCCCCAACAGATGCCGTGGGTGAACCCATCCCTTCCTCCCTCCTCCCCTCCGCCTCGCCTGCCAGGGAAACGCTTTCACTTAATCGCGTGACAGGCGCCTGGATTAGAGGCGCAGGCGAGGGAGGCTGCTGATTGACGGGCAGATAAGTGCAGCGCTTGCAGAGAAACGCGGCCGCGCAGATAGGGACGGTTGTGCAAATAGGGCAGCTGTGGAAAGTAAAGGCAGCTGTGCAGGCAGGGGCAGCGGTGCAAATGGGACAGCTGAGACAGGTAGGAGCACCTGTGCAGATGTGAGCTGGGTGGTAAACGGGGGGTGAAAAATGCGGTGACGCGTAAATGTGGGAACGGGGGTGATGGGGTAACGGTGCGAGGTGGTGACGGGATGGTGACGTGGCACAGGGCTCTGTGGAGTTCGGGAGTGCGAGTTCGAGGCCGGGTCCCCGTCCCTGTCGCGTGAACCGGGGAGATCAAACGGCGCAGATTCCCTGCCTTAACGATCTGCAACGTCCGGCAGACGGTTGTCCAACCCAATTTGTTTACCTTGCCTGCCTCTGCTGATAACCCCCCCCACACACACACACACAAAGGGCGAAACCTGTCCAGAGTTTGCGTCTTTAAGCAATTGCTGCGGAGCAATACTAGTCTGAGAAGTCATGAGAGCGACTGACAAGAATATATATTATTTTTTACGTGCTGACAACAAAACGGAAGATGCCATTTATCACGAAGTGGCGTTTCCCAAGCCGCGTGTGTCTGCGTGTCGTGTGCGCTCCAACAGGACATTCATGGGGAAATGCGTGCACCTGAAAATTTACAGAGAAGCTCACTCCCTTTCATCCCTCTCTCCACGTTGGTGCGTGCTCTCGCTCGGCGTGGCAGAGTGACAGCTGGCACGGGTGGGCACCTGCCACTCGCGGCCACCTTGCACCATAATAGCCCGGTGGCCACACCTCCCATTTGTTCTCGCGGTGCTGGGGTCGTGCTGGTCCATCGAGGTCCCACGAGCTAGAAACGGCCGTCTCATAGTTTATAAGAAGTGCTCTTGCCCAGCAATATTTGTTGGAACAAGCCTGACCCTGTTGAAGAGACCCACAGAAGGTCAAAACTGGTCCGGATTTGTCTTCATTAAACAAATGCTGCTTGATATTGGTCTGTAAATCAAACAGGTTGATGGTTTAAAACACATTTATTCACATGTGGGGAGACAGAAGGGAATTCTGATTATGTTTGCTCCAACCCTTGGGGGAGCTGCGAAATTGGCAAGATGGAAATTGCCGATAGCGGAGCAGGCCTTTCGGGGCTCAGAAACAAAACAAGACGAAACCAAAAACAGGAACGGGCGTTTATTACCATTTACGGATGGGCATGGGGTTTGTGTTTGGAGCTAACTGGCCAATCAAATGCTAGCCCTACCCAACTAGTCACTAGTACCAGCCCTCTCTCACTGACCTCTAACCAACTAGTCACTAGTACCAGCCCTCTTTCACTGACCTCTAATCAACTAGTCACTAGTACCAGCCCTCTCTCACTGACCTCTAATCAACTAGTCACTAGTACCAGCCCTCTCACTGACCCCTAACCGACTAGTCACTAGTACCAGCCCTCTCTCACTGACCTCTAATCAACTAGTCACTAGTACCAGCCCTCTCTCACTGACCTCTAATCAACTAGTCACTAGCACCAGCCCTCTCTCACTGACCCCTAATCAACTAGTCACTAGTACCAGCCCTCTCTCACTGACCCCTAATCAACTAGTCACTAGTACCAGCCCTCTCTCACTGACCCCTAATCAACTAGTCACTAGTACCAGCCCTCTCTCACTGACCTCTAATCAACTAGTCACTAGTACCAGCCCTCTCTCACTGACCTCTAATCAACTAGTCACTAGCACCAGCCCTCTCTCACTGACCTCTAATCAACTAGTCACTAGTACCAGCCCTCTCTCACTGACCTCTAACCAACTAGTCACTAGCACCAGCCCTCTCTCACTGACCTCTAACCGACTAGTCACTAGTACCAGCCCTCTCTCACTGACCCCTAATCAACTAGTCACTAGTACCAGCCCTCTCTTACTGACCTCTAATCAACTAGTCACTAGTACCAGCCCTCTCTCACTGACCCCTAACCAACTAGTCACTAGTACCAGCCCTCTCTCACTGACCTCTAATCAACTAGTCACTAGTACCAGCCCTCTCTTACTGACCTCTAATCAACTAGTCACTAGTACCAGCCCTCTCTCACTGACCTCTAATCAACTAGTCACTAGTACCAGCCCTCTCTCACTGACCTCTAATCAACTAGTCACTAGTACCAGCCCTCTCTTACTGACCTCTAATCAACTAGTCACTAGTACCAGCCCTCTCACTGACCCCTAACCGACTAGTCACTAGTACCAGCCCTCTCTCACTGACCCCTAACCGACTAGTCACTAGTACCAGCCCTCTCTCACTGACCCCTAACCGACTAGTCACTAGTACCAGCCCTCTCTCACTGACCTCTAACCGACTAGTCACTAGTACCAGCCCTCTCTCACTGACCCCTAATCAACTAGTCACTAGTACCAGCCCTCTCTTACTGACCTCTAATCAACTAGTCACTAGTACCAGCCCTCTCTCACTGACCCCTAACCAACTAGTCACTAGTACCAGCCCTCTCTCACTGACCTCTAATCAACTAGTCACTAGTACCAGCCCTCTCTCACTGACCCCTAACCGACTAGTCACTAGTACCAGCCCTCTCTCACTGACCTCTAACCGACTAGTCACTAGTACCAGCCCTCTCTCACTGACCCCTAATCAACTAGTCACTAGTACCAGCCCTCTCTCACTGACCTCTAATCAACTAGTCACTAGTACCAGCCCTCTCTCACTGACCTCTAATCAACTAGTCACTAGTACCAGCCCTCTCTCACTGACCTCTAATCAACTAGTCACTAGTACCAGCCCTCTCTCACTGACCTCTAATCAAATAGTCACTAGAACCAGCCCTCTCTCACTGCTCACTGACCTCTAACCAACCAGCCACTAGTTCCAGCCCTCTCACTGACCATAACCCTGCAACTAAACCCACCTCCTCGTCGGGGGGCCCGCTTCTGTTCCGTTTTTTTGTTCATTTTGTGAAACCATTTGCGATCTCAGTGACCCGAGAGTAATGAGGTGGGGGAGGTTAGAGTGAGGACCCTGGGAATGGGGAGACACAGAGGGGGTGGGGCGGGGGGGACATCGAAGGAGCAAGACGGGAGGACCCGCGCAGAGTTCTTGTAATGCCGTTATTTGAGAGAATAGCTTTTCAGATATATACGCGCACACATCTATTTTGTCTATCTCCATGTGTTCCATGTGCAGTGTGCGTGCCGGCTCGCGAAACCCTCGCGAGCCTCCCCGAGCCTCCGCGTTTAGAGTGTGTCCCGTTCGTCGGTCATAGCCCAGTCGCTGTGCGCGTAGTTCCGGAGGCCGCGTCGCCCACAGGTGAGGCGACGCGTGAGGCATAGCGAGGCAGGTGAGGCGACGGGCGGCAGAGACGAGCGTGAACCAAGTCGACCTTGTTCCTCGTGGGAGCAGCGGGTTTGCCGAGTCCGCGTGTCCACCCACACACTTAAAGAGTGTCCACCCTCGGTCCGCGTGTCCACCTTTCGCAATAAAAAAAAAAACGTGTAAAGCAATATCGGCGTCCGATCCTTGCTGCCTCGCGCACCTGTCCCGTGCCCTGACCCGTCCGATGCCCTGACCTGTTCCATGCCCTGACCTGTACCGCTCCCTGACCTGTCCCACGCCCTGACCTGTTCCGTGCCCTGATCTGATTCCCTCCCTGACCCCGTCCCCTGACCTGTCCCACACCCTGACCACCAGGGGTGGCGCTGGGCATAAGCAAACTAAGCAAAAGCTTCGGGCCCCAAGAAAATTAAAGATTCACGAACAAATATTTAAACCAAACATCAGCTAGAATTCAGATCCTAATAAATATTAAAACTTAGTGAATTGACATTTTAAAAACCTCCTGTCTTGCCTGTATCACCTCTCATCTCACTACAGTTCCATCCGCACCTACGATTAGCGCGGTTGGCTACATACGGTGCGAAATATGTTCAACACATACATCTCTTGCACGTCTCACGAGATAATAAACCAAAAGGGAGGGTGAGGCAAGAATGCATGCATGCTTAGGGCCCCCCAATAGGCCAGCACTCCCAGAGCCCCCCCCCCCCCCCCGCCTGTTAACGCCTAAGGAGAGAGGGAGTTAACCAAAAGGGAGCTGGAATGTGGTGTGCCCCCCCCCCCACCGCGTAACCTGTAACAGACTGTTGGGGCAAGTGTTGTAAGCCAGCAACCGATTAAGTCCGGCAGGGCACAGAAAGGGGGTCGGGTAACCATGGAGCATCACGCCGGGCCGCCTTTGTCTCCCCCAGTGCTGATTTTTTTTTACACCGCACCAGGTACACTTTTTGAGGCTGAGTCTACCTAGTGGAGGCCCAGGTACCGGTTCAGATAACAGTCACCGGTGTTGGCCGTGAGCGGGAGTCGCCGGGTTTCGCAGCGCAGCGCGTTAACCGCTACACTACCGCTCCCCGCACACCCAAACGCGCGCAATTGCTGACCTTGGGGATATGTAAGCACCCACCGTAAGCCATTATCGCAGCTCGGGCCACGGGTGTTGTGGGAACTTAACAGGGTGGGGGGGGGGGGGAGACGCTGGGGGAGGATGAGCGACAGGAGACGGGGGGGGGGGGTCTGGCGGAGAGAGGAGGGAGAGAAAATAGAGAGAAGAGAGGGGGGGGGGATGAGACGTGAAGCGAGAGAAGAGAGTCGGGGGGCAGAGTTGTTGATGAGAGGGGGGCAAAAGTGGGGGATGAGAGGGGGGCAGAGTGAGGATGAGAGGGGGGCAGAGTGGGGGATAAGAGGGGGGCAGAGTTGTTGATGAGAGGGGGGCAGAGTGGGGGATGAGAGGGGGGCAGAGTTGTTGATGAGAGGGGGGCAGAGTGGGGGATGAGAGGGGGGCAGAGTTGTTAATGAGAGGGGGGCAAAAGTGGGGGATGAGAGGAGGGTAGAGTTGTTGATGAGAGGGGGGCAGCGTGGGGGATGAGAGGGGGGCGGAGTGGGGGATGAGAGGGGGGCAGAGTGGGGATGCGAGGGGGGCGGAAGGGGCCTTGGTGTTTGAGTCGCCGCCCTCGCTTCCGGCCCCTGCCGAGGGATCCGACGAAGACCGCGAGCTCCCTGCAATACCTGACGACTCCCGCCCGGTAAGAGCCGGCACCATCTCTCTGTCTCTCTCTCTGTCTATGGAGATGGGCGCTTGCTGCCGCCAGCTGCCACCGTCAGTGGCTGCTGCTGTTGTAGTGACTGCTGCTGCTGTTGTAGTGACTGCTGCTGCTGTTGTAGTGACTGCTGCTGCTGTTGTAGTGACTGCTGTTGTAGTGACTGCTGCTGCTGTTGTAGTGACTGCTGCTGCTGTTGTAGTGACTGCTGCTGCTGTTGTAGTGACTGCTGCTGCTGTTGTAGTGACTGCTGCTGCTGTTGTAGTGACTGCTGCTGCTGTTGTAGTGACTGCTGCTGCTGTTGTAGTGACTGCTGCTGCTGTTGTAGTGACTGCTGCTGCTGTTGTAGTGACTGCTGCTGCTGCTGTTGTAGTGACTGCTGCTGTTGTAGTGACTGCTGCTGCTGCTGTTGTAGTGACTGCTGCTGCTGTTGTAGTGACTGCTGCTGCTGTTGTAGTGACTGCTGCTGCTGTTGTAGTGACTGCTGCTGCTGTTGTAGTGACTGCTGCTGTTGTAGTGGTTGCTGCTGTTGTTGTAGTGGTTGCTGCTGTTGTAGTGACTGCTACTGTTGTTGTAGTGACTGCTGCTGTTGTAGTGGCTGCTGCTGCTGTTGTAGTGGTTGGTGCTGTTGTAGTGACTGCTGTTGTTGTAGTGCCTGCTACTGTTGTTGTAGTGCCTGCTACTGTTGTTGTAGTGACTGCTACTGTTGTAGTGGTTGCTGCTGTTGTAGTGACTGCTGCTGCTGTTGTAGTGACTGCTGCTGTTGTAGTGACTGCTACTGCTGTTGTAGTGGTTGCTGCTGTTGTAGTGGCTGCTGCTGCTGTTGTAGTGGTTGCTGCTGTTGTAGTGACTGCTGCTGTTGTTGTAGTGACTGCTGCTGTTGTAGTGGCTGCTGCTGCTGTTGTAGTGGTTGCTGCTGTTGTAGTGACTGCTACTGCTGTTGTAGTGGTTGCTGCTGTTGTAGTGGCTGCTGCTGCTGTTGTAGTGGTTGCTGCTGTTGTAGTGACTGCTGCTGTTGTTGTAGTGACTGCTGCTGTTGTAGTGGCTGCTGCTGCTGTTGTAGTGGTTGCTGCTGTTGTAGTGGCTGCTGCTGTTGTTGTAGTGACTGCTGCTGTTGTAGTGACTGCTACTGCTGTTGTAGTGGTTGCTGCTGTTGTAGTGGCTGCTGCTGTTGTAGTGGTTGCTGCTGTTGCAGTGACAGCTGTTGTTGTAGTGACTGCTACTGTTGTTGTAGTGACTGCTACTGTTGTAGTGGTTGCTGCTGTTGCGACTGTGGTTGTTGTTGTGGTGCTTGATGTGGACACGTGGCCCCGCCGCGTTTTGTGAATGTCACCTTCACTCTGTGGTTGGCTATGCGTGGTTATCGCTGCGTGGTTGTCTATGTGTGGTTGTCTATGTGTGGTTATGGCTGCGTCGTTGTCTGTGTGGTTATGGCTGTGTGGTTATGGCTGTGTGGTTATGGCTGTGTGGTTATGGCTGTGTGGTTGTCTATGTGTGTTTGTCGCTGTGTGGTTGTCTGTGTGGTTATGGCTGTGTGGTTGTCTCTGTGTGGTTATTGCTGTGTCGTTGTCTATGTGTGGTTGTCTATGTGTGGTTGTCTATGTGTGGTTATGGCTGCGTGGTTGTCTGTGTGGTTATGGCTGTGTGGTTGTCTATGTGTGGTTATGGCTGTGTGGTTGTCTATGTGTGGTTATTGCTGTGGTTGTCTGTGGGTTTGTCGCTGTGTGGTTGTCACTGCGTGGTCCCGTGGGCTTGTCCGAGGCTGTCACGTCACGTGGTTGCTTATCTGTGGCTCTTTATCAGTTCCTCATCCTCCGCACGGAACGGCGTTCACGTGGCCCCATGCGGCCACGAGAGGGCGCTGCGGTCATCTTTGCTCTATTGTAAAACAGAACTCGACTGTCATTTTTGCTTTTCTGAACGAGTCGTGAATTGGTATGAAATGGTGATGGAGGAGGGTTGTGTGGCGGTGGGGGGGGGAGTGATGTGGGGGGTGGTGAGTGATGTGGGGGGGGGGGGGTCGCTATGGATGGAGAACGCGGGGGTCAGTGATTTACCTTGACCCCTACAGCCAGGAGAGGCCTCAACGGGGCGCACGGCTCACATTGGGTCGTTGTGTGTGATGGGTTGATGTGTGAATGTTGGCCTATGCCGTATGATGTTGGGTGAATGTGTGAATGCTGATGTTTGTGATGTTGGGTTAATGTTGCGTGAATGTCGGGTTGATGTTTGTAATATTGGACCATCGTGGCTTCTCATTAACAACCCCCGTCAGGTCAAAAGTCCACACTCCGCGTTATCGCGACTGTCAAGGTGCCCCGCGTCCCTACTGCCCTCAGAGTTAACGTGTCGAGGCCATAGCCCCTCTCAGATTAGTCTCCGTGAGAAAGAGCAGCCTCTGTGAGAGACTCATGGAGCCGTCTCCACCGGCACTGAGCGCCATGGACCCGGCCGAGGTGCGGCGTCTAATCAGAGGCGGTCAGCTCAGGGGCAGGTCGACGTCCGGCATGGCTGAAGGTGAGCACTGCTCGGGTATTGAAGGTGAGCATTCGGCTCATCTGTGGGTGAGCACTGGGCATGCGCTTTGGGTGAGGACAGGGCATGGTCTGTGCTTGGCCGAGTGTCCAAACAAGATGGGAACCAGTTGTGAGTCGCGCTGGCCTGGGTCATGACTCTTGTGGCCCCGCGTGCCCTGCAGGCTTCACGCAGGCGAACTTGGTGGTGGTGGAGGAGTCTGTGGCGGATGAGTTTGAGAGATTCTGCCGCGCGAACGCCGGCCCACTGCCTCTGCTCTACCGCAGTCAGCCCGACGAGTGGGCAGCACCTCCTCTCGCTGCCCACTCTGACATACGGTAACTCATCAGCATCATAATCGCCATCAGCAGCAGCACAATCAAACCCATCAATATCATCGGCAGCAAGGGAATTATCGCAGGGTCATCATAATCTTAAGAATTACTATCTTTTTTTTTAACAATCCTCACTGGTATCCACGCAGCGTCAAGGATGGCAAAATAACCCTCGCTTTGTGTAGATAACAATCGCTGTCATAACCAGCATCAATGCCAACATCATCACGATGATCAACCATGAATGGACATGCGCGCAATAGAAGCATCGCGTCGCCTTAAACATTCGCCTGCCCGCCTCCCCGGCTCTCGCCCGCGCAGCACGGACTGCCCGGGCTACCGTCGCTACGAGCACGGGCAGCTGACCGGGCTGCCCGACTCCCTGCCCGCCCCGGGGCCCCGCCCGCTCGTCTCCTTCTACCTCGGCTGCAGCTTCTCGTTCGAGCGCCTCCTACTGGAGGCGGGGATCCCCGTGCGCAATGTTCAGCAGGGCTGCAACGTCAGCATGTTCCGCGTGCGTGACCTCCCCCCATGCCCTCCCCATGTGCTGTCTCCTCCCGTTCAACCGACGAGCGAAGGGCGTAGTCAGTCCCAGGATGATTCCCATAAAACCAGGGGTGGGGAACGTCCGGCCCATTTGGTGTGGCCCTGCCAAGGCAACCGCAGGCGGGACTCGAAATTCAATAAATCTAGGAGCAAACCTGGAAAAGCAGTTGCGAGTAGCAACATCATCAATATCAGTTAACATCATCACACGCCTCGCCAAAGAGAAGCAGTTCCAGCCATCGCATTAGGGGTGAGCTAATGAAATGGTTGACTAAATATAACAGGCTGATTTTATAAGTTGATCATTTTGTATGGCCCGCGAATGATGTTATAAATATCCAAATGGCCCTTGGCAGAAAAAAAGGTTCCCCACCCCTGCGGGCATAAACGAACCCCGATGCCTGTCGGGGCTTCCCCTTTATATACTGGCCGTGGCTTGGCCACGCCCTCGGCCAAGAATTACAGTACACTAGTTCAGCACAGCGGTGTGTTGGAGAGCAAATCCACAACATTTACAAATTAGAGTATGACGTTTCGACAGTAATTACAACTAGCATCATCAGGCTGTGTCGGGTGGTGTCGGGTATAACGACACAATTATATTTTTAAAAAGAACCTCATGGATTCTCCACCGCGTCACTATCATGGGTTCAGATCTCATCGATAGAGGCGCTGTCTGCAGTGCCTGACATTGAGACGGTCTGTAGCGCCGACTAAGAATTGATTCGAGTATCTGGTTCGGCGAATAAACATCAGCACTGGGGAAATATCGGCAGCTAAGCGTGATGGTGGCCACACCATAATTTGCGTGTGCCGTGTCGGCCTTCGTACGCGTTCCCTGACCGCGCTATCCCCAACAGTCCGTATATGACTACGCGGGGAACATTTTAACTGTGGCGTCCGCCGCGTGGTTGAAGTTAATGAGCCCTGGCCACGTCCCCGCTCGCGTTTGCAGGGCGGCCCGGAGGAGATGGGCATCCGCCTCCCTGCGCGCCCCCACTCCGCTGCGCGCCCCCGCGCCCACACGCAGCGTTAGCGTGAGTAGCGCGTCTAGGGCACGGGGGGGGAGTGGAGTGCATGGCCCTCGACCCTGCCCCGTCACATCTCTGCTGCGTGCCCTTTAAGGGGTGTGGAGGCGAAGGGAATAATAAATAATCTCTCGCGCTCACCGGGGATGGCGATAGCGGCTTCAACGCAGCGCGCGTTCGCGTGACGGAGGAGTCCACGTGGATACCACGAGCCGTGCGTGGCTCCACGCGTGTGGCGCTGCCGGCGGCGGCCACCGCTTTTACCCAGACGAAGATGTTCCCGTCGCGGCAGCCACTGCCTCTTAAAGACGCGAAGACTCACGGCTCTGCCCTGCCCCGCACGACTTCTAAGCCATGCACGCAATTGTAAATAAATGACGGGACTTTGCAAGTCGTCGACAACACTGTGCGGCCTTAAGTGTAAACGTATATAATAGGCGACGTTTTGAGAAACGGCTCTTGTTCATTGCACATAAAACGGAGAGAGGAGGGAGAGACGGAGTGCATACTAAGGGCTGGAGAAGTAGCTGCGTGACTCGTGATATAGTGACGTGGCTCCTGATGTAGCAGGATGGCTCCTGATATAGCAGGATGGCTCCTGATGTAGCTGGGTGTCTCATGATATAGCGAGCCAGCTCCTGGTGTAGCTGGGTGTGTCATGTTACAGCGGAGTGGTGTCCGCTGTTTTAACCCCGTGTCCTGACCACTCCCCCCCCCCCCCCCCCGCAGACGTCTGTCCGGTGCGAGGTCGCGGGCCGCTTCGACTGCCATCTGGTGGTCAGCATGAGGCCCGTACCCGAGGCGAGCTTGGGACCCGCGTGCCGCCTCACGCACCCCCTCCAGGACGTGCACGGGGCTCCCGTGCACATCGGGGACCCAGGTGCGGTGAGCGACGCGACTCGGAGAGGAGTGATGCTGCTCGGGTGTGGGGAACTGCGATGCGGTTTTTTTTCGGTTCTCGTGAAATATTTTCCGGAGCTCAGCCCCGGGCAGCTCTGCGTGAAATTAAAGACCTGCTTGATTACCGGTGCGTGGGTTAGCTTTAGTGTAATTACCCTTGTGAGGTTGTCCTTGATTCATTACCCTGTGGTTACCCAGTGTGGAGTGTCCTTGTCTGCAGTTATCTGGATATGTCCGCATGTGGTTGTCTGTGTACATAACGCCATGTTTGTCAACCCATTTCCGAAAGAGGACCTGCCCATGCCGTGTAGGTCGTGTGGGTTGTTTGACCATACTTCACCACGCTGATCAACGGGGGTCTGATCTGCTATACTCTAGTTTACTTCTGTCAGTTTGGAGAACCCAAAACCACTCTTGCAAATGATATCCTAACCCTATTCTCGTGTTCTCACCTGGTTAAACAAATAAACTCCACTTGAGCATAGTGCTCGACAGTACAGACCAATTTCGATTTAAAGCTTTCGTGACTGCAAGGATTCATCTTCTTTGGTTCTTTCGGTAAAGTCACGTAGAATGAGAATAAAATAATAAATTGATAAAATGAAATAACACAATATTGTGTTATTTTATTTGATCAATTTTATAAAATAACGCAATATTGTGTTATTTTATTTGATCAATTTATTATTTTATTCTCATTCTACGTGACTTTACCGAAAGAACCAAAGAAGATGAGTACAGACCAACTTTGAATTATTCTGCACTGCCCTCTGCTGCCCACCACATGGCCACGCAGCAGCCCATAACAACCCGTTTGATCATGATGATTGCCTCTACTCGGTTGCCGAGATCGGACGCACGCCAGGTGATTTAATCATAGACGCATGTGGTTATCTGTGGGCAGACTCGTGTGGTTAACCCGTGTGTGGTTACCCATAACCACACACGGATAGCGGTTGAGTAGTGGTTAGCACGCTGCGCTATGAACCCGGTGAACCAGGTGACCCGAGTTTTGAGTCCCGCTCACGGCCAACACCAGTGGCGATTATCCGAAACGGTCCTGGGCCTCCCCTAGGTCGACTCAGCCTAAAATGAGTACCCGGTGCGGTGTATAGTAAACATCGCCACTGAGGAGACAAAGGCGGCCGGGCGTGGAGTTGGCCACCCACCTCCTCGTGTGCCCGCTAACAGCACTTGCCCCAACAGTCTGTCAAGGCTATACGGCGGATCTTTGTCTTGTGCTTACCCATCCCCCCAGGACTGCTCGGAATCCGGGACCTGTCCGCGCCGGATTTCGGGGACTCTGTGAGCAGCGACCCCGGAGATGTCCCCGTGTTCTGGGCGTGCGGGGTAACAGGGGTCGAAGCTGTGCAGAGCGCTCGTGCGTGACCCCAACCACCTCCTCACACACACACTCGCCCACAGTGGTTTTGCAGACACCTTGGGCTACTGAGGGTCCTCCTAGTTTGCTTTTGCCTGGCCCTGCCGTTTATTGTAGAGACGGGACCGCTTGCCTATACAGGGTGCTTCAAATAAATGTTAACACTTACAGGGGCCTATCTTTTTTGTGGAAAAAGAACGGATAATACACTGTAACATAACATATGTATGTGAATACCTTCAAAAAGTCAAAGAGTCTCTACTTATTCGCCATCGTTGTCAACGCGTGGCTGGAATCTTCTCCAGGTGGTTTCCAGAGCCCGGAGGCACATTTCTTGTGGTATTGTTGCAAATTCTCGGAAGTGTTAACATTTTTGTGAAGCACCCTGTACACCCTCGCCTCACCTGTACACCCCTCACCTGCGCCCACTCACCTGCATGACACTCACCTACACCCCCCTCACCTGAACACCCTTCACCTGCACTCCCCTCACCTGGCTCCTGGGCGGCGGAATTGCTCAGCTGTAACGGATTTGCTGTTTGTTCTAGAGATTCACCATTTGAATCCAGTGTCCGCCCTGGTTATTACCTCTATAATACTTCCACACGCCATCTGCGTCACCCAGTAGACGTTTAATATCCCCTGTACATTCCACATGAGTAGGCCATTGTGTGCCAGCGTCCACATGTCCCCAATGAGAACATCACACCACAAATCACCCGTCTCCTACTGTTCCGTTTAGCACGGTTGGCTACGTACCCACCTCTGATTAGCACGGTTGGCTACCTACGGTGCGAAAGAAGTTCAACGTCCATGCATAGACTCGTGCCACAGGTCTCACTTGCAAATGACACTCCTGCCAGTCTCGAGTCGAGACCTCACCTGGTTAGACAAAACGAACTTGAACCGGCTCACGCAGCCCCGTTGCCTGTCCGTGTTTGCAGACCTGGCCCTGGCATTCACGCACGCCCCGGGCTGCATGTTTGTGACGGACGTGAAGGGGCAGAGCGCGGGGCCGGCGCCCGAGCATCGAGAGGAGGGGGAGGAGGGGGAGGCCGGGGCCCCCGAGGTGGTGTGCGTGTCGCAGGACCCCCTCCGCTACAGCCTCGTGTCCGTCGGGGCGGCGAGCGCCGTGCACGCCCTGGAGCGGCACGTGCAGCTCGACCCAGGTGGGTAACAACGTGCCGCCCCACCTCCCCCTTCGCCCACCGTGGGAAGTGGTCTCCGGGTGGCTCTGGCGTCAGAACATCGAGGTCGCCACGGCTGTGCTACAGGGTTCGAATGCGGGGTAGGCTTGCCCGTGTAGTTAATCGATATTCTCAAGCCTGAACAATAAATAATTGAGTAGGGTTTATTTGGCTTAATTTGAGAATTATATATATATTTCAAAGAAGCTCGGCTAGCATTCAAATAACGTTTATATTGGAAAATGTGCCTATTAGTGTGGATAAGATGTTACGTATAAACACTCATTAATTGGCGGCAACGCAACTTTACGTGGAAAGGACTGTAGAGCTTTGCTGGTAGCGCCGACTCACCGCTTGGCTGCTGCCTCCCAGCTTGTCTGTGGTTCATCGGCGATCCGAGTCGACACTTCACACCACGACGTGACGCCGAGGGCACAAATGGAAAACAATTGCGGATACAAAAAAAAAGACATGCTGCAGAGGACTTGGCCTGCGAGCACCCCCTCTGTTCTGTGCACCCCCCATGTCCCCCCGTACCCGCGTGGCTCCACGTGCCCCTGTACCCGCTGTGCCTCCCTCCCCCCTTCCCCGTGTGCCCATCTATGAGCAGGTTCTCGGGGAATCAAGCACCTCCACGTGCCAGGGGAGCTGCTGCGCGCGGCGCTCTCCCTGTCACACTCGCGCTCCGTACTGCTGATCACCGGCTTCCCCACCCACGTGACCCAGCAGCCCCCCGAGGAGACAGACGGCCCCCCAGGGGCCCTCGCCATGGCCGCCGCGCTAAGGGCCCTGGGCAAGCGCGTGGCCCTGGCCACGGATGCGCGCGCCGCCGGGCTCATGCGTGACATCGTGACGGACGCGCTGCGAGAAGGTCCGATGACTACCTGTCTCTGTGTGTCCGTGTGTCCACCTGCCTCTCAGTATCCGTCTCTCTGTGTCTGTCTGTTTGTCTGTCTCTGTCTTCCTGTCTCTCTGTCCATGTCTGTGTGTCCGCTTGCCTCTCAGTATCCGTCTCTCTGTGTCTGTCTGTTTGTCTGTCTCTGTCTTCCTGTCTCTCTGTCCATGTCTGTGTGTCTGCCTGCCTCTCAGTCTGTGTATCTGCCTGTCTCTCTGCGTGCATGTCTCGTGCACACTTATCTGTATATGTATCTGTCTATTTTTTGCACATGTTTGTGAGTCTGTCTCTCTATCCGCGTGTGTGTGTCTGCCTGCCCCTCTGCTCATCTCAATATCTGTCGCTCTGTGTCTGTCTATATGTTTTCCTCTCCACTTGTCTGTGTGTCTCTTTGTCTCTCCTGTATGTGTGCCTATACATCCGTCGCTCTGTTTATCCATCTGCCTGTCTGCTTGTCCGTGTGACCTGTTGGAGGGTGCTTTTCCCCCGTGGCCTTTGTCCCAGGGGTCTTGGATGAGGAGGTCCCGGTCGTGACGATGGAGGGACGTGGCCAGGACGCGGCGCGAGCTTTCCTGCTGGAGGATGGCCCGGAGGGGCCCACACCTCGGTACCAGCACCACGGGCAGCAGGACTCGGCACACAGGCCACAGCGCACCTCACACAGCACCCAGGACAGCAGCACAGGGGACACGGGCCACAGTACACTTCACACAACACACAGGACAGCAGTACAGGGGACATGGGCCACAGTACACTTCACACAACACACAGGACAGCAGTACAGGGGACATGGGCCACAGTACACTTCACACAACACACAGGACAGCAGTACAGGGGACATGGGCCACAGTACACTTCACACAGCACCCAGGACAGCAGCACAGGGGACATGGGCCACGGCACACAGCACAGGGGACAGCAGCACCCATAACACAGGTAACGGCAAGCGCACAGGACAGGAAAACATGGGACACAGGCCACATCACACAGCACATGGGACAGCAGCATCCAGCACGCGGCTCTGTATGTCACGCCGGGCACCTGGTGTTCGGCCCCACGCAGCTATGATCACCTGGTGGCCATCGAGCGCGCGGGCGCGGCGGCGGACGGGTGCTACTACAACGCGCGCAAGATCAACATCGGGCACCTGGTCGACCCTCTGGATGAGCTCTTCTGGCTGGCGCGGGACACGCGCGGGGTCTCCACCACAGGCGAGTGGTCACGCGGCGGGGCCGGGGGTCGGTACCCTGACTCCGCTGGCGGCGCTTTAACGCCTGCGTGGGCTGCAGTGAAAAACGCTGCAGCCACCAATCGGATTCGGTTCGGGGGGCACAGGTGAGCCGAGCTCGTCGTCGTCGTCGTCGTCATCATCATTACCATCGCTCATAATCGATTAACTGATGAATAAAGACCTGGCCGTTTCTCTCCGGCACGCGAGTCCATTTCAGCGCTACGTCTCCGCAAAGGTTGTACCATTCAGTGTGTTCCCTCCTTTGGCTTTGAATTGTTACGATTCGAGGTCACGATTCAACGCAATATTTACATTTCTAAATCAGACCAAGCACGCCGTAAATCCATGCCCTCTCCCCACCGCCCACTGTGAAAACAAGACACTGCTCCTCTGTGCAGATCCCTTCCGCTCTTCCCGTCTCTCTTTTCTCTCCGCTCTCGTCATTATCATCACCACCCTCTCATCCCCGACGTCTTGACCAGGTCCTTCCATCTCCCCCTCCTCCTTCTCTTCCTGCTCGGTGCTCCTTTCATCCGGCTGGTCATCCTGAGCCGTGCCCTAATTGTCTACCTTGGTGGGGATGCCCGTTCCAACATCCCTCCCCTGTATCATGGGACCTCCCTTGACAGTATCAATAAAACAGGTGTTAAGATGTTAAAACATCTTAACACCTGTTTTATTGCCAGAAAGGGTAAAACCTATTCTTATATCCGTTCCATTTCCCGTTCCTCGTTCCTTGCGTTTTCCCATTCATTGCTTCCTTGACTTCACTCTCCTTCCTGTGGTGTAGCCACGAGTATGCAGATTTTATTTTTTGGTATTTTCCCTCGTCTATAATTTCCGCAGTCACCTGTGCACTTTGTAAACAATTAACTCTTGAGTTGCAAGATTCTACACGGTATGCGACTCAATCACTGTCGCGTTCTTACCCCCCCCCCCCATCACTCCCGATCTCCCCTCTCCACCCCCTGCCCCGGCAGGCATTGGGGATGGGGGTAACGAGCTGGGCATGGGCAGGGTGAGCGAGGCGGTGCGCGCTCACGTCAAGAACGGCGACGTCATCGCCTGCGCAGTGCCCGCGGACTTCACCATCACCACGGGTGAGTAGCGGGGTTTGAAGGGTGGGGGGGTGAGTGGCAGGCTGACGGGGTGGTAACTGGTAGGGGGGGGGGGGGGGTCGGGATAGCTCTCCGATGTGTTTTTGGAGTTGCACCGCGTGATGTCCGACGTTTTGGTGCGCGTGCTCAAGTAGCTGCCTTCACGTGATGGAGTGAAGCCGAAGGAAGTTCCCGGTACGTGGTTGGAAATGTCGGACATTGTGCCGAACAACACGTGGCTCAACGTGTGGCACAACGTGTGGATCAACGTGTGGCACAACGTGTGGATCAACGTGTGGCACAACGTGTGGCTCAACGTGTGGCTCAACGTGTGGCTCAACGTGTGGCTCAACCGAACAAGACCTATTACAACCCGAAAACCACACGAGAGAGCTTACGCAGCAGCACAGCCACACAGACCTAAGCAGGTTATACTTGTAGGGGTAGTCTAGGGATAAAGTTAATGGTGTGGGTAATGGTTCACATAGGTATAGGGGTAGGGATGAGTGTTGATGCCCTGAGACACTCTCACTCACCTGAGACTCTCATTCACCTGAGACTCTCCCTCACCCGAGACTCTCCCTCATCTAAGACTATCACTCAACTGAGACTCTCACTCACCTGAGACTCTCACTCACCTGAGACTCTCCCTCACCCGAGACTCTCCCTCATCTAAGACTATCACTCAACTGAGACTCCCCCTCACCTGAGACTCTCACTCGCCTGAGACTCCCCCTCACCTGAAACATTCACCCGAGACTCCCACCTCCCACGGCCATGCAGGGGTGTCCAACTGGGGAGGCTACGCGGTGGCGTGCGCCCTGTACCTGCTGCGGACCTGCGCCGTGCATGAGCGTTACCTGCGCCACGCCGTGGGGGCCCCGGCCTCCCTGGAGCAGAGGCAGGCGTGGAGCAGAGCGCTCCCCTCCGTGCAGAAGGTGAACCCCCCGCTCTTCCCTCCCTCTCTCCCCCCACACCGCCACCACTGCCACCACCATCCCCACTCCCTCCCTAATAGTGTGGGTGTTTGGTGGTTGCTGTTGCTGTTTACGCTTACCCTGTCCGTACCTCCAGTGCCGGATTATCCCAGTAGCAAAAGTAGCAAATGCTACGGGCCCCGCACTTTCAAGGGCGACGCGCTAAATGCTTTCAAGCTCTCAATGCCGGTTCAGTGATTCTGCACTTGCTCTATTACTATAGTACTATACTGCCTTCAACTTTTATGACCGACTGGGTGTTTAAGGTGAGCGAATTGTCGTATTATCTGGCTGTATAGCAAATAAAAAAATACAATTACTTTACTATGCAAGTAAAAAAATTGTGCTTGAATATTTGTGTTTTTATATAGGGCCCCTTTATAACATATGCTGCAGGCCCCGCACTCGCTTAATCCGTCACTGCGTACCTCCATTGCGTCACCTACACGTGCAGAGGTGACGGGTCTCATCCACTCTGGGACATCGCACCCCAGTGTCTCATGTCCGTGCCACGTGGACACGTCACGTTTCCCCGACACCGTGTGTCGTTGTGTACGTGTGTCCATGTGCCCACGTATCCACACGTTCGCGTGTCCCCGTGTCCCCGCGTCTCCACCTGTCCGTGTGTCCACGTGTCCACGTGTCCGTGTGTCTGTGCCTCACGCCTCGCAGGAGGAGGCTCTCCTCGCCATCCTCGCTCGTCATGGGGTGCGCAGCGGGGTCACGGGGACGCTGGGCATGGAGGTAGACGGACTGCCATTCCGGCCTACGCACTCCGACATGATCGAGGCCCTGCTGAAAATCCTGCCCGCTGCCGCGTGACTTGGGTCACCGCAGCGCGACCCGGATCTCTGCGCTGCAGACACATTCAAATCAGCGATAGCACGAGAGTGAAATTTGAAGGTGAACTAGAGTTTAGATTTATGCGGGTACGATTGCCCGATTTACGAACATGCTAATTTATGTACACGTATGCACATGTACAAATGATCTTATGGCGGTACTCCGGGGTACCAAATAATACAAAATGGCCGAGGCAATTAAATATTTTATTTCTGGGACACTATTTTTTCCAGGAGTGTACTTAACTCTGCGACTGAGGTACCAATCAATCCGAAATCAGTGCTACTCCGTGATGTCGAAACGCAGCGAGGACGATCTGTCATTTGTTGATAAAAGCTGAACGTGTTTCAACGCGAGTGCTGACGAGGCGGGTCAAACAATACAATCGATACATTTTAATAAACATTTCCACAAAAACAATGTTTTCAATTAAAATGTGGCCAAACCCCACCACCCCCCCCGTGTATGCTGTAATTTAAGTATATACTGAATAACAATCAGTAATTTGACCCGAAAAAAAAAAAACATACTAAACCTATGTTTCTTGACAAACATTGGACGGGATTTTTTTTTTATTACTTTTTTGGGTAAAAACTGAAAATTTGACGTGACGAAAAATGATGAAACCGTAAAAAAATTACATATTGCAGTTCACTAGCAAAGCATTGCCTTAATACTAATTGAACACGACAGCGCACGAGCAATGGAGTGAGCCCTGTGCCCTCGCGTGTGCGCCAAGTGAAATGATGGCGGCGTGCGGCTCCAGACTTATTTGGCACACGGTGTGGCACCACGCGGTTGCGAGGCCGTCCGGAGTCCACTGTCCGATTTTCCTTTCACCGCGGCGCAAACGCAACCGCCAGACACCACCAAGGCGGCGCAGCCCAGCGCCACTCGCGCTACCAGTCCGTGCAGGTTCCCTCGCTGGTGCCAGCAGGAAATATGCTCGGGGCGACGACCGGCAGGAATGGCACTTATTTTCTTTTTTTGTGTATGGCTGTGTTTGAATAGTAACGATAATGAATCTAAATCTAGGGTGTTTAGCCACGAGATAGTTATGCCGAGTAAAGGTGAGGTCAGCGGAGCGGGGCCTCTTGGCTTCAAGATATCTGCAGATTTGATCAAAGTAGCGGTTCAATGAGAATCTTACTGATTCAAATGAGAGGCGTGACGGCCGTACCGCGCGCGAGCCTTTGCCTCCTTCAACAGGACGAGGTTGGTGGGTGCAAAATCGGCAAGCGTCATCAAGTCCATCGAAGGGAATGTGCGACGCTGATTCAGAACGTGCCGAAACGCGACCGCGGTGCACATGGGGAGATGCTGGGCTGGCAGTGGGGGTGGGCAGTGTCTGCTCAAGTCCAGGAATCACCCGGCTGGATCGCTGCCATTGCCTGGGCTCGGGCGTGACCAGCTCACGGAGCAATCGGGGTCAGGGTGGCGGAGAGTCCGAGCTGCTGGTGCCGGACGGCACGGCCCTCCCTCGTTGGCGCGCCCGTGCGCGCTGCTTCAGGAACCCGAACGCCGTCTCCCGGGGGCCGTCGCTGCCGCCGCCGCCGGCGGCACGTGCCGTCACCTCCAGGAGCTCGGGGACCGAAGAGGCGCGGCCCTGCCCGTGCGGTAGCTCCCGCGCCACCAGCAGCTGAGCCGCCGTGGGCGCCGGCATCCGCGGAGAGCGAGGCGGAGACGCCGGTGGCGTGGCGCCGGCTGGCTGGTGCCTCCTGTCGGCGCCATCCAGGCTCCACGTCTTGAAGAGCGCCAGCCGCACCCGCAGCGGCGCCCTCGCCGAGTGCGGCCTTTCACCGCGCCCGGGGCTCAGGGGCGGCGATCCCCGCCGCTCCTCGTGCCCATCCCTGGCAGCACCACGTTCGCTCTGACACACAGCGCAGACTCGCTGAACTCTCGCCGCAATCGCGCGGTCACAGGCGCCGTCCAGGTGCGCTTTGATGAAAGTGAAACGCGAGTCGCAAATCATCGTGCGGCCACCGGCGGCCTGGCAAGCGACGGGCGCTCTTACCTGCGGCACGGGGGGCGACGGCCTCTGCTCGAGCAGAAACTCGTGCAGAGAGCGTCGCTTGTTCCCCGGGGAGCGGCCACATCTTGCCTTCTCTCCCAGTGCCGGCAGCCACCAGCCCGGGCCCCCCGGGGCCTCCAGCGGTCCCCGCGCAGCCGCGCCCCCGCACGCTTCGTGTCGCCCCGGCCGGGGATCGGGACCCGACACAGGAGGGGCGACGTGGTGAGCGTCCCCCGCCACCTCTTGGTGGCCACCTCCGGGGCCGCCCGGACCGGCCGTGCCCCTGGAGGCGCTCCCCGAGGCCACTGGGGGGAGAGAGTCGCGGGGATTCGCGCGACGCAGGCCGCCCCCCGAGCCGTGTGGCCTGGCACAGCAGCACGCAGCAGCAGCAGCAGCATAGCTCCCGCAAGATCTGAAGCCCTACATGAGTATGTGGGATCATGTGGGGCCTCATCCGCGCACACGTACACACATGCAGCGGGCCGGCCACACTTGAGACGTTCGTGCAGCACTGTTCGCTAACACTTGACACTGCCCCCCCCCCCACCCCCCGTCACATTCACCCTGTCCCCACGGTCACCCCACCTGCCGACGCAGCCCCCATAATGCACTGTTCACACACTCAGTGGCTGTGCTGCACTGACCCGAATTGCTCAGTGCCTGCACCCAGCTCCCCCTGCTCCTTTTCTGACCCCTGCTTCTCATGCTCCCTCTGCTTTTCCTGCTCCTCCTGTGCTACCGGTAAGCCTTTCTCCTGCTCTCTTTGCTCCTCATGCTCCCTCTGCTCATCCTTCTCCCACTCTGAGCCCTGTTCCTCTGGTAGCCCCTGGTTCCCCTGTGATCCCTGATTCCCTTGCGACCCTTGCGACTCCCGTGACCCCCGTTTTCCCCGGCGGGAGATCGGCCTCGCACCGTGCGGCGAGGGCCACAGCGATGCGTTGTTGTTGTTGACGTTGCTCCCTCGGCTGCCCTCTCGCTCCACGCTGTCAGGACGGGACACTGCAGGCACAACAACACACAAGAGACACATTACGGAGATACGTCACACAGACACACCACCACACACAGACACATCGCCAGTATGGGCGAGTGCGTGCGAGTGTGGGCGAGTGCGTGCGAGTGTGGGCGAGTGTGGTTTAGTACCGGAGGTGGCCGAGGTAGTCGAGGTGCGGTTGGACGTCTCCGATGTATCACTGGGAGGCTGCTCGCCCAGCGATATGCGCAGGTCTGTGCGGTTAGAAACATCACCACGGCAACCACATAACAGAGGTATTATGCGAAGAACATCCCAATGGCAACTGATATCGCGTCACGGTAACCTCACTCCCTGGGGCACAGACGCATCGCATGCTCTCTGTGCAGCAGCACCGACTTGCAGGCGGCACTCCTCTTGCCCCGGCAGCATCGTCGCCATGACGGTACCGACACCAGGCATGTGGTTAAGGGGCCACCTGCCTTCGATGAAGTGCAGGAAGTCGGGGTCCTCCTGCTCGCCGATCCACGCAATGCCGTGCGGTCGCCGCGGCCTGATCCGGACGCCCTGGGCCTCCCCCGCACGGACGCAACCAGCGGCCTCTTCTTCAGCCTCCTCCGCGGGCGGGAGTATGTCCCGGATGCCGGTGGAGCGGTGCGAGGTGCCGCCGCTGCTACCGCCGGCCACGGTGTTGAGAGACACGGTGGAGTAGGAGAAGTGGGACGAAGCCTCCACGGAGCGGCCACTCCCGCCCGAGCGGCCCTCGGAGCCTGATGAAAGGGCCCCGTCGTTCAGACCCTTCTGGCTGAACCCATCCAGGAGATTCCCGACAGCTGCAGCGGACGCCAAGGAGGCAATGGAGAGGGACAGGGCCACAACAACGGAGTTCATAACAACCACAATGACAACACAACACTTTCGCAATCGCAACACACCAGGCTCAATAGCATCGAGTCTCTCCTGCCATCCTAGGGGCAGATTGGCCTCCCCAACGATTGAGACATATCCGCATCCATGACGTTCACCTCGCTATCAATAATCAGGAATCTATATGCGATAAATCATCTCCAAAAACAATGAACAAAAACAAACCATTGATTAACGATGAGTAATCAATAATAATAATCGGTCCAATAAAAAAAATCTATAATAATTGAGAAAAATCACCAGCAATGTATTGATATATAATCAGCGGCTTGAGAAGACTAGAAGCTGTAGCTGCAAGAGAAGAGGAAAGCAAGAGTAGCCAACAGACAGCATTTGATTAGAAGTGCAAGCGATTGTTAGGCAGGGGAGGTCGTGTCGACATTGGGGTCAGGGGTGAGAGTTCGCTGAGAGAGTGGGGGGGGGGGCCCAGCTGCCTTACACTGCGAGCGTCGGTATGTGACCTTCGTCCCATCGTCAGGGCCACGGCGCTGGTTCCTCCGCATCGGCACATTGCGCTGCCAGCCAGCTTGAGAGCCACACATTCACATACGTCAGACGCACCTCGTCATCCACCCACCTCGTCCTCACGTCATCCTCAAACCATCCACTCTTTCATCGCCCACCCACCTGCGCTCCTCGTCGCCCGCTCTCCTCATTACCCTCCCCTCTTTGTCGCCCGCCCTCGCTTCTACCCATCTCCTTCACTCGACAATCTCCGTCTCCCATCCACCTCCACCTCTAGTCCACCTCGCCCCTGCCGCCCCGGGCTGCGAGCATGCCCGCGTGCCGCGGCTCCGCTCACCGTTCGGCCTCTCGCCGCCGAGGTCGTCGTCGAGCGTGATCCGGGGCAGAGAGAGACCTCCGTCCACGGCGTCCCCGGACAGCACCGACAGCTCCAGCTGGGACCGCACCTGCGCGCCGCACCCACCGCACGCACTCCACGTCGCCGCACGCACGGCGCCGAGACAGCCACCGCCCCCGCACTGTCATGATCGCGGAGCGAAGCGACCGCCACGTGGAGTCGGGCTCCTCTTACCTTCTCCTTCAGCCCCTCCTTCTTGTTCTTGATGAGCTTCTTCATCTTGTCGATCCAGTTCCCTTTTCTGCGGCGGAAACACATGCGGCGCACACAGCTCGCGTCATAACACAAACACACGGTCTACAGAATACACAAGCACACACACAGCACTCCGTCTACATGATACAAATATCCCCCAATATAGCATTAACAGACTATTGGAGCGAGTGCTGTTAGCAAGCACCTATGAAGACCGGCATGGCACACGAGGCGGTGGGTGGCCAGCACCATGCCCAGCCGCCTTTATCTCCCTCGTGGCGATGACTTAGGGGAGGGCCCAGAACTTGTTCAAATAATCCGCCACTGTTATTGCTTGTGAGCAGGAATCGAACTCGGCTCAGCGGGTTACTACCACAGTACACTAACCACTAGGCTACAGCTCCCCAACCATGCACAGATCACACACGGGCACACACGCGGGCACTGCCGTGACCCCCCCCTCCCCACGCACCGTTTCGGGGAGGGGTCCGGGAGTCTGTTCTGATTCATGATCTTCTCCTCCAGCCGGTCCTTCTGCCAGCGGAGCTCGTTCAGCTTGTCCCTGCGGGAGGAGAGAGAGCGCCCGGGGTTCAGCTCACGGGGGTTTTATAGTTTAACTCCCCGTGTGAGCAACCGATTACATGTTATGATTTTGTGAGTACCTGCATAAATACTGTTAGTACTTGTGTGAATACCTGTTTGGTGAGTCTAGCAACTGCCCAGCGCGTACTCAACCGAACCGCGAGTACGTTTGGTAATGGCGCGCTCATTCTCATAGCGCGAGGCTGTCGCGAAGGACGGCGCTGCTGTGTTTCACAGGCCCAGTCACTCGGGTATTCTCCACCTTGCGCAAGTACTCGTGCGTACAGGTAGCCACCCACCCCGGAGGAACTAACACGGTCACCCACACTGGCACTCACGCGAGTGCTAACGCAGAGAGGTACTCACGCGTACAGGTACTCAGCCACATGCGCAGCCACCCACTCATTCACTCATCTAGTCATACACAGAGGTACACAGTTGCTAGACTCACCAAACAGGTATGCACACAAGTACTAACAGCATTTATGCAGGTACTCACGAAATCATAACAAGCAATCAATTGCTCACACGGGGAGTTAAACTATAAAACTATAAACTTTTTTTATTTTACCAAGTAAGGCCCACTGAGCTATGTAGCTCTTTTTCAGAAGAGACCTGGCCACAAATAATTAATAGCTCAACCAAGTGGCTTATCACGTGCAAATTTCTAGCAGTAAAAACTCTGAATTCCTGTTTCTAAATGTGGAGGGAAAAAACGGAGGACCCGGAGAAATGTAAACTCCAAATATGCAGACGTCAGGGTTGGGATTGAACCCACGACCACCAGCAGACCAGACGAGGGAGATAACATCTCGCCACGGTGGGGAGATGTTATCTCCCTCGCCTTGACACTCACGCAGTCACTCGCACACAGCTGCACTCACAGGTACTGCTTCTGCTCCTCCATGTACTGCTCCTTGCTCTCCATCGTCTGGTCCATGAGCTCCTTGTTGCGCGTCATCATGGTCTGCACCTGGTGGAGGAGGTGCCGGTTCTCCTCCTCCAGGTTCCCCTTCAGTTGAGTCAGCAGCTGAGGGTGGGGGAGGCGGGGGCAGACGGCGCCGGGGTTGGACTCACGCACCCCCCCCCCCAACCACTGGAGTTGCGCGACCTCCACGTCCAAGCGACCCGGACCTTGACCGACGCCAGGGCCGCTCTTCGTCGCTGAGCGGCGGTCGTCGGCGGCTCGGGTTATTGGCGTCGTAAACGCCCGACAGCGGCGCGGCTCGACATTCCGTGCACGCCATCGCGTAATGCAAGGGCCACTGGCCAACATGTCGCCGATTTTGTTTCTAGGCCACAGCGTTATTGACAAATGTGCCGAGTCCTTACGAGTAGGTTGGGGATGCTCGCTCTTTACATTTGAGCCAAGTCAGAATGTGAGCGACACCTTGACCAGGAATTAATTTTAAATAAATAACGTGAGAAGGGTGGAGAGCTTTGACGACGGTCGGCCGGGGCGTACCGCGAAGGCGAACCCTTCACCTCGCCTAGTCTTTCTACCGGGTCGACGCGGCCGAAGGTACGTGGGCCCATTGGCGTTGGGGGACCGTGCAAACCTCGTTTTAAAAGAGCACTGCACGACCTTCACGGTCGTCCCGTGTTTACGATCCGGACGCCGGTATCGACGCCCTACGCTCGTGCCACGTCGCCCCAGCGCAGACCGGAGCCCCGCGGCGTCAGGCCGATCCGCGGGGGTGCGGTGGAGTCATCGCGTGCGCGCGGGGTCGCCGCACCTCGCAATGGTTGGAGAACTTGGCCATGACGATGTCGAGCTGCTGGTGCTGCTCCTTGAGCTCGGCGTGCGCCGACTGCAGCCTGGCGTGCTCCAGCTGGGCGCCGTGCAGGGCGCTCGTGCTCGCGCGCAGCTCGCCCTGCAGCTCCTCGCGCTCCTTGCCCAGCTGCGCTTGCTCCGAGCAGAGCCTGCCGGTGCGCAGAGACGCCCCGCCCCCCAACCCACCCCGCGATCCTCGTTAGCGGCGCCGGCGGCGAGCACGCACGCACGCACCCAACAGACAGCGATCTCACCACGCTCCGCATTACCGACATGCACAAGCGACTCTTTATTAAACGTAAATTCGCTCGAACAACCAACATGAACGTTAACATTAGTTACAGTCTCATCTAGGGAAGCATCGGGGGAGCCTCCAGAAGGGTCCTGCACCGACGCTGGGCCAGTCCCCACAAATGAGTAAGCTGCACGATTCCTCAGTCGAGGATAAAAGCGGAAGGCCGCGCCTGCCCGACTGTAATAATGAGCGCCGGACACGGAGAGCCGGAAATAAACAACAACCAAAAGTGCTTTCCCACGCGCTGGGTACGAGGAGGTGGTGTGAGAGGGATGGTGGGGGGGGGGGGTGGGGGGGGAGGTGGGGGGGGGGAGGTGGGGGGGGGGAGGTGGGGGGGGGAGGTGGGGGAGCTCAGAAGATGAGGTTGAGGATGCGCGAGAGGGCGTGCGGGGCCCCCTGTCGTGCAGTAGCACACTTGTCGTGCTCGAGACGCAGGCAGCGGTGCTCGAGCAGCAGCGAGGCGTGGCGGCTCGCCTCCTCCTGCATGCGCTCGCGCTCCGCGTGCAGGCTGCCCTCCAGCTCCTCCAGCTGCCCCCGCTGGCTCTCCAGCTGGTTGTACCTGCGGCGCGGACAGGGCGCAGCGGGATAACAACGAGGCTCGCCGAGCAGACCGAGCCGGCGTCCCGTGCCTTCGCAGCTTGCGCCGCCGACTCCCGGTGTCGCTCGCGCCGGGCGGCTTGGCATGAGCCGCTTGTCTACCCAAGAATGGGAGTTTGGAGAAGACGTTCGATGGTCAGTTCAACACGTAGGCTTTCGCGACCAACATCATCCATAAGAGGTTTTTGGGGTTATGGACGTCCGATGGTTTTTGGGCTCGCTTGTACCTCCTGCAACAGCGCGTGTTGCGCAGTGATCGGTGATGCGGGTGATGCATTTGCATTTCGCTCACTTACAAAGAACCGCAGACTCACACACAGATGGGTAAACTCACATTAGGTACACACGGATTAGCACAAAGGCCCATGGACTCGCACAGAGACCCGTGCACTATGCTACACAGTGCGATGCGAGCGAAGGGTCTCGCTTCACCGCAGTCGCGATTGGAGGGGCAGCGACTCCTTACTTCGCCGCTCGCGGAGTTCTAACCGCCTGGTTCCGCGCAGGCCGGCGTTTGAGAGGCACGGAGAAACCCGAGGGAGTTCCCCCCCCGCCGGTTCTAGAGCCGCGCGAGGAACGCCGGCGCGGTACCTCTCCTGGAGCTCCCTGTGCGCCAGCTCGAGGGTGCGGTGGGCGCCCTTGAGGCCGCCGTGCTTGGCGATGAGCGCCTCGTACTCGGACGCCTGGCGCTCGTGCAGGACGCTCAGCCGCTCGTGGTCGCGCAGCAGCGCCTCGTAGTTCCGGCGCAGATCGTCCCGCGCGCGGCCCAGCGCCTCCAGCTCGCTCTCCAGGCCTGAGCGCACGCCCTGGAGCTGCGCGTTCTGCGCCAGCAGCGTGGACGCCTGCGCGTTCAGCGCCGAGCCCTCCACCTGCGCGCGCGACCGGTCGGTGCCGGGCGTCAGCAGGGGCGGCGCAAGCTCGTCCGCGGTTCACGTCTACCGCGGGCAAATGCTCCTGCGGGGCGCCGCTTGCGCACGCCGGCACCCGCCCGCTGGAGGAGTTGGGGCACGCACCTGCAGCTTGGCATTTTGCGTTTGCAGGGCGGCGTTGTGCTCGTGCAGGGCGGCGGCCTGCTGCTGCAGGGCAGCGACCTGGCCCTGCAGGCGATCGTTCTGCGTCTCCAGCTGCCGGAACTGCGCGGATTGCGCCTGGCGCTCCGCCTGCAGCGTCGCGTTCTGTGCGGCCGACCGGGACACGAACGCGTGCACGTAGGATCAGGCGCGCGTGGTGGAGCCCCCGTGATGCTAGACTGTGTTGTGTGTGTGGTTAAACATCAGCACTGGAGGGGACTTGACCCTGAGACTGTGGGGTTGCGTGCGTGTCCATGTACGTCTGTGTGTGTGTGTGTGTCCGTGCGTGTCTGTGTGTGTGTCCGTGCGTGTCCGTGTGTGTCCGTGCGTGTCCGTGCGTGTCCGTGTGTGTCCGTGCCTGCCCATGTGCATCTGTGTGTGTCCGTGCGTGTCCGTGTGCATCTGCGTGCGTCCGCGCGTGTCAGGCGAGCACTGGGGGGGATAGAGAGGACATTGCCAGGGTGATAGTGTCATACGGCTCGCTCCACGTCGATGAGCCGGTCCTTGACTCGGAGCAGCTCCCGCGTCGCCTCCTGCCCCTCCCAGCCACCCGAGGAACCGCTCTCCGTTTGCCGCTCATCCTCACGGTGCCTCAGATCCTCGTAACTCTTCTTCACCTTGTGTCGACAGACACTGACATTCAGTCGGATGTCCTGGAAATCCACCACAAGTTCTAGGATGCAGATCGTCACTCGTGAAACTTTCAAAAGTTGAGCTGGGGACTTACGTATATTAGCTCCTCCCGGAGCTGCGTGTTGGTGTCGGACAGCGCCCGCATTCGCGGCTCCAGCGCTGAGCCCTCGCTGCTCTCCTCCCTGATCACCAACGGACCAACTGCAGGCTCCAGCAGCTCAGTGTCGCTGCAACCAGAAACAAGAACGACAGTCAGGAAATCAGCGCAGTCTCGGTCGATCGCCAAAATCTCGCCAGCACAGTGCTCCCGAAAGCCGTGGCACGAGTGTCGCGTAGCCGACGGCACCGTGAACGAGGACGCTCCGTCTCCCCGCTGCACTGGCCCTGCCGGCGCTCCCGGGAATCGGGCCCAATTTCCTGGCGCTGCTGCTTCAGCCTCTCCAAGTCGGCACTCAGCTGCTGGAACCTCAGTTTTTCACACACCAGCTCCTGCAGCACAACAGCACCACGGTAAGCGGCAAGGGCCGTCGCTCCGTTCCCGTCACGTCCCCGTCCCCGTGCGTCACCGCCTTGACGAGCAACCGCCCCCGGCGGGCAGGGCGCACGCACCTCCTGCAGGGCGGCAAGGGTCGTGCCGTCAAGGGAGGCCTGCTTGGCGGCGTCGCGGGCCTCCCTCTCCACCTCCTGGAGCCGAGCGCAGGCCTCGCGCAGCCGAGCGGCCTCCAGCGACGCTTCGCTCGCCTCCCGCTGCGACCGCGCCGCCAACGCCGCGCGCTCCTCCAGGGTGCCCTCCCGCTCCTCCAGCAGCTGCCGCAGCCGCCGGCTCTCCTTGCCGAACTCGCGCGCCTCCCGCTCCGCCCGCGCCAGCTCGGCCTCCAGTCCCGCACGCGCCAGCTCCAGTCGCTCGGCGCGCTCCCTCTCCTGCGGAAGTCACGAGGGGGGAGTGGGTGGGGGGGAGGTGGTAGGGGTGAGCGGCAGCAGTCCGACGATCGCCGGACGCTCGTCGTCCGCCCGACGGCTCGACCGACGTCCGCACGGCCGGCGACCTCACCCCGCCCCCCCCCCCCCGGAGCGGCCGCGCCCACTCACGTCGGCACCGTCTAGCAGCCGGCGCTCCAACTCGCCAGTCTTGTGCCCGGACTCCTCCAGCGCCGCGCGCAGCTCCTGCGCCTCGGCCTGCAGGCCGCGCACGCTGGCGTCGAGCCTCTCGGCCCGGCGCCCCGCGGCCCGCGCCGCCTCCAGGCTCTGCAGCAGCGCCTCCCGGCTCTGCTCCAGCTCCAGTTTCTCGAGCTCGACGAGCGCCAGCCGTGCCTTGGCCGCGCGCAGCTCCTCCGCCTCCCGCCTCAGCTGCAGGTTTTCGTCCTCGAGCTGCGCACACTCAGAGCGCAGCGCCTCCAGTTCGGCGGCGCGGTCGCGCAGCGCGTCCAGCACCTTCTTGAGACGGCGCACCTCGGCCGCGAGCGCCGCGTTCTCCTGCTCCATGGCATGTGCGCGCTCGCTCGACACCAGGAGCGTGGCGGCGCGGCGCTGCAGCTGCTCTGTGTCCTTCCGTGTCTTGCGGGCCTCGGCCTCCAGCTCGCCGACGCGCTCCTGTTGGCGCTCGAGGTCTGACAGCGCTCGCCGGCGCTCGGCCTCCGCTTGGCCCAGGCGCAAGCTCGTCTCCGCCAGCGTCTCCTGCGTACGGAGGCATCGGCGATCGGCAAGGAGCCTGCGCTGCAGCAATCCCAGGCACCGAACTAAAAACTCACGCCCCACAACTCGCCATCTTTGCCCGGCGCTAGTACCGACCCGACACCCTCACCACAGCGCGAGCGCTCACGCCAACCTTAACCAGATCGCCACGGCCCAAACCGCCGGCAGCGGTACCTGCAGCAGGCGCGTCTCGGTGGCGCCGTCGTCCCTGGCCCGTGCCTCGGCACCGGCCTTCATGGCGTCTCGCAACGTCGCCACGGTCCCGCGCAGGTGAGTGTTCTCCTCCTCCAGCTGCTGCACCTGTAGGGGTCACGAGCCGGGCAGGAGGAGCGGAGGGGCGGTACGAGAGTCACCGCTGTTCTGTCGAGACACTTTCGTCTGGCTCACTGAGCATCTTGTGAAGCGATGAGGCAGACGAGGCCACATCTCTCCTGAACTCCGTATACTGCTCCCATTTCGATCCCAAAGGTTCGTGGTTCATTTCCAGCGGCTGCCCTGGTTAATGCTGCGTGTTTTAACTGTCAAAATACCACGCGCCATCTGCTTCGCAGTGGACATTAAAGATCCCGTGACGTCATTTGCAAGAGTCGGCCATTGTGTGCCGACGTCATCGTCAAAATTTGCCTAATTAGAACACTTAAACCGCAAACTCCTCAATGGAAATATACAGAGCAATTATCGCCCTCTACCGCAAAAACTTGCCAAGAGTTACCTCAAAAAAGAGTCAACAGACTCAGCGAGGCTTTCCTGGGCAAACAAACTAAATCATCATCTCACCGCATCTGTGGCCGCCAAGGGCGGGCCCCTGGGAGCGGCCTGCACTCACCTTCCTCGCCATGGCTTCGCGAGCCGTCTCCACCGTCCTCTCCAGCTGCACCTTCTCCTGCAGCAGTCCCTCCCTGAGGTCTCCGGCCGAGCGCAGGCCCTGCAGCTCCAGCTCCAGCAGCTCCACCTGCCCGGCAGGGCGGAAGCTTAGCGCGACACTTGCTCGCGATGCCGTGACGATCCCACCTCACAGCGCCGGGGGTCACAAGGTATTTTTGACCTCAAGAGAATTTGGAACCCGGGATCGGAATACCAGGGGGATCAAAACACTATCTCACGCCGGCCTGGCCCCCACCGCACCTTTCTCAGCAGGTCCTGCTCGCCGGCGTCCTGCTGCTGGCGCCCGTCGCTGCCGCCCCCCTCGGTTGCCTCCTCCCTGGCCGACCGGCGCGGGCGAGCGTCGCCGAGCTCCGCCGGACTCTGCGACGCCAGCGCCTGCTGCAGCTCCAACACCGTCTGCTCCAGCAGCCGGTTGTCGGTCTCCAACTGGATGAGGCGGCCCGACACGCTCTCGCCCACCTCGGCGCTCAGCGCCCTGCCTGCACTCGCACAACGGCCGTCGCACGGGCATCAGCGTGGGCCGGTCCAGATTATGTTCTCGCGTGTCTATGTGCCCACGCGAGAATGCGTGTGTACGCGTCTGCAGCTATCTGTGTGCGTCACTGCATCCGTGCGATGTCTGCGAGCGCTGCATGCCGGCGGCGCTGTCCTCGGAGCCGCCCGTCTGCCGGCGCTCCCTGCTACGTTGTGCCGACTCCTCCAGGCTCCGCTTCTGCGCAATCTCCAGTTGCAGCTTCTCCTCCAGCACCTCATCCAGCCGCTTCTGGCTTTCCTCGTATTCCTGGGGGCGGCACCATCACGACGCCGCTCGACTGTGCTCCTCCGTGGCCGGCGCCGAGGGTTTTAGGAGGGGGCCGCGCTGGTGTCGCCTGCGCCCGTTACCATGTGCAGGTCCTGCAGCCGCGAGCGCAGCACGAGCCGCTCTTTCTCCAGCTCGTGCGTGCGGTCGCAGCGAGCCCTCGCCGCCTCCAGCTGCTGCTCCAGCACGGCCCGCGTCTCCAGCAGCACGGCCGTGTCTCCCTGCAGCTCCTTCACCGCCGCGGCAGGCGACGCGACGCGCACACGGGCGACACGACAACCACAGCACCTCCGATTAGCACGGTTGGCGACGTAGGGTGTTAAAGAAGTTCATCGCACACACGTACATATGAACACGCGATAAAACGTAACGGCGACCAGAACGCAAAACGCGGCGACAACCGCGCAGCCCAACTGCCGGCCCACACCTCGACGCGGGCCTTGTAGAACGGCAGGTCCTGCAGGCGTTCCCGCAGGCGCTCGACGTCCGCCTCGAACCGCTCGGCGCGCCCTGCCTTCTCCAGCAGCCCGTCACGCTCGTCCCGGAAGGCTCGCACCCAGCGCGCATCGGTCGCCAGCTGCTGGCTCTGGCACAGCGCGACACGACGCTCGCTAGAGCCGGGGCCCGTTGACCGAGGGCGTCGACACAGCCACCGCCACGCTCGACCGCAGCGTTAGAATGACTCCATCCTTGGCCAAATCCTCGGCTGGCGGTGGTGTCAGCTCAGACTTTATGGCGTCGTAAAACGTCCGCGTGTGCGCACGCACTCTGTATACGCCGAGTGGGTTAGGGGTACTTTCTTTGTTCACTCACAAACTCCTCGATGAAGGATTTTATTTTTAAAAAAATAAAGAACCAGGGCGAACCCTGGATGTGTATGTATGTGTGGTGGCGTACTCACACGGACACTCTTAGCTTTTCTCCTGTGTCACTATTTACCTTGCATTCAGTGTGGATGCTCCTCACTTACACTAACACACACACCCTTGTTCCGAAATCCCCCGACTTTCCCCTACTCATCTCCGCACACCTCGTGTGCGGTAACCACCCTGTCTCCCCCGCTATCTCTCTCACTCTATACTCCGCTAACTCTCTCACTCAAGACTCCGCTAACTCACTCACTCAGTACTCCGCTAACTCTCTCACTCTATACTCTGCTAACGCTCTCACTCTATACTCCGCTAATCCTCTCACTCAGTACTCCGCTATCTCTCTCACTCTATACTCCGCTAACTCTCTCACTCAGTACTCCGCTAACTCTCTCACTTTATACTCCGCTAACTCGATCACTTTATACTCTGCTAACTCTCTCACTCAATACTCCGCTAACTCTCTCACTCAATACTCCGCTAACTCTCTCACTCTATACTCCGCTAACTCTCTCACTCTATACTCCGCTAACTCTCTCACTGTATACTCTGCTAACTCTCTCACTCTATACTCCGCTAACCCTCTCACTCTATACTCCGCTAACTCTAACTCTCTCACTCAGTACTCCGCTATCTCTCTCACTCTATACTCCGCTAACTCTCTCACTCTATACTCCGCTAACTCTCTCACTCAGTACTCCGCTATCTCTCTCACTCTATACTCCGCTAACTCTCTCACTCAGTACTCCGCTAACTCTCTCACTCAATACTCCGCTAACCTGTCCTGCTTCCCACACACCTCCGCCCTCGTCCCTGCCCCCAGCAGGGGATGAGCCAACACTGCTGGCGAGGACGAGGTGAGGAGCGCTAGGTCCCAGGCGTCTTCTCCCCGACTCTTGTGTTTTTCATCCCTCGAGCACCAACCCCGTGCTGCTCCCTTATATATCCCTCCTCATTTGGGGTCCTCACTTACCCCCTCATTGAGCTGGCGCCTCTACGGCGCTTCCGGCACGCGCTCTCTCTCTCTCTCTTATCGCCTCCATCTCCCGCCCCTCCGGCATCTACCCCGTGTTCCCACGCTTGCACCTGCTCGTCCCCAAATGCACCCGCTCAATCACTGCTTCTCCCCCTAATTGCTGCCGCCTCTCCAGCGCCTAATCCATGTTTCCCCGCTTACCTCTGCGCGACCTCAGTTGCGACCTCTCTTTGCTAACCCCGCGCTACGCCACTACATATGTACGGTCGCCCTATGTCGCTCAGCACTGCCACTCACATCTGAAGCAAGGCCAGCTGGGGTCTGTGCATGCGCGCACTTACCTCGTGCTGCAGGCGCTTCAGCTCGGCACTCAACTGCTGCGCCTCGGCCCTGCAGTCGAGCAGCTCCTCGCTCCGCTCCTCCCTGCCGGGACCACACGGCCATACTTCACCACCGACGCCAGCAGCTCACCGACCCAACCGCAAGGGGCGTGCGCGTTTGTGCCCGCGGGAGCCGAGCGACGCGTCTCTTAACGCTGGCGCGGACGTGACCGCGTGCGCTGCCCGTTTCGGGGGCTTACAGGTCCTGGCGCACGCGACGCAGCTTGGCTTTGCTGTCGGCGAGCTCCACAGCCAGGTGCTGTCTGCTGTCCAGCGCCACCGCCGCATCCGTGCCTGTGCCGATCGGGGTCCGCATGCCGGCGCCAGGTCCCGGCCGCCCCTGCGACAACGCTGCCGCCGTCTGCGCCGTCTGCGCCGAGTCCCGCTCCTGCTGCAGCTCCACGATCGCCTGCCAGACAACATGGCAGCACGCCACGGCTACGGCGCCAGCTGCAACCCACGCTGCTTCATGCTGGGGCAAATTAACGGCAGTGCGCCGGCCGTAGGTCTGCGTGCGAATGCTCACGTCGGCATATTTGTCACGCTGGCGCAGCAGGTTCCGGAGCTGGTGCAGCAGGGTGCCGGTGACGGCCTGCAGCTCGTCTCGTGGCAGCTCCTCCAGTTCGGACCACTGCATCTCCAGAACGTTCTCCGGGTTCTGTGTCACCTGCACGCATGCACGCACGGGCGCCATCGTGCTCGTACACCGGTCTCACCGCGCGGTTCCCGTGGGGTTAGCGTGTGCGGTTGGCGCGGGGAGGCACCTCCTGGATGTGAGAGACGATGTTCGCCTGCGTGGACAGGTCCAGCTCCGTGATCTTCTCGATGAACACCTCCTTGTGCTCGCACTGGAGGTACAGCAGGAGTTAAGGACGGCTGGGAAAAATACGGCGGCTTCTGAACAATGAGCACTGCAAATGGGCGACGGGAGGAGCGTCCATACCTGCACGGCACACCCCAGCATCAGCAGCAGGATCTTCCTCATCTCGTCAATGCCTTGCTCTGAAAATCAGAGATTCAGGCAAATTCCATAAAAGTCTCTGTGTTCAAGCACTTCGTTTATTATTGCTTGTGTGTGTGTGTTCATGTGGACATGGACGTCCACCCTGGCCGAGGCAGCCCATAGGGCACGGTAGTGTGGTGCGAGTGTCAGAGTGATGTCATCACCGGTAAACGGGTCCCTGGCGATGGTGAACACGCTGGGGAGAGCCATCACGACCCACTGCTGCAAAATCTCCTGCATCACAACAAAAGAACATGAACGCCCTGATGTCAACACCACTCACTCACCACCCATCCCACTCACCCAGCACCCACACCACTCGCATAAAACACCACCCAATACCCACACCATTCACCCAGGACCCACACCACTCACCCAGAATCCATAGCACTCGATCAACACACACAACACGCACACTCCTTCCTCTATCCATCCACCAAAGTGAAAAATAACAACTGCCAAGCTGCCCGAATGCCACAAAACCCAGGCAGGGTCACAACAGTGACCACAAAGCCATTGTGGCCGGACGTGCCCACTGGCATCTTTACGGGCACCCGAGGGCAGCGCTGGCCCCACACCGCGTCGCCACCTTCGTCCAAACCCCCGGCATTGGGCGAGTGTGAATATTGCTCCACCACCCCATCCCACGTTCCCCGCAGGGCCCAATGGGGGCCCCGCGGTGGCAGATGGGTGCGTGGCAGTGGCGATGAGTGCGAAGTATTGCGCAAGTGGGCAGGAAGGAAGAGGTTTGATTTCACATGCCGTGCGTGCGGAAGTCAATGTGCGCGCGGCTGATAAAGCGTCTTGGGGCTGGCGTCCACAGAGCCAATCCGCGCTCTTCATTAGCCTGCCCCCCCGTCCCCCCACCCCCCGCACTGTGCGGAGGTAGCAGCTTTCCATTTATGCGTGTATGAGCAAGTCCATCTGAGGGAAACTCGAATACAAAATGGCTATTTTCCCCCCACAGATATAGCCACTTTTGAATTAATCTTCATGCAGCTAAATAGACTCACGATTCCAAACGCTCGTGTTGTTTTTGTTTCAAAATATTAAGCAACCGATGTGTTTTCCAGTCGGTGTGAGTTCCACGTAACTGAGAGATTTTCCCACCTACTTGTAGAGTGGACATATGCTCACACAGGTACTGACAAACGCAACGAATATCCAATCTGATGGGCGCCAGCGCTGCCGGCTATGCACGGCTCCGTCTCACGTCTGCAAAACCAGCCTCCCTTTCGCCGTCCTCCGCGACGTGTTTTTCGAGCCAAGCTTCCGCGCCACTCTCTGGGGAGGAACCACGATCTCCCCGTTTCCCCACGTGTGTTCCTGTTCCCTGCCCAACGCTGGCGTGACCGGGACCACAACGGTTCCAGGCAACGCCAGACTCGGGCGTGGCGTGGCCTGGACCGCAACTGATCTGGATCAGGAGAAACGTGGACTTCTAAATACGTGACGGTGAGCGGCGGGCCTGGCGTGCATTAGGCCCTGCGCACTGTCGGTCATGTGACGGTGTCCACACCTGGTAGTAGCTTTGGATGCGGCGCACCAGGAACCGCAGGTTCTGAACGCGCAGACTCACGTCACCGTTGACTTGCTGGTGAGCCACATGGTTGGTTGGACGTGGGTCACTGAGAATGAACCAAGAAAGCATTTTTTTACTAACCTAACTAGAACTTCCACAGGCAGCAGAAAGATAAATACAACCGCCCCCATAGCCTATAAAGGCTGGCATGGCACATGAAGTGTGTGGCCAGAACTAGGCCTTGTTACAACCACACCAGGTACTTATTAAAGCCGAGTCGACCTAGGGGAGGCCTAGGAGCGGTTTATATAATCGCCACTGGTGTTAGCCACAGCCAGGAATCGAACTCGGTTCATAGCGCAATTTTCCAACCGCTGAGCTACCGCTTCACAAAGGCAGCACGCACACAGCACAGACATCAGCAGTGCACAATGATGCCAGTAGCTGAGCCTGTGTCCCCCAGGACTCTGCAATCCCTGCCCAGCACCTACATGAGCTGCATGAAGTCGTTGAGGACCACGCCGTCCACTAGGCCCAGGTACTCGGAGCTGCTGCCGGCGCCGGGTTCGGCCAATGGGCCCATCGTCTTCACCTGCCGGCGTGCACATGATGGGACATACCCTTGCACACTGCTCATGCTTTGTCCACACCACCTCCACATCTGGACATTATCACCCTCTGCTCCTGTTCACTAGGTAACCACCATGATCTGCACGAATAATGATATCTTGTGTGTTTTTTTACCAAGACAGTTTCAATGACTGTAATGTTCTTCTTCAAAAGTGTGTTGTGGTAGTAGGAGACCAGATTACCAGAACACAATACACCAGGCACACTCCAAGGTCCGCACAGACAAGTTCACAAACCCGCTTGATCCACAACCATCTCCTGGGCACAGCGCAGCTTGACAGGTTTGTAAGCTTCACAAAACGAGGTGATACGCCACCCTCGCCTTGGCTTGAGGCATGTGCCACTGTGCCCGGCTCTGATAAGTCAGCTCTTTCACACATAGTCTCACTTATTTCAGCATGATTACTCCATCGAGGGACCGAGCCATCAATATGGTGGGGGCATGGGTGTGGCCCCAGCACCTTAATATCGAGCCGGACCGGTCCGGAACGCTGCTCCAGAAATAATTTTGTCACGCCACAACAATCTCAACTTGTGTCAGTTTCATGACACTTATTTTGTCCTCATAATTATAGCAATATAGGGTACAATCATATATAATTATTATGGATAGACACACGTTGTACTCAAGTGGTTTAGTGCCTTATGTCAATAATACATATTATTCCAAGTCAGGCTAGCAGAGTTATGGAGAATATCGAGTGATAAATTAATCCCTATGTGGTGGCTACGCCAGAACATCAATAGTCAACATGTAATTATGTTCAACTAACGTACACAAAATGCATGTCACGGTGATTCCACCCAGGATGTTGTGCAGCTAAAAAGCATCATCCTGAAGAGGTGCAGTGCGACGAGCATCTCTCCTGGTCCATGAATAATTAATTATCACACCCCAGTCCCCCCTCACATCTGTCAACCCCTTGTCAGTGCCTACCTTATTACAGACCAATTCAGACCTTATTGGTCACCCGTGCCCTTATAGCTATCAACGTTCATCCTACAAAGTTTCATCATAAGGGAGAAACACAAACAAATAGACAAAGAATGTGCCCGTATTGAAACGGCTGTACGCCGTATTGACCTGCTAACTCAATTTCCCTGTACAAGAATACGGGTAAACCGTACGGGTCGACGACAGGTGTGCCCCTCCCCACCCGGTGGACGCTAGCGATGAACAATATCTAATTTAAAGGAATGGGCCAAAATGGCAGAACACGGTGAGGATTTCTGGAGTGAAAAAAATACATCTCCCCCATATTGAAGAACAACCCATGGACAATCTCTTGGGGTGTCCACCTCTCTCGTGGGTCCCACCACCACCACACACACAGGGGGAGCCGCCGGTCCCACCACCACCACCACACACAGGGGGAGAGCCGCCGGTCCCACCACCACCACTACCACACATACAGGGGGAGAGCCGCCGGTCCCACCACCACCACCACACACACGGGGAGAGAGCCGCCGGTCCCACCACCACCACCACACACACAGGGGGAGCCGCCGGTCCCACCACCACCACACACACACAGGGGGAGCCGCCGGTCCCACCACCACCACACACAGGGGGAGAGCCACCGGTCCCACCACCACACACACAGGGGGAGCCGCCGGTCCCACCACCACCACCACACACACACAGGGGGAGCCGCCGGTCCCACCACCACCACCACACACAGGGGGAGAGCCACCGGTCCCACCACCACACACACAGGGGGAGCCGCCGGTCCCACCACCACCACCACACACAGGGGGAGCCGCCGGTCCCACCACCACCACCACACACAGGGGGAGAGCCACCGGTCCCACCACCACACACACAGGGGGAGCCGCTTACCCAGGCGACCAGGGCGCCGCTCAGGAACCGCTCCATCTCGCCGTGGCTCGGCTCGCGGGACCCTTCCTCGCCTCGGGTTCCCGGGCCAGGCTCGGCCTGCAGGCCGCCTCGGGGTTCCATGTCCACGTCCCCGGGGCCCGTGCCGCATGCCGGGGTGGGGGCGCGGGGTGGTTTTGGGGGCGGTGGAGGCTCGGGTTGGGGGGGGGGTCCCACCTCACTGCACCGGCTGCCTCATGGCCGAGCTGGTAGGTAGCAGACCTCACGCAACAAACGGACGCAGGCGGCGGATCAAATCAGCATCTTCCCGTGGGAGGGCTTTTTTTGGGGGGGGGGGTTTGGGGGGGGTAGCAAACGGTGCCCGTAGGGGCGCGTTCGCTCAGAGCCGGCGACGTTGACGATGATAATTTTCGGGACGACAACGAGAGAGACAGAGAGAGGGGGGAGGGCAACGTGGTCTGGCGACCTTTGGGCTCGGGGTGTTGCCCCCTTCCGCCCCTGTCGCCTCTGCGGGAGGAGGCGTCACGACTCCGCATCTGCCCGGGGCGCAGCCAGCCACGGCTCCGAGGCCACCACCACCACAGCGACCCCCCCCCACCCACCTCGCTGGCCCGCCTGGCCTCGGTGCCACAGCGGAGCCGGCAGGCCCCGGGCACAGAGGGCTGTGGGTGGGCACCGCGACGACGCGCTCACCTGCAGCAGCAGCAGCAAGGGGGATGCGCGTCTGCTCCATTGCCTCCTGAAAACGGCGCTTCGAAGACGTCACCACCACCACCTTCTCAAGCAGCAGCGGCGGCAGAAGTCGCAAGAGGAACGTGACCCAGGAGATTTGGTCGTGACAGATTTATTCACCACGCGAGCGCTCGACCAGCACCAGCACCACCCACGCCGGTGCCGACACGAGGATCCTTGTTACAAGCACCGCGTCCTCCTTACCCCCGTGTCCAGAGACCCCCCACCAACCCTCCCACACCGAGCTCCGCATGGGCTGTGAATGTCACGCACACCTCCTGTTAGATGACAGCGACCCCTGGCGGCTGCTGCAGAGAGTGGCACGAGATGGGGAAGGTGGTGGTGGTGGGTGGTGGTGGTGAGGCTCATAACGGTTCAGTATGGGCCACCGCGTCAATATGGCCAAATAGTCTAAAACGCCGGCTTAGCAGGATTTCGCGTTAATAGCCGCAACCATGTCGGCTAAATAATAAAATAATTCCACGTAGCCCCCATGCAGTCTTCGCTGCCCCCTACAGAGCACGTGGAAAGCTGCTGCCCCCCACCCTCCCACTGTTTGTCACGTGTGTTCGGTGGAGCACCGCTCCCTTACAGCCCCGTGCTCGCGTTTGAATTTAAAGCTCCCACACAGCACTTGAGCGCTCAATTATAATTCACGGCCAGTGGTGTGCGTTGGTACATTGTCTCACTGGGCCTTTAAGAGTTATTGCGATAGCGAAGAGAAATTACTCCACCTGTGGATGAATTCACGGTGCCAAGTTTAAAAAAATACCCTAAAATTCCACAATTGGGATTACGCACAGGAGCAATCATCGCCCCCTACTGCGAAAACGTGGCAGGACCCCCCCCCCCCCCCCCCCCCCCCTTTAAGTCATGAGGTCGAGGCTTTTCTGCGTAAACAAGCGCACATAATGATATGCCGCCTTGTATCCAAAATAGACTTTGGTAAATCCACTGCTGGATGAGGGCCACTCCGCGTCGTGCGGGCCATGGGTCTTATTTGACCAAACTTCAACCACTCGGTTCCGTGTGGGCTGGTGAGCAGAGCTGTACTGTCCCCTGCTGTCTAATACGCAACCAGGCAGCTAAAATTGTATTTGAACGGTTCACTGAAGTATTCAGCATACAAGCTGATTTTGTTAAACCACGAAGAGAACGCAAAAGACCAGGATGAGTTTAATTTACAAGAGTTGATCCCGTTCAATAAATTTACAAAAGCGAAGAAAAATCTAAACAAGTGATATATCGGAATGGGAAGGCGATTTTGTTTTCGGCATATATTCTGCAAATCTCCGGTGTGTATTCCGTGTGAAAAGGCGAAACGTGAACCGGTGATTTCGTGCGATTTTATTTGGTTTCCCTCGCGATAATATTTCGTCCAGGCGACAAATCGAGCGACTCTGTGGAATGAGGACAATATGCACATTTGGGAGCGATTCCAGCAAGGCCATGGCCATGGAATCAACATTGGGGGGGACCAAATCTTCCAGGGGATCTGGGGGTCCCAACCCAGAAAAATATCTAAATGTGAAAACTAATTTCCTGCCATTTCCTGCCTAAAATATTTAAAAAATTCACTAACACATGGGATGGATTTTTTTTATTTTCTTACAACAATGTCTAATAGTGTATTGTATTACATTGCTCTGTTTTTACTTTTTTTACCATTTCTTGTTTCATTGTATGTAATGTTTGAGATTAGGGATGAATAAAGTACAACCATAACCACAATCATATAAACATAAATCTATGCATTGATTTATATGAAGGCAAGTCCAGATATTGTGGCCAAGGTTTAGAAAATTGTTGTTTTAATTTACATAGCATAGCAATTATTATTACTTTTTATATTTTTATAGCAATATATTGGGGGGGGACATTCTGAGCATATTTGATGTGTCCCCCCAAATATATATTATAATTACGGTATTAGATTCCGGGCACGTATGATGTATCTTGTATCGTCAGTTTGCTGATGCACACATCTCCCATCTAATTCGTGAATGCAAAATTAAAGATAAGCCACAGTCGCGCGATTGTGGCCATGCAACCCAAACTTTGGACCTTGTTGTAAACTTCTGTGCTGTAGTTTGTGCTCCTTCAACGTAGGGGGAAGAGTAAAACTACAACAATTGTCTCCTTATAACCCCTCGCGTCGTGGCCAGCAGGCCTCGACGTTGGTATTTATCTGCTGAAGATGTGGCCATACGCAAGAATAGAAATAAAACTGTACTTGGTAGATTGTTTAGCAGGTAGATTTTCTTGCACAGGGGTCGGCAACCACAACAAGCTGCTTTTTTTCGAATTCGGTAAAAAACGGTCGATATTTAAAGATGTAAAGAGCCGAAATGCATGTGAATACAATACGGTCCTTAATCAATAACGTCACGAATCAGTCCTTAAAGAGCCGCATGTTTGCCCACCGCTTGTTGTTGTTGTTGTCGTTTTTTGAGTGAGATTCGTCTCTTTATGTTCCGCTTTGATGAGTTTGGGCAACCACCGTCCCTAGCAGAAGTCCTGGCTGGGTAAGCCGTCACCACGATGGTGGTTGTGGTTGTTGGTGGTGCCGGCTCAAGGCTGCAGGGGGCGCAGTGCGACCACCGCGCCCCTCTCCGGGGGTCTCACGCGGCCACGGCTCGAGGCCCGGGTCGAGAACACGCGAGGTCGCGCGGAGCTCTCCCGGGGGCGCGTGAGACGAGTAAGGGCCCGCGTGAGACGAGTAAGGGCCCGCGTGAGACGAGTAAGGGCCCGCGTGAGACGAGTAAGGGCCCGCGAGAGACGAGTAAGGGCCCGCGAGAGACGAGTAAGGGCCCGCGAGACGCTCCTCGCGAGGCCGGACACTTCTGGCGGGCCCGCGTGAGACGAGAAGGGCCTCGGCGGCTCCGCGATGCGCGACAACCGGTATAGCAACCCCGCGCTGATCAGGGTGGCCAAGGGCGTCCTGCTGGCCGAGTTGCTGGGCCTGGTCGGGGTCTACTGCCTCTACTTTAAGATGGATGGGAGCCAAGGTGAGAGGGGTGAGAGGGGTGGGGAGGGGGGAGGGGCCCGGGAGGGGCCCACCGGGCCCACCCCAACCCAACCACACCGCGCGCGGCCCACAAGAACCCACGGGGGCCCCGCGCTGTGGCCAGCAAGGGTGGCAGTGCTGTAGAGGGCGAGGTCCGTGGGGGCGATTCACTTGGGGATTGTGCCGTGAATGAAAATCCCTGCGCCCGGTGGGCGTTAGGGGATATTGCAGGGAAATCCATTGCTGTAGCTTCAGTGTGTGCAGTACTGACCGGCATGGTGAAGTATGGTCAAGTATTCCCCACGGCCCGCCAGGTGTGGGAAGACCCTCATCCAGCAGTGGATTTGCGTACAGGGATGCGCTGGGTGCTGTAGTCGTGGAATGAAGAGGACATCACGATCCCAAGAATGGTTATGAGGACGTTGAGATTGGGGTTTCGTGGATGAGTGGCGTGAGAATTCCCAGGTCAGGGTGACGCTTTACATTCAGACATTGATCCTCGGTGTTTGCCTTCGTTTCAGACTTCAGGTACAAGGTGCACAGGAGGGTACCTCTCGTCCTAGAAGGTTGGTATTGTATCCCGTCTTGACAGACATCGCGCATAAACAAATACAATGAACAGTGTGCCATGCGTGTAGCACCGAGTACAATGCCCGGTCGACATTGCAACTTGTCGTTGGACCAACGTTTCGCACCTCCGATGAGCGCGGGTCGGCTACGTACGGTGCGAAAGAAGTTCAACACATATACACGTGTGCTGGGTTGTAGTGGGCTGCACCTCGTGCATCCACTGGGACAATGCTTCTCTACATTTCCCATTCCACGACACACACTTTAGAGCAGTGGTTCTTCTAAACATGGGCTGCAACGCACCTCGTGGCGGTGCGAGATGCCCTTTTTGGGGGTCTGGGGGAGGGTGCGAGACATGGCCAGATCCCCCCCACACAAGGTAAATCATGGAAACAAATTAAGCAAGGGCACGTAAGTACAACTACTTTAAGGAACGAAACAGGAGGATTTATCCACAAATCTGTCTGTCCGCCTGATGATGCTCGTAATTACTGGCGAAACGTCGTACTAAGACTGTAAATGTTGTGGCTTAGCTCTCCAACACACCGGTGTGTTGTCGTAGTAACGAATTGGCCACGTTTTGTTTACGTGACAAACCTTACTAATTGGCTGTGTCTGATGGTGGCAACGGGCGGCTGGTCAGGCTGGATGAGCCGAGTCGGCACAACGCTTGTCCGCTGGCACCCTTGCTTGGTGGCACTGCTGCGCGCTCTCTCTTGCTCCGTCTCTCTCTGGCGTGCAGCTGGTTTTCTGCAATGCTGGCTTGGTCGACGCTCGGCCCTCTCCGCCCTTTCTCGAGGTTGATTGCTTGACGCTGAGAATAACTTTCAGCGATACTTTGTCGGTCCATGCCGAACTCAGCACAGAGCATCACCTCGTCCCTCTTCCCTGCGATGAACCGCCACGCGCCCGGAGCTGGCTTGCTGTCCTCTTCCGAGCTGTCCCTTGCCGAGCTCAAAATGTGTGTCGTGTTGCTGTTTATATCTGAAATTTCTCCCCTCTGCGCGTCTCTTGCGAGAAAAAAATGCTTACTCCGTCATGCTCTTCCCCCGCGGCCGCACCTGATTGCCCCCCCCCCCTCTTCCCTTGGTGACCCCGGGCGCGTTGCTTTACATTAAAATGATGTTTGTTTGCACTCCCAACCCCTCTCTTCGTGGTGTCTGCTAAGGGAGGGGACGCACCTTTCATACGTATTCATGGCTACCATGTGTTTGCCAAATTGTTGGAAGACAAAGGCGGCCGGAGAGGCTCTGATTTAATGGAATACATATTATCTGGTCTTGTGTTTGACCTATTTTCTTGCATCTCTTTTGAGTTACCCTAGGTCTAATCTCTTGTGATTATTATTTGGTTTATGTTTATCCAAGATTTGTAATGCCCCTCGTTGTTACCACCATTATACCGAGGTTTTTTTATTATTAACTTTTGCTCCCTGTCTGCATCCAGGGATCCGTGCTTTTTATTCTCGAGGTCAGAGATATAGCTTAGTTTGGACTTAAATTTTCGTGATTGGAGGAACTCATGTACTTTGGTTCTCTTGGTAAAGTCACGTAGATAGAGGTAGCAGGTTTGAGGGTGCTTTATTTATTTTATCGATTATTGTTAAAACAAATGGCAGAATTATTAGTTTTTGGAAAAAGGCCTATATATACAACAGAGGGTGGGGGGTGGAGCATGAATTGGCCACTGAACGGCACGGATAGTTTGTCTGTCCAAGCTTGCGAACTTAGATTTTTCTCGAAATTGTTTCCAAAAATATCTGATAATGCATGGGATCAAAGTGTGGCATGTGTCAGTCTTCTACTCTTGACATCAACGTTGATGTTTGCAGGGAAACTGTGGTGATTACATCGCAATCATGTCGACTTTAATTTTTACATTAAAGAATGCACAATGGTTTACCAATCTGAACTCTGGTTTGCCCCTCCACCTGTCTTGCATGACGGCAATTCTAATGTCAAACTTATACACGAGCTGTACGTCTAGCTGCAATTACTTCATGCACAACAGAACATACCCGTCAGCGTTGTTGGCGAGAATACGAGTAACTAAATAAGCCGACTATGCCTACTTCCGATATTTACCCCTCCACATTCACCATCATTGGCAAGCCTGACTGCTGATGTGATTATAATTTTCGAAACCCCAAAGTTTTCTATATTCAACGAATGCTGCTGAAAGAAATCCACTCCGAGATGGGATGTAAAAACATTTATTTTTTTACGGAGGAAAAGATATTCGAAGTGTATTGTCTATTTTGCAACTAGTTAAGATCTCAACACACTCCTGGAAAATGTTAATTGTTTCCCATCAGGTGGATGCTAACTTGTCCCTGTGGATGCTTTGCAGCTTATTACAAGTCAAACGAGTGGTCGGGCAAGGAAGGCCAGAGGCTGTTGGACCAGCTCGCTTGGCTGGAGCAGGGGAAGCGTGACCGCTAAGCCACCCTTACAGATGCACAACCGGATCTTCTCCAGGGCTCACTCTGGCTCCATCGGCCGTCTTCCTCGGACACTGGCATTGCCAAACTACGGCTTTTGTGCTCATGTCCCAGTGTCTGCGGATAGTGGCGGGCAGCACTTTGAACCACCGCTAAGCGGGTGGATCACCCACTTGGCATCTCGCCAGACGCCTTTGCTTATGGCTTGTGGGACAAGTGCCAAGGCAGCTGCTGCATCCCTACGTGAAGAGCACGAGTGTACAGCCTTCAGGCCTAGTGTGACTCCAGGCTTGTTGTGCAGTCTCCAGCCTCCTCACCCATTTTGTTATATCCCTTAATCACTTCCCCCCCCCCCGCCCCGGACGACCAGTACCACCCTGCGTCGTGCCCATCCCTAACAGCAATGGGTCCTCGATGCACAGCATTGGTTTTTCCCATGTTGTCTTAATCGTCTGTGTGTGACTCGTACTGAGATGATACATAATATTGCGTGCTGTAAATTACAGAATTAAATAAAACACTTGCCTACGTATTGGACTTTTTTTTTGAGATTTTATTCATAAACTTATTTTGTTGTCCCCTTTTACGGAGAAGTTTACAATAGCACATTTAGCTGTATACATTATAACTGGAGTCCATGCTAAAGATTGCATAGAGCTCTCACCATGGATGGGGAAGCATCGGATGGTTTCCCTGTGCTCAACATCCATAAAAGCACCACAAGGTCACCACTCTTAGACCTGAGTGGCTTTAAGGCAGCAGTGGTGCTCCTGGCGAGATACGGCATGGGTTGGAACAAATGGGTCGTGGAGATACTCGTCGGCGCTACATATTGACATAGAAATGCTTAAGCCCACTTCACTTGGCTTTCAGACTTTAAACACTCGTACATTTTCTCCCACTTCATGGTTAACGTCGTGCGTTTAGCATTTAGATTTTACCAAACAGTGTTTCAGAATAAAAAGCGTGCCTCCTTGAGCTGGGCAGTTGGTGGAGCACACCTGTGATCCAGCCCTTTAGAGGCAAGGGTTAGTGGAGTGCACAAAAGTTGTTAAACTCCGTGGGGAAGTGCCAGAAGGCAGTAAAGCAATTGGACTATTCACCATCTGTTTCCATCAAATATGGGGATAGAGTGTTGCCTCCCCCCCCCCCAACGCACGAGGTTTTATCCGGGGGCTTTGGCTTCCACATGTTTAATACTCAATTGGCTGAAAAGAAAACATCCTCAAATAAAAACTCAATGCAGGACCCTTGTGAAAAACACTTCGAGTTAGTATGGCTTTCCTTCCCAAGCACTCGTGATAACCAAGATCATAAGAGTTGCACGTTTATAAATGTACTTACATTCCTGGATGAATAAGTTAATTCTCTGAACTTGGTCATCATCAACCATGACCTTCCACTGCTGCATGAAGGTCTCCCGCAAGTCATTACCATCGTCCATCATGGTCTCGTGGTGCAAAAATCCATCTGGCTTCTAGCTTTGGCACACAAGCACAACTCATCCCTCCATTGTGGCAGTCGTACTTTTAGACGTGTACCCTCCCTTTGGTTGGCACTCCCATCATAATTCTTTACCATCGGCCATCATCCCTTCTAGCAACTTGCGGTTATTCTCCAATCCGAATGTTGTTTTTTCTGTCTCCCAGCAATTCCAAGAAAATATCTCTCCAAGCGTGACTGCGCACTTCTCAATCTGAAAAAGCGTTGTCGAGGGTCGAACAATAATTCACGAATCGGGCTTGCTCACCCGCTTGGTTGTCCTCTAAATCGACCATTATTCCAGTCTCAATAATTTTCATGCACGATGTATCACCGTTTATTATTCTTCTTGTGTCAGCAAAAAGTATCACCATGACACCCACCAGTCTAGAACCCATTATTAACTTCGGACCGCGAGCACCGCTACCCCTTTCTCCTCCAAGCAGTGGCGTGGGCCGTGGTCCACTGGTGCTTGCGTGCCGTCTCCCGCAGCAGGAAGGGCAGGTCGCCCTCCCAAAGGAGCGTGAAGTTTGGGGACAGAACCCGCTTGAGCGTCTCCGCGCCACGCACTGGTTTGCCCGACGCATCGGTGTAGCCACCCAGCCACGCAGACTGTGGGCAGACAAACGTAAGGACAGGCCCACAGACAAGAGCTCGTCGTTATCCAATGGTTGGATTTTGTATATCAACGTTACGCGTGCAGGGCATGCAGCCAGACATACCCGAATTAAATATAAATATGAATTTAAAATCAACACTACGGAAAACCTCCGCTCTATTTGGTTGAATTATTGGGTAAAACGGTTCAGATAAAAAAAGGGGTTGTGGGGTCAGTGCATGTTTTGCTGGCCATTTTCTGATTCGCAAGCACTGCTGTGGACCTATCAAGGGATCCTTGAGAGCGTCGGCCTGTTTTGGGGTGGTGGCATGGCACAGGGCAGCTATCAATTGTGGGCACACCTCTGTGCCTTTATGTGTGTGACATGTACAGTGTTTTTAAAGTCGCTTTTGCACATAGGGGAGCTGTTTTTTTGTTACCCAGCCACTATCCTCTTAGAATGCTAAATAGTAGTATACATATGAGGCTGTCAGTGTGCCTGAGGCATAGTTTGTGTGCCTAAGTATTGGATAAACAGATAGACATATCACAGGCTACTGCTAATGAGTAACTCGCTGAACACACATTCACAAACATGAATGAGTATCCAGCCTTGACCTGTCCCGCGTTCGATGGCAAAAGCGGTGTTGGTGCGTGCCGAGCTGCGTGCTGGGCTGCGTGCATCACGGTGGCCGCTGCGGAAGGTGCGCACCTTTGGGGTGAAGCTTTCCAGCCAGGTGTACGGCGCCGTGATGACCAGGACTCCTCCCGGCACCACCAGCCCGGGCACGCGGTTCAAGAAGGCCATTGGGTCAGGCAGGCGGCACAGCAGGTTGGCCGCCAGTACGCAGCCGAAAGTCCCCAGATCGCGGGGGAGGGCGCAGGCATCTGCTTGCATGAATGAGCAGCGACTGCGGTCCTGGATGTATTGCACACGTGGCACCAGCAACACCACCGCTGGTTACACGCGCTGACCAAACTCCCCGAGGTGATGGCTCAAGCACCACCCCCCCCCCCCCCCCACCCCCTTTGCCTCTCGCGTCACAGACTCTTGACGCTGTTTTTGAAAAACATTTTAAATGCGCTCAGCAGGATCATTTAAGACGGCTGCGACAGCCACACATTTTGGTGAAGCTTTTAACTGGAGTTTTACCACCTCGGAATCTGCCACCTGCAGGGGGTGTATGTGGTGCTTGTCGAGTCCCGGGTGTGCAGTGCGAGTCGTGAAGGGTGTGCCGCTCACGATGTCGGGAGGCACGCGTGCGACCATGTCTGTGCAGAGGTCCCCTTCCTCAGTGGCGCTGTAGCGCATGGAGCCAGCATCCTGGAGTTTCTCGCTCGCACGCACGAACCCCTGGCTCAGGTCCACGCCGAGCACCGACTGGAATCGTCGCGTCAGCTCAAACGTGCTCCGGCCCACAGCACAGCCCACGTCCAGGGCCCGGCTCGGTATGGCAGCCTGCAGGAATCGCGGTTAGCAGGGGGGATAGCGAATGGCTGGCCCAGGCATGTATCTCTCAGGCTGATAATGCACAGCCTGGGTGCCTGACAGAGTTCTTGCTTAGGAAGCCTCAATGTATGCCGAGTGGCACTGTAGTTAGAGCCCTTGCCTCACAAGGGGAAGGTTTTGAGTTCAGATCCTGATTGAGGATCAACTGAACCCTTCATCGCTCTGGGGTGCGGGGGGGGTATACCTTTTGATCAGGAGATAAGGTCTTCTGAAGGCCTCAGAATACAAAGGTCAGTTTCTGTGAAAGTCTGAAATAGACCAGGGCAGTGCTTAATTTCTCAATTCTTGTTTTGCAAAGTCACCCAATAGACTGAGTAGTGACTAGTAGCCACAGCCAGAAGGCATAACTGCACACTGTGCTGGCTGCATGAATCCGGACAGACGTAGCAGTTGAAAACGAGAGTGTGTATTTATTGTGTAAAACACCGATATACATGAGGGACATTGAAAAAGGAACGCTTTGGGAATTTTCTAGATCAGAAGTCCCAAATTCTCTCACGTGCCTACAGGCCGCGCGTTTTCACGAGGCTCCGGTGTCCAGGGCAGCGCACAGCGAGAAGGGGGCAGCGACCGCTCACCTCGGGGCCCAGGCTCTGCTCTATGCACAGGTGGGCACACCTGGCGGGGAAGTCGAGGGCATCGCGGGGCCCCCCCTTATGGGGCAGCGCCTCACTCTCCTGCGCGTAGTGGAAGTGCAGGTACTCGGCAAGCAGGCGCGGGCTTTCGTACACGTTCTCGGGGCCCCGGCCCCTCAGCAGACGCACGAGTCTATGGCCTGCACAGGCCAGGGCCACGGTGCCCGCCAGGACCGCAGCGGCCGTGCGGCGATCGGCCACCCACAGCGACTGCATTGCCTGTGGAAGAGGAGAGGCGATGGCCAAACGCGGCACGCACACACTTGTTTGTAGATTTTACACACACACATCTTCACCTGTACACATCACTACACACACCTTCACATGTACACAATACACCTGTATACATCAATACACCACACACCTTCACATGTACACATCACTACACACCTTTACCTGTATGCAATACACCTGTACACAATACACCTTCACTTGTACGCAATACACATGTATACATCACTACACACACACACCTTCACATGTACACAATACACATGTATACATCAATACACCACACACCTTCACATGTACACATCACTACACACCTTCACCTGTATGCAATATACCTGTACACAATACACCTTCACATGTACGCAATACACATGTATACATCACTACACCCACACCTTCACCTATACAGTACACACACATTCACCTATACAGTGCACACACGGAGGAAGAGAGCGAGTTAATATGTACCTGAAATGAAAATTCCTCGTATGTGTACCTCCGATTCGCACGGTTGGCTACATACGGTGCAAAAGAAGTTCAACACAATAGCAACACGCCTTCACCTATTCGTAGGAGTACACACACACAAACACTTACACGTGTACATAGGACAGTACTGTACACACCTATATATAAACACACGGATATTTAACTGTATAGTTTACACACACACGCCTTCCACAACTGTGTAAAGTACACCTACATTTACCTGTACAGACCTTCACTTGCGACATCACGCCGACACGCGTACACACACGACCACGTGTACACAATGCACGCGCGCGCGCGCACACACACACACCTTCACCTGGCATACACACACACACACCTTCACTTGGCATACACACACACACCTTCACCTGGCATACACACACACCTTCACCTGGCATACACACACACACCTTCACCTGGCATACACACACACACACCTTCACCTGGCATACACACACACACACACACCTTCACCTGGCATACACACACCAGCTGGCATACACACACACCAGCTGGCATACACACACACCAGCTGGCATACACACACACCAGCTGGCATACACACACACCAGCTGGCATACACACACACACCTTCACCTGGCATACACACACACACACCTTCACCTGGCATACACACACACACACCTTCACCTGGCATACACACACACCAGCTGGCATACACACATACCAGCTGGCATACACACACCAGCTGGCATACACACACACCAGCTGGCATACACACACACCAGCTGGCATACACACACACACCTTCACCTGACATACACACACACAAGACAAAGATAAACAAATAACCCTCACCCACCACGTATAGCCTTCGTAGGCTGTTGGGGCAAGTGCTGCTCGCGAGCGTGTAGCGTGTGCCAGCCACGACACTGCCTGCACACGCAACGCACCTGCTGCACAGGACAGGCGAGAGAGAGAAGAGAGAGAAGAGAAGCGAGCTCAGAGATTTGAGGCGAGAAGGGGATGGAGCCTCCCTACCCTGGCAACTTCGGCGGCGGTGCTTTTAGCTTTGGTGCTGCTGACAACGACGACGGAGGCGAGTATATAGATCGGCTGTGCTTGCTGGATGTGTGGCGATGGTGCGGGAAAGCGATACCCGGATAAGCGATTGTTGGTGGTGGTGGTGCCGATGCGGCGAGAGGGAGAAGCGGTCCTCCACGAAGGGCGGAGTCTCGGGGTTGACGCTTCGATGCCTCACGTTTTTATCGCCCGGCGTGGGGGGTGGTGGTGCAGGGGTGGAGATAGCGAGGGGGAGGGAGGAGGCAGACGAGGTGGGGGGTGGGGAAGCACGAGACGAGGGAGCAGAGTAAGAGGGGAGGCGAGATAGGAGGAGCAGCCGCTGCCCTCGCTACTGCTGCCCCACCGAGCCTTCGCGTTCGTCGCCCCGGGTAAAGAACCACGTGGCCGCGTGCCCCCCTCTGCTACACAGGGGACTGTGTGCCCTGCTCCGGGGCCCCCAGGGTAGGGTCCGCTCGGGGGGAAGGAGGAGGGGGGGGAGGAGGGGGGGGGAGGAGGAGGGGGGGAGGGGGAGGAGGGGGGGGAGGGGGAGGAGGGGGGGGAGGGGGAGGGGGGGAGGAGGGGGGGAGGGGGAGGGGGGGAGTAGGGGGGGGGAAGGGGAGGGGGGGAGGAGGAGTGGGGAGGGGGGGGGAGGAGGAGGGGGGGGAGGGGGAGGAGGAGGGGGGGAGGGGGAGGAGGAGGGGGGGGAGGAGGAGGGGAGGAGGAGGGGAGGAGGAGGGGGGGAGGAGGGGGGGGGAGGAGGGGGGGGAGGGGAGGAGAGGGGGGAGGAGAGGGGGAGGAGAGGGGGAGGAGGAGGGGGAGGAGGGGCAGGAGGAGGGGAAGGAGGGGGAGGAGGAGGGGGGAGGAGGGGAGGGGGTGGGGAGGTAGGGAGAGGAGGAGGAGGAAGGGGAGAGGGGGAGGAGGAGGGGGGCGAAGGTCTTCTCCCAGCGAGGGCGACCGTGGGCTGCGTGACGCGCGGTGCGCCGCCCGGGCTTCACGCGGGCGGACAGACGGGAGACGCGGGGACGGGAGAGACGGCGGCGGGGGAGACGCGGGGAGGACCGGAGGCAGAGACAGGAGGAGGAGGAGCGGGCAGGGCTTGGCCAGAGAGGCAGCAGCTGTCACTACCCGTCCGCGCTCCCTCCCATTGACGCGGAGCCATTGTACGCGGCGTCCCCCCGACGGCACTGAAGCGGTATGTGTGTGTGTGTGATGTGTGTGGTGTGTGTGGTGTGATGTGTGTGGTGTGTGTGTGGTGTGTGTGTGGTGTGATGTGTGTGGTGTGTGTGTGGTGTGTGTGGTGTGATGTGTGTGGTGTGTGTGGTGTGTGTGTGTGGTGTGTGTGTGTGGTGTGTGTGGTGTGTGTGTGGTGTGATGTGTGTGGTGTGTGTGGTGAGGGTGTGTGGTGTGTGTGTGTGGTGTGTGTGTATGTGTGGTGTGATGTGTGTGTGATGTTATGTGTGTGTGTGGTGTGTGTGTGTGGTGAGGGTGTGTGTGGTGAGGGTGTGTATGTGTGGTGTGTGTGTGTGGTGTGTGTGTTGTGTGTGTGGTGAGGATGTGTGGTGTGTGTGTGTGGTGAGGGTGTGTGGTGTGTGTGTGTGGTGTGTGTGGTGAGGGTTTGTGGTGTGGTGTGATGTGTGTGGTGTGATGTGTGTGGTGTGTGTGTATGTGTGGTGTGATGTGTGTGGTGTGTGTATGTGTGGTGTGTGTGGTGTGATGTGTGTGTATGTGTGGTGTGTGTATGTGGTGTGTGTATGTGTAGTGTGTGTGGTGTGATGTGTGTGTATGTGTGGTGTGTGTGTATGTGTGGTGTGATGTGTGTGGTGTGTGTATGTGTGGTGTGTGTGGTGTGATGTGTGTGTATGTGTGTGGTGTGTGTATGTGGTGTGTGTATGTGTAGTGTGTGTATGTGTGGTGTGTGTGTGTGGTGTGTGTGTTGTGTGTGTGGTGAGTGTGTGTGGTGAGGGAGTGTGGTGTGTGTGGTGTGTGTGTGTGTGGTGAGGGTGTGTGGTGTGTGTGTGTGTGGTGAGGGTGTGTGTGTGTGGTGTGTGTGTGGTGTGTGTGTGTGGTGAGGGTGTGTGTGTGTGGTGTGTGTGGTGTGTGTGGTGTGTGTGTGGTGGGTGTATGTGTGGTGTGTGTGTGTGGTGTGTGTGTGTGGTGTGTGTGGTGTGTGTGTGTGGTGTGTGTGTGTGTGGTGTGTGTGTTGTGTGTGTGGTGAGTGTGTGTGGTGTGTGTGGTGAGGGAGTGTGGTGTGTGTGGTGAGGGTGTGTGTGTGGTGTGTGTGGTGAGGGTGTGTGTGTGGTGTGTGTGTGTGTGTGGTGAGGGTGTGTGTGTGTGGTGTGTGTGTGGTGTGTGTGTGGTGAGGGTGTGTGGTGAGGGTGTGTGTGTGGTGTGTGTGTGGTGAGGGTGTGTGGTGAGGGCGTGTGGTGAGGGTGTGTGTGTGGTGAGGATGTGTGGTGAGGATGTGTGGTGAGGGCGTGTGGTGAGGGTGTGCGTGTGTGTGTGGTGAGGGTGTGTGGTGAGGGTGTGTGGTGAGGGTGTGCGTTTTTGTGTGGTGAGGGTGTGTGGTGAGGGTGTGTGTGTGTGGTGAGGATGTGTGGTGAGGATGTGTGGTGAGGGCGTGTGGTGAGGGTATGCGTGTGGTGAGGGTGTGTGGTGAGGATGTGTGATGAGGGTGTGTGGTGAGGGTGTGTGTGCGTGTGTGATGAGGGTGTGTGTGGTGAGGGTGTGCGTGTGTGTGGTGAGGGTGTGTGGTGAGGGTGTGTGTGTGGTGAGGGTGTGTGGTGCGGGTGTGTAGTGAGGGTGTGTGTGTGGTAAGGGGGTGTTGTGCGTGTGTGGTGAGGGTGTGTGTGTGTGTGGTGAGGGTGTGTGGTGAGGGCGTATGGCGAGGTGTTCGTGTATGAGGATGTTCGCGTGTGTGTGTGGTGAGGGTGTGTGTTTGGTGCACCTTGGTGAGAGTGTGTATGCGTCTTGTGTGGCTGTGTGGTGAGGGTTCTGCGTCTTTTAGTCATGGTCTGACTGTGAGTACAGTATGTATGGGTGAGGTGTGTGTGTAAGGTTAAGAGTGTGTGTGTGATGAAAACTACGTGCGTTTGTATGATAATAACTGTGTGTATGTGTGACGCTACGAACCCGGCAAGCCGAGTTCGATTCCCGCTCACGGCCACCAACACCGGTGACGATGATCTGAATCGGTCCTGGGCCTCCCCTAGGTCGACTCAGCCTCAAATGAGTATCTGGTGCGGTGTGTAGTAACCATCGCCACCGGGGAGACAAAGGCGGCCGGGCGTGGTGCTGGCCACCCACCCCCTCGTCTGCCGTGCCGGCCTTCATAGGTGCTCGCTAACAGCACTTTCCTCAACAATCTGTTCAGGCTATACGGGGAATCTTTGTCATTGTATGTGTAGTGGGCGGCTTTGCGTGTTGAGACCTACATCTGTGTGTCTTTGTGGCGACTTGCACAGTTGCTCCATACAATCACACAACAAGAGGCCCTTCCTTCTCAGACACACAGATTGATGGTCACTGTGTGATACGGGTCCGTCCATCCGTCCGTCTGTCAGCCAGGAGGGCCCGTATTGATGTCCGGGTACCATTACAACATTGCAGGCGGGATGGACACCAGGGCACCACAATGCCGTTCCTTGCCTTGAGCCCTCGAATCACCCTGGGGAGATGAGTAGCTTGGTACCACTTGGGGTGGCAAATGATACGAGTATGGTACTGTATCCACAACCGTGGGCAGTGCCACGGGCAGTGTCCACCGCGGGCAGAACGCTTCGCGTATATTCTTGTGTTTTATAGACGCATTTCATATCTGCTGTCGTATTCCGTACATGTTTCACATCACATTCGTTTGTATTGCCAAAATTATATTGTCTATTAAACGGACAGGGACGTCGGTGTAAGACGTTGTGCTCATAAACAGGCGACCGCGCTGACCTTGCTACCGTAGCTATTAGTGATCTAGGGCTGAAGTGCTGCAATACAATTATTGGTAACATTTTCCGCCTTGAGTGGGTACTGATAACCCATTTTTTTAAACAATTTGCTAATGGGGCCAATTTAGACTCGCATAGCTTCTGTGCTCTCTCTCACACACTCCCCCTGTACCCCCCCCTGGCCCCCACGGCTGCCTTGCTGTGCCCGCAGGCGAGGATGGCGACTCCCGAGGGGATCCGCATGCCGGACGGGCACTATGCGGACGGCACGTGGGAGCTCCACGTGCTCGTCACGGACCTGGCGCAGAGGCTGGTGCTGCGAGTCACGGGCGAGCTGCACGTGGGCGGACTCATGCTGCGCCTCGTGGAGATGCTAGGTAAAATCTTCAAGAGCCGCAATGCATGTGAATACGAGATGGTGGCCCTTGATAAACGTCACCACGAAGCGGCCCTTAAAGAGCCGCGTGCGGCTCCGGAGCCGCAGGTTGCCGACCCCTGAGGCGCGGCCTCCCGGCACGCACAGGGGCTGGGTGAGAGAGAGAGTGTGAGAGTGCGCGCAGTACTCTTGTAATTATTACTCGGTTTGTTTGCGAGGGCCTGGGCTGCCGGGATCAGCCCGTGAGTTCAGGAGTCCTCCATGCCCCGTGGCTGGGGGTCATTGACCCTGGGGTTACCCACTCTCACAGCCGAAAGGAGTCCTGGGGTTTGGCCCAATTACTGAAAGTGCCCAGTGGAGCAGTCCCCTAGACCCAGTGGTCAATTAACCCGTGAGCTCAAGGGGGTTGAGTCTGCAGTCACATCCCATGTCGTGTTTACTTAGGGAATCTATCTGGTGGGGGTCAGGGGTCAGCGAGCACAGTACTTTTCCTCTGGATTAAATTAAATGCTAATGCATGTCCACATCCTTTGTTTATTTGGATCAATCGCCATGTCGCCACAGTCCAGTGCTACTTCCTGCCATCTTTACTCTGTTGGCATGTCTACTTACCTGCTACAACCTTCTGGCCCAGTGGCATAGTTGTCAAGCTCAGGCTGTGCAACTACCATGGGAACCATGTGCTGGATAGGGCCCAGCATGCTCTCGGCTACGATGAGAATTTGCGGGGCAGGAAATTGGACAGGGTGGTGCCCCATTTCATTCCATGCACCAGGGCCCCTTGTCAACTGTCGTGGCTCTCGCCCACCTGCTCACCCATCCTCTCTCGTCCCTGTGCCCCGGGGCTGCCCAGAGGTGAAGCAGGACTGGTCAGACCACGCGCTGTGGTGGGAGCGTCGCAAGCTTTGGCTGCTCAAGACGCCGTGGACGCTGGACAAGTACGGCGTGCAGGCCGATGCGCAGCTACTCTTCACCCCGCGGCACAAGCTGCTGCGCCTGCAGCTGCCCAACGCCCGTGTCGTGCGCGTGAGGGCCAACTTCTCCGACCCCGTCTTCAAGGCGGTGTTCGATATCTGCAGGACCTTCAGTGGGTGCCGGGCGTGGGGGGGGGGGGGGGGGAGAGGGATACGGAGGCTGGCGTGGGGTAGATGAGGTGGGAGTCCCTGTTCTCGGTGTTGTGTGATCCAACGCCAAATGGGACCCAAGGGGATTCTCAAAACATATCGGGTGGCTGTGTAAGCACCGAATAATAAAACAGCGATTTCGAATCGTAACGCGCCACCGCTGCCACACGGTGTTCGCTTAATCTCGTGGAGATAGAACAACCCAGAGGCGCCAAGAGGAACCACAAACGCACCTGGAGAAAATCCACGCAGTTTTGCTGTACAGCCTTCTGGTATACCAGGGTATGGCTCCTCGATGCCCACGGAATGTGAGTTTCACAATCTGTGTGCGGTGATCTGCCAACCCTCCCTGCCTCCACAGTGCTGCACCACAGGCCACGTGGACAGCCACCACCGCCCAGCTATAAATTAACCAGAGCATAAAAGGACATGCCTGCTGGCACGGGAGCGCTTTCTGCTTCACGAACAAAATTAATTTTTCAGCTTGAGGCTGTGCCTGGTGGATTTTTTGTTTTATTCGACTCCGGGCTCAACCACCGGTCCAGGGATCGAGATGAGCCCTTACCTATCGTTTGTGTCGGCCCAGCTGGGCAGGAGTTCCACGGGCGGTGTCGTTGTCCGGCCGCACGGCGTCTACAACCAGCGGGGGCAACGCTGCCGCGGCTGTGCTGACAGGGTTGGGCTGAGATCGGTAGACCCCACCATCACCGACGCCGGCGTGCGTGTTCGTTTTCACAGATATCCGGCACCCGGAGGAGCTGTCCCTCCTCCAGAAGATGTCCGACACGGCCAAAAAGAAGAAGAAGAAAGCAGACGAGAACAACGCTGAGGATGAGGTGGATGCACCGCTCATCACTCCGTCTGCCTCACAACGTGAGTGTGGGTCTCTGTGAGTCTATGGGTCTCTAAGTAAGTCAAGTGCAATTCATCACTCACATCAACGATCATCAATGGTCACATCGAAACGCGCGATTGAAGGAGGTTTTCCTCAACGCCATCGAACGTCTTTTCAAAACTCCAGACGCACACGGTTAAGAACTCGCGGTCAATGGCTCTTCAAATACGTCGTACGAAAAAAAGAGCGAGCGTGTGTGATGGTGTCCGCGCGTTTGTGCGTGCGTGCTTGCCGTGCCGCGGACAGGCGGTTCGTACCTCAGCCCCGGGCTCTACGGCCACGCGTTGACGACGCCCACGTACGACGTGCGCGACGGGAGCCCCGTGTCCCCCACGTGGGTCGGGGACTCCCCTCTCGGGGAGCGCGACCCGGCCTCGCTCGGCACCGCCCTGCCCAGCCCCGCGCCCGACGCCCTCGCCCGCATGTACCGCCCGCTCACCCTCGCGGACAAGGCGCGCACGAACGCAGGGTGAGCCCACGGACTGCGCTCCTCACAAGGTTCACCGCACCCCACCATCACCGCGTCCCACCATCACCGCACCCCACCATCACCGCGCCCCACCATCGCCGCACCCCATCATCTCCGCACCCTACCCTCACCGCACCCCACTCTCACCGCACCCCATCATCACCGCGCCTCACCATCACCGTGCCCCACCCTCACCGCACCCCACTCTCACCGCACCCTACCCTCACCACACCCCACTCTCACCACACCCCACCATCATCGCACCCCACCATCGCCGCACCCCACCATCTCCGCACCCCACTCTCACCACGCCCCACCCTCACCACACCCCACCATCACCGCACCCTACCATCACCGCACCCCACCCTCACCGCACCCCACTCTCACCGCACCCCACCATCACCGCACCCCACCATCACCGCACCCCACCATCACCGCACCCTACCCTCACCGCACCCCACTCTCACCGCACCCCACCCCACCATCTCCGCACCCCACCATCACCGCGCCCCACCATCTCCGCGCCCCACCATCACCGCACCCCACCCTCACCGCGCCCCACCATCACCGCACCCCACCATCACCGCACCCTACCCTCACCGCGCTCCACTCTCACCGCGCCCCACCATCACCGCATCCCACCCTCACCGCGCCCCACCATCACCGCACCCCACCATCACCGCGCCCCACTCTCACCGCGCCCCACCCTCACGTGTGGGTGCAGGTGGCTGGACTCGTCCGCTTCCCTCATGGAGCAGGGAGTGAAGGAGAACGAAGTCCTGCAGCTGCGCTTCAAGTTCTACAGTTTCTTCGACCTCAACCCCAAGGTGATCCCCGGTTGACCTCCTCCCGGACCGTGGGCGGGGTCAGGCGTGGGGTGCGACACGTGTGCGTGACATCGTCCGTGAGCATGTGCCCGCGCAAGTTAGGTGCTCGCTAGCAGCACTTGCCCCAACAGTCTGTCCAGGCTATATACGGGGATCTTTTTTTTTGTGCGTGCAGTACGATGCGATCCGCATCAACCAGCTGTACGAGCAAGCCAAGTGGGCGATCCTCCTGGAGGAGGTGGAGTGCACCGACGAGGAGATGATGATGTTCGCCGCGCTGCAGGTGACAAACGGGCAGGCCGAAGCGCTGGCGTGATGGCGATGCGCCGGTGGGGCGGGCGGGCGGGCGGGCGGGCGGGCGGGCGGGCGGGTGCAGAGGTAGCGTGGGCCGTGATGCCAGCGCCGTGTTTCACTTTGCAGTACCACGTGAACCAGCTGTCGGTGGGAGCCGAGGGGCGGGCGGGCCCGCGGGAGAGCGCCGTCGACGAGGTGGACGCCGCGCTCAATGACCTGGAGCTCACGCTGGAGGGCACCGGCGCCCCGGCCGGCCAGGTCAGACGGGGACTCTGTGGGGCGGGGACGTGAAGATCTGGGTCACGCGCACCCCCGCTCACGCCACGCCCGTCCGTGTGTCCGTGCGTGCGTGCGTGCGTCTCTCCGCTTGTAACGACTCCACGCCGCGCTTGTGTTCACAGCGCGACATCACCCGCATCCCCGAGCTGGCAGACTTCCTGAAGGTGTTCCGGTGAGTCAGCAGGTGGTGTGGCAGGGCACTCACGTGCTGGTGATTGTGGGGTTGACACTGGCAATGTGTCAGCGCCGGTTGTGCGGCGGTAGTCCTCTGGACGTGCTTGACGGATCCCGTACGCTGTCGCCCAGGCCCAAGAAGCTGACGCTGAAGGGACACAAGACCTACTGGGTGGTGTTCAAGGACACCTGCGTGTCGTGCTACCGCACCAAAGACGACCCGCATCCCGCTCAGCAGATGAACCTCCGAGGTGCGGCCCCCCTCACCAGCCCCCCATCACTTACCGCGCCCCCGATTGTGCCGGCGCGTAGGCGTGCGGCGCTGATGTAGGTGCCGCGGCGCGTGTGTGTGTGTGTGCGCAGGCTGCGAGGTGGTGCCGGACGTCAACATTTCGGCGCAGAAATTTAACATCAAGCTGCTGGTGCCTACGCCGGAGGGCATGACGGAGGTGTGGCTGCGATGTGAGAACGTGAGTGCACCGCAGCCGGCCGCAGTCGCCCGCAGTTTCCAGACAAAAATGTTGCAACACATTTGTGTAAATAACCGATATATATGATGGGATATGTTTATATATAGCTGTGAGGCATCATAGCTGCCCGTGGCCACGCACGTTTTATTCGGAAACCGGCAGCTTTGGGTCGAGGTTAAGGCGGCGCGCAGCGGCGGCGTCTCCCGTGGCAATGCGTCGCGGTCGCTCCGTCCCCATGCCCAACCGGTGTGGTGTGCACTCCGCGGCGGTGCAGGAGAAGCAGTACGCGGCGTGGATGGCGGCGTGCCGGCTGGCCTCCAAGGGCAAGACCATGGCGGACAGCTCCTACAACGCGGAGGTGGCCAGCATCCTCTCCTTCTTGCGGATGCAGGTGCTGCCTCGCCTTGGCGCTCACATTCTGTGGTTCTCGTCGCTTCCCCCGCACCTCCCACTAGCACGGTTGGCTATGTACGGTGCAAAAGAGGTTCAACATAGATGCGTCGTCCATAACCGTAACTGACTGTGTCACATCGTGCTCACCGCGCTACCCCGTCACACACCAAATCCCGCCGCACCAGCGCAGCCACCCATAAGCTCGCCCATTGGCTACAGCGAGCTCCAGTGGTGGCTGCCGGCTTCATTCGTGCCACACCCGTGGCTGGACTACAGTACGCTGCGGAGAGTGGGACGCATTCAAAACGTGTGCCCAGTGTCATTTGAAGTTATACAAAGAGAAAGATCCCCCTTATAGCCTTAATAGACTTTTGAGGCAAGTGCTGTTGGTGAGCACCTAAGAAGGCCTGCACGGTACACGAGGGGGTGGGTGGCCAGCACCACGCCGAGCCGCATTTGTCCCCCAAGTGGCGATGTTAACTACACACTGCACCAGTTACACATTTGAGGTTAAGTTAACGCACACGCACACATGCATGCGCACGCACGCTGTAATGTTCAGGGGAGAAGGTGCGCCTTCATAATCCTGAGAATATCGTAAATCTTGCCGAGGTTGAATTCCTAGGTTCACATAGCTCACCTTTTGCACTGACCATGCAGCCTGGATCGCAGCCTTTTCCTTCTCCCACACCCGCGGCCTCTCTATTCTTCGTATTTTTATTATGATTACACTTGTTTACCCAGGAAAGCCTCACTGATGAGTCTCAAGACTGTTTCCCAAGAGGTTCCTGCCAAGGCTTCACAGGAGAGGGCAATATTGGTGCTGTGTGATCCCAATTCAATAATTTGCAGGTAATTTTGTATCATTTGGGTTATTTGGCCAATACCAGTTGCAATGTGTGATTTCTTTGTGCTGTTATGGGAGGAAACTGTAGAGTCCGGAGGAAACTCGTACGGCACACGGAGAGAGAGAGAGCACACAAACTCCACTCACACACCCACACTCTGCAAAACATTGAGAGAACATACAAACAAAAAGGCACCCGAGTCGGGAATCGAACCCAGGCCCTACTTGCTGTGAGGCACGAGTGTTACCACCGCGCCGCCACCCTGCCGCCCCTGTAGGTCGTGAGCGGGGACCCGGCGCCACTGCTCGCGCAGGGATCGGCCGACTTCAACCCCGAGTCGCTCATCTCTCCCCGCTGCCTCAAGAAGCACAAGGCCAAGCAGGTTGGCAGCGCCGCGCACACGGCGTGGCGGGGGGGGGTGGGTGGGTGCCCGCCCGCCCGCGGTGGCTAGGGTGGGCTGTGCGTTCCGCTGTGTCGACGAGTGAACTCTGTTTCTTCCTCTCTCGCTCACCTGTCCGCTCGCCCGCCTTCTCGCCCCGCCCTGCACCATCTGCTTATCTGCCCGCTCGCCGACTTGACCACCCGCCTGCACGCCTGCCCGTCCGATCACCCGTCATCTTGCCCGCTTACTCTGACGACTGCAGCCTGGAACGGTGAGGGACGTGGTAAGTGCATCAGCACTAGAGATGATGATGACGATGATGATGATGACGACGATGATAAATACTGTGATAAAGAGGTGAACGTCATGAAGACACTAACATTGCCACTACTCACTGTATTGTAATGCAGCTGCCTGCGCATGCACGTGCGTGTTTGCGTGTGTGTTGGCGGAGTGGTGGTGCAACCGCCATTCATCTCAGTTAACCCATAACACCTCGGTCTGTGCCGTGTCCTCCTGCTAATGAGCCTTCGACACTTTGCTTGGCTTCACGTGCACCTGGCATTGGCACAAGCACAGCGGCGACGTCACCGTCGCTTAGCGGCGAGCAGCGGCCGTCGTGATCATTGTTGTCGTGCGTGCTCGTGTATGCATGGTCATGCGTGCGTGCGTGCGTGTGTATGCAGCTGACGGCGCGGGTGCTGGAGGCTCATCAGAACGTGTCGCACATGAGCCTCGTCGAAGCGAAGATGCGCTTCATCCAAGCGTGGCAGTCACTGCCGGAATACGGCCTCACGCACTTCCTCATCCGGTGTGTTCCAAGGCCCCGGGCTCACATGACGAGTCATGGCGCGGTGCTGCCGTCGGGCGTGGAGGGCTGTCCCGCTGCGCTTGACAGTAAAACAGCTGATTGCTGTAGATACCAAAAAACTTGACGTGTCCGTCAGTGCCACTGTGTAGCCTTAAAAGAAAAAAAACAGGGTGACATTTCAGCCAATGGCCCTTAGGCCAGAGAGATAGAGTGGATCATCCACTCTATCTTCCACTCTATGTGGAGGGAAGGCCAGAGCACCTCGAGATAAAATCGATACTGTGGGAGAAAATGGTTGGGGTTGCATGGGGTTCGGTGCGTTCACTGTGGACGCACGCGGGTCATGCATTATGCGTGCGATTGGCGTGTGGTTGGCGTGCGGTGGCAGGGTGCGCGGTAGCCGCCGGGACGAGCTGCTGGGCGTGGCCTACAACCGCCTGATCCGCATGGACGCGCACACAGGCGACGCAATCCGCACGTACCGATTCAGCAACATGAAGCAGTGGAACGTGAACTGGGAGGTCCGGCAGGTACGACGACTGAAGCTTTGGCGAGAGCGAACACTGCGCGTCGTCCCGTGTCGGAAAACGAGGGCGTGCGGTGTCTGCAGGGCACATCGAAGTCCTGTCAGCGCTTTGCATTACTAAAGAAAAACATGGCAATTTTTTTAAGATGTTTCTCATTTTCAACCCCCAATTTTATCCCGAATGCGTTATCGGTGTCCAGTCATGAGGCAAGTAAACCGTTCGGATCGCTCGCGCAGCATTGGAAACCTTCGGAGTCAGAAAATGGCCCGTGAAGCGGATATCACCGAACTACCCCTCGAGATGTCTTCAAGTGACCATCTGGTCCACACGCAGCAGAGGGCAGCACTTTCCCACCCGCCCAACTAAATTGGATTTGCTGTTCGGAGCATGACGGTGAAACCAATATTAAAAAACAATTGAAGCTGTAGCTGAGCCATATTTTAAGTGCAGGATCTAATTTTAATGTTGTAGTTTCTTTCTCTACAGTCATTGCTGGCCGGGCCGAGACCATCAACTGACCACACTTGAGAACCCAGTTTAATCACGGGCGATTGAAACTCCGATCGCAAGCGGTGCTGAATATTAGCGCTCTGACCGCTTGAGCCGGTCGGCCACCTTGAAAACTTACACCTAAGATAATTTGACGGAACCAACGACTTGGTCCAACCTGAGATTTCTGGAGGTTTAGCTCCTAGCGTGGTCGCACATGAGAGTCGTGCCAATGTGGCCGCACGGCGCTGCTTTCACTACCCCTCCCCCCCTTCGCTTGCCAGGTGATGGTGGACTTCGACGGCGAAGTGCAGCTGGTGTTCGGCTGCGTCTCCGCCGACTGCAAGGTGGTACACGAGTTCATCGGAGGCTACATCTTCCTGTCGATGCGAGCCAAGGACCAGGAAGACTCGCTCGACCAAGAGCTCTTCTACAAGCTGACAGGCGGTCGGGAGTAATGGCGCCAGGGAATGCGTGGCCACACGGGGAATTGCGGCCGGGACTCCGGTCGGGACCGACGGTGGCCAGACGTGGCACGTGACGTGGCCAGGACTCTGGAGTGGCCAGGACTGTGACCGAAAGAGACCGTGACTTGTGTGATGCATCCACCGATCTTAGGTTTCTATCACAAAAATGTGAAAAAAGGTGGGCCAAAATTACTCTTACGTTGGTATGTTTTGTTTTGGCCCAAAAGTGTACATACATGTTTAAGTATGCGCTAAGCACGTGCTCCTCGTCCATCTCCCGTGTGTGCTGCTGGTGGCCGGTGCGTGTTTTATTTCCGTCGTGCACGACCTCGATTGTGAGTCAGGGGGTGGCAGCCCGAGGTCATTCAGTTTTCCAACTCGATCACAAAACCACACGTTTAGGCAAGAGGCTGCAGCGAGACCTGGCTCGCTCGCCCTCATCCAGCACCCAGAGATCGAAGGCGATTAGCCCCACGTGGGCTGGGCACCTCGTCGCTGCATCTCTGCACATCAACTGCAGACGAGGCCTGGACAAGGCCGGATCAAGTTTGATGGGGGCCTGGGGCTGTAGTAATTTAAACAGCCAAACCCCCCCTCCTCTTCGTTTACCCAATTCCTTCCATTGACCACCACCCATGCTCAATGCCAAATGCTCCATCGTAATTCACCTCTTGTTATTTCAGCTCGAGCAGTTTAAATTGTAATGCTAAATCAAAAGTTAAAACGAAGATCGGTCGTGGTACACACAGGGATGCTATGGCTTTAATTGCCAAACTGTACTACAGTTTGTATCATGGTGCTGCAGTGTTGCATTTCAACCGTTATAGAGCAGCATGCATTGTTTCCCTTGGCTTGGAGGTCCCCTCAAAACTCCAAGGCCCCCGGCTGCCGCCCCTAAAGCCCCGTGTGCCAATCCAGCCCCGGCCCCCGGAGGCAAAGCTGGCGGCGAGGGCTCGGCACGGGCAGCGTCTGCGACTGGAATTTTTTTTTTAATAAATGGGAGGGCAAAAAGCACGTGCCGCGTGTCGTCACTGGCGTGACGCGCACCCGCGTCTCGCCACCCCGGGCGGTACCGAGCTGGGCCGTCACGGCGGCTCGCGAGGCTTTAGACGGCTCCAGTTGCAGCGCACTCAACGTCGGGAGGATTCTACTCGGCACTGGAGGGTGTTTACTTGGTAAGAGTATTGTGTCACCACTTAAGGGGAGATCTAAGTTGGTACGAATGCATAAGTGTCCAATGTGCTGGAGCGAGATAGACTCTCATCGCGGAACCTTGCAGGGTGGCCTTCAGCAGTCGATAGATCAAAGCTGAAGATATTTTTCCACGGTAACCCTTCCACAAGGGAAGCACATGAGGTGCTTTTTTTTGCAACAGTCATTCCCTCGGACGAGGGGAAACATCTCCCGTCAGTGTCGCGTTTAAGAAAAAGAGAGAATGTGTTTATGTTTAAATGGGTACAGCAAATCCTGACTCTCACCCACCCCTGCACTTTGCAGGGTATTCATGCAGGGTAGACATGGAGGGTGGACACGGGGGTAAGGAGAGTGAACTTGGAGGGTGGACACGGGGAGATCGGCATGGAGGTTAAACATGGCACAGTCCTCGGGTGCCTATGCAGACTACAGATTTGTCCATCGCGAAATGCGACGCTGAGTGGCGACGACACGGGAGTTTGAAATTCCACCCTTTATTGACGTAATCTCTTGACACGGATCAGCGCGATGCAATACAGATTAATGCCTCCACTCAAATGTGAAATCATGAAGCGGGGAAACCCCACACAAGGGCACTCTGGGGGTCGTGCACGCGGCGGCGCGCACGGCTTTATAGCGGCGACGGCAACCGTCGCCAGAAAATAAATTAAAGCGGAGTCGGAAAAGTGATGGGGGGAAGTGGTCACGTGAATCTGCCATCGCGAACCCATCCAGAGCTGCCCACCTGGTGAGCCCACCTGGTGAGCCCACCTGGTGAGCCCACCTGGGCAAGCGGAGCGGCGAGGAACGAGAATGAACATGGGGCAGTAGTCGGGGGTCTTGTGATCTTGAGTGAACCTAAGTTTGCGGTGGAGCCGGAGTCTGGCTGGCGCTGGGGTTGACGTAAATCTGGGATGGGGTGGAGCTGGGGTTGACGTAAATCTGGGATGGGGTCGAGCTGGGGTTGATGTAAATTTGGGATGGGAGTAGAGCTGGGGTTGATATAAGTTGAGATTGAGGTGGAGCTGGGGTTGTGATGTAAATCTGGGATGGGGTGGAGCTGGGGTTGATGTAAATCTGGGATGGGGTGGTGCTGGGGTTGATGTCAATCTAGAAAGGGGTGGAGCTGGGGTTGATGTCAATCTAGGATGGGGTGGAGCTGATGGCACTGTGTGGCTTCACCTGAATTGTTTGCAGTAATTGACAGTGTGCAATATCGTTAATTATCAAACAATCTCACAATTATCAAATGTAACGGCGCTACCAGCGCCTGACTTAACACTCGATGCAGAGAAGTGACCTCCACTTATTTTGATAAAAAGACGAGATTCTCTGGTCCTCTCTGAGAGACCCGTTGCTCAATCACGATACGAGCCTCAGGAAAACCGACACAAACGACAAACAACACACGCATGCGAGAATCGACCAAACTCGTCAACTCCCTTGAGACAGGGCAAGGGCTGGGGAAGACGGGACGTGAGGGGCAGTCAGGGGCAGTCGGGGGCAGTGAAGGCGTTCATCTCTTGAATATGTTGAAGACGCCACGCCCCTTCTTGCTCCGAGCATCGTTCTCCTCGTCCGAGGAGTCGGAGCCGGCGGTCGTGACCTGGGGGAAACGAGTGACGAGCAGGGAGACGGTGCGACGAGGTGTATGAGCGCAGTGGGGTATTGTGACAAGGTGGTGTGAAGAGATGGTGAGGGTGCAAGAGCATGAGAAGTGTTGGCAAGTGACAAGGTGGTGTGCGTGACGAGGTCACCTTGCTCGTGGGAGGATTCTGCAGGGCGGAGGCCGGGGAGCGGAGAGGCCGATCTGAGGGCACAGGCGACGCCACACGACCACCCCTCGTCACCCCCACACTCGCCAACCTCCGCCACTCTCTACCCGCGTCACTCACCGCACCGCCTGCCATCGCGATCCGTCACCCTCATCGTCGTCGTCACTCATCACCATCCTCGTCAATCGCCACCCTCGTCACCCACCACCCACGCAACCCTCGTCACTCGCCACCCTCGTCACGCCGTGCCCACCTGTGGGTGCCGAGCTCCGCGGGGTGAGCGACGGAGGTGACAGCAGTGGGGGCTTCTGGGCCACCGGGGCCGCCCGGCGCTTCCCTGACCCGTCAACGGCGGAATCTGGGAGAGAAGCCGACGTGGGGTCACTCGGACCCATGGGGTCACTCGGACCCATGGGGTCACTCGGACCCATGGGGTCACTCAGACTCTTGGGGTCACTCAGACCGGGGATGCCTATGAAATCGAGCCTAACAGCTCATTTGACCCTTCCTGCTGAAATAAACAAAATGTATCACTCAGACCCTTGGGACAGTCGGACATGGGGGGGGGGGGGCGCACCCCACGGCCACTTACCTGGCCCTCGTGGGATGGATCCGATTGGTCGTCCGCCTCTTCCCGGTCCCCCCCCCCCCCCCCCCCTTGGCTGGCCCAGCTGGAGCCCCCACGATTGTGTGTCAGATGCTGCCTGGCGACCTGTCCACCCGGAGAACCTCTCTGGCCCTCTCTCTCCGTCTCCGATTTGAATATCGGCCGCTGTCCGAAACGTTGCCTGCTATAGATCCTTTCCTATTTCGTGGCGGCGCTCTTGACGAGCGTGTGGAGTAATGTTGCAGCACCACAAGATTACTTTTGTTTCACGTTAACCTCAGTTGTGCATCTCCACGCTTATGGATGGCTAACGAGGCCACTAGGTTTGGGGAGATGGGGGGTGGGGGGGTGGTGGAGGGGTCCCAGCGTGTGTCCCCGTGGCCTCGTATTCACCCGCGGCGTAGGAGCGGCGCGACGGAGCTTCTTGGCGAGAGGGGCTGCCCCGGGGGGGTCCCCTCATGCTGACGCCTGCGTCGGCGGGCCGGGGAGGAGGGAGGCGGAGTGGAAGGAGAAAACGAGATGCTTGCGATCACTTAACGTTGTTAAAGCTCGCAAAAGCAAACAAAAAAACACCGACCGCAACCCGGTCAGGGCCAGAGGCCGGTGCCGTCGCCAGCTCAGGCTGGCAGGGAACTCCGCTTCGTGTTTTGTGATTGCAGGTGGTGGCACGAGCAGGTGGTGGCACGAGCAAGTGCTAAGATTGAGTGTCCGTAAAGTGTTTGAACAGTCCCCCTCGCCCGCCCGGTGTCGGTCAGGAGTGCGGCGAGGTGTGACACGGTGCGTAGGGGTGTGACACGGTGCGTAGGGGTGTGACACGGTGCAAAGAGGTGTGGTGCAGTGTGAACAGGTGTGGCACGGTGTGATGAGGCATGGCAGGGCGTGAAGAGGCGTGGTGAAGTGTAAAGAGGCGTGGCGAAGTGTAAAGAGGCGTGGCGAGGCGTCGGTGCGAGCGCCGGCGGGAGGAGGGCAGTGAGGTGGAGGTGCGCGATGCCACAGCGACAGGTGACGCGGGAAGAGCAGCGGCTCGGACAGCGGCGAATCGACGGGACTTGACCTCTGCGAGAACGAGCGCCGGAGATGGGCCGAGGAGGCCGAGAGGGGAACATGAAGGGCGGAACGAACGGGAGCGGAACAAAGGAGAGAGAGAAACGATTTGAACAAGGATGACTCCAGTAAGTCAGGTCAGCATTGGAGGCAGAGAGCGTTGAGGCGTGAAGAGCGAAGCCTCGCGGTGCGTGCGGTGGGACAGGAGGGCGCAGGACGGAGGATGGGCGACGACACGGAAAGCGCCTGCCACACCACGCACCGCTGTCTGTCGAGGAGATGCCCCACGAGGTCCGGGTCGGCTCCGGATCCAGCTCAGCCCCCCTGGCAGAGTCGCACGCACGCACGCACGTACAAGTTCACACCAAGACAAAGATCCCCCGTATAGCCTTAACAGAATTTTGGGGCGAGTGATGTGAGCGAGCACCTATGAAGGCGGGAACGGCACACGAGGGGGTGGGTGGCCAGCACCATGTTCCGACCGCCTTTATCACACCAAATTGGGCTGAGTTGACCTAGGGGAGACCCAGGACCGTTTCAGATAAACGTCACTGGTGTTTGCCATGACCGGTAATCTGGGTTTATCGCGCAGCCCGCTGACAGAAGGTCACGGGACAGACCCAGGTTGGCAAACATGATCGGCAAATGCACCACCTGTGCTCTCTACTGGGCCAACTTTCGGCTTTTTAGTCACCCGGCGCTCTGCTCGCCATTGCGGTTTACTGCCCAGTAGCGTCTTTCACGAGCCTCCTCCACATCTTGACACCGCTGGTACCAGTCGTCGGCAAAGTCCGCTCAGCTCCACGTCCTCTGCATCGACCCATCTCCACTCGAGCTCATGCAGCACCCGTTTATCTCCCTCTATCCGGCCATATAGAAGCTGCTCACTCGTAGGCGCCCGTGCATGCCCACGTGCACCCGCTGCAAGACGAGAGCGCCCCAGGTGAGCAAGTGTGAGTGCGAGGAGGTACCTGTTGGTGCTGCTGCTGGTGCTCCGTGTTCGAGGAGTGGGCATGGGGGGTCCGTTTGCATTGTTATCCCTGCTCACGCTTGCACCGCAATGGAAGAACGATAGAAGAATAGAACAAAGACAAAAATTCCCCCCGCCGCCCTGTATAGCCTCTGCTGGCTGTTGGGGCAAGTGCTGTTCACGAGCACCTATGAAAGTCCACATGGCACACCAGAGGGTGGGTGGCCAGTGCCACACCCCTCCGCTTTTGATGTTTTAGACACACCGCACCAGGCACTCATTCAAGGGCCGTGCCGACCTCGGGGAGGCCCAGGAACTGTTCATATATTTGCCACCGAAGTTGGCCGTGGGCAGGAATCGAACTCGGACAGCCGGGTTCGAAAGCACACCGCGCTAACCGCCGCACCCCCGCTGGAACTCACACGCGCACGCACGCACACACGCGCGGACGGGTGTTCCACTGACCTCGAGGAGGCTCGCTGTGGCCCGAGGATGTCCAACGACTGCGACTTCTCCTTGAGACTCGGCGCCTTGGAGGTGGCTCCTGCAAGGCAACGGGCGGACGCGCGCCCCGCGTGAGGGGGCTGGGGGCGCGCGAGTCTACGGATCGCCGGGAGCGGGAGGGGAGCCGCACCGGCGGCGGTAGAGACCGGGGGGGGGGGGGGGCGCCACTCGGCGGTCGTGCACTCACGGACGTGCTTGGTGATGCCGCTCGTCCAGGCGTCGAGCTCCAGCTGGGAGGGTGCGACGAACAGGTACTCGGCCCCGTCCGCCAGCCTGCGAGGAGAGGTGGTGGTGAGGGTCAGAAAAGTGGGAAAGTGAGTCTATGGCTCTCAGTGTGAGTCTACGGCTCTCAGTGTGAGTCTATGGCTCTCAGTGTGAGTCTATGGCTCTCTGTGTGTGTCTATGGCTCTTAGCGTGAGTCTATGGCTCTCTGTGTGAGTCTATGGCTCTCTGTGTGAGTCTACGATTCTCTGTGTGAGTCTTTAAGTCTCTGTGTGAGTCTATGGGTCTCTGGATGATTCAATGGGTCTTGGTGTGAGTCTATGGGCCTTTGTGTGAATCTACAAAGCAGAGGTGGAAGACACAGGGAGGTTCACTGGCAGTGAGAGGCTGAACGGATGTTCTGGTGGACTTTGCGAATGAAGTGAGCCCAACGGGAGGTGAGGAGAGGCGGTGGCGAGGTGGCGATGAGGTGGTTTGACGAGCAGGTGGTGACGTACTTGAGTCGGAAGACGTGAGGCTTCTTGGTGTAGTCGTAGGCCACCTCGCACCGCGTGCCCACGAGGCTCTGGCCCAGGCTCCGCGACGTGCTCTGCAACACGCATAAAGACAAAGTTCCCCCGTAGAGCCTTCACAGACTGTCAGGGCAAGCACTGTTTTCGCGAGCGCCTTTTAAAAAATTGGAAAGGCACACGAGAGAGCGGGTGGCCAGCACCACACCCAGCCGCAATTGTCTCCCCCGTGCTGATGCTTACACACCGCACGATGTACTTATTTTAGGCCGAGTTGACCCAAGGTGACCCAGGACCTTTGGAAATACTTGCCGCTGATGTTGGCCCTGAGCGGGAATCGACATCAGGCCGCTAGGTTTAAAGTGCAGCGCGCCCACCACGACACGAACGCTCACCGCCGCACACACGCAAGTACATACGTGGCCTCACCGGCACACGCGGACACACAGGGACACACGGAACAACATACACACGCACAAGCACAGATGCACAACGTACGGACACCCAGAGACACGCGTAGATGCTCATGCACACAGTCACAGGTGAATACACACGGATGCACAGATGCTCACAGACACGCCGGCGCGCGTGAGCGGTGAGCGAGTGAGTGATCGATGGGGTGAATGAGCGACTGTGTGGGAGCCAGGGTGAGCGTTACCAAAGGAGCCTCGGACTTGTCTTTGAAGAAGGAGATTTTCCCGTTCGCCACCGACACGAAGCACGAGACCCACGAGCGCTGCAGGGCCTGAGAGAACACAGCGCTCACCACACACTCACCACACACTCAACACACACTCACCACACACTCACCACACCCTCACCACACACTCACCACACACTCAACACACACTCACCACACACTCACCACAGCGCTCACCACACACTCACCACACACTCACCACACACTCAACACACACTCACCACACACTCACCACACACTCAACACACACTCACCACACACTCACCACACACTCACCAGACTCACCAAACACTCACCACACACTCAACACACACTCAACACAGCGCCCACCACTCACTCACCAAACACTCACCACACACTCAACACACACTCACCACACACTCAACACACACTCACCACACACTCAACACAGCGCTCACCACACACTCAACACACACTCACCACACACTCACCAAACACTCACCACACACTCACCAAACACTCAACACACACTCAACACACACTCAACACAGCGCTCACCACACACTCAACACACGCTCACCACACACTCAACACACACTCACCACACACTCAACACACACTCACCATACACTCGCCACACACTCACCAAACACTCACCACACACTCACCACACTCAACACACGCTCTCCACACACTCAACACACGCTCACCACACGCTAAACACACGCTCACCACACACTCAACACACGCTCACCACACACTCAACACACGCTCACCACACACTCAACACAGCGCTCACCACACACTCAACACACGCCCACCACACACTCAACACACGCCCACCACACGCTCACCACATGCTCACCACATGCTCAAAGACACACCTACCACGCACTCACCACACACTCACCAAACACTCACCACACGCTCAAACACACACCTACCACGCGCTAACCACATGCTCACAACACACTCAACACACGCTCACCACACACTCAACACAGCGCTCACCACACACTCAACACACGCCCACCACACGCTCACCACATGCTCACCACACACTCAAACACACACCTACCACGCACTCACCACACACTCACCACACACTCAACACACGCTCACCACATGCTCACCACACACTCAAACACACACCTACCACGCGCTCACCACATGCTCACCACACGCCCACTCGCTCACCAGACGCGCACGCCCACTCGCTCTCCACACGCTCACCACACACACATCACACACTCACCACACGCTCACCACATCCACACTCAAGACTCCTCACCGGGACCCTCTTGCCGCCGGAAAGGTATTCCTGCTTCCTCTCCAGTTGCCCCCTTAAGAGCGGCAAATCGCCACGCGCCTACAAACACACGCACACGCGACTCCCCCGTCGTCACCTCTCCCATCACCGTCATCACACCATCATCTCTCTCAACGCCGCCTCTCCCATCATCATATCATCATCACACCATCATCGCACCGTTACCTTCGCCATCATCGCTTCTCTCATCAACATCATTGCACCATCGTCACATCGGCACCCCTCCCATCATCCTCACGCCGTCCCCTCGCAGCGAATCACCTCGGACGAGGAGTCGTTGGCCGAGACGCTCTCTCGCGACCCCCAATTCACCAGGGGCACGGAGGGGCGCCGGGGCCCCGGGCTCGCGCCCTCCTTGGAGCCCCAGCTCGGGCTGAGCGACTCCATGGAGCCGATCGTGAGGATGCCTCCGGCTCCGGAGCGGCTGCTCCGCCTGGAGGAGGACCCACGCGAGAACGTGCTCGAGGAGGAGAAGGGCTCCAGATGGAGCTCCACCGCGGGCCTCTCGGAGGAGATTTCGGCGACCGGCCGCTCCCTCTGGGGCGTCTCCAAACGGGAGCTTCCGCCGTCGCGCTCCGTGAGGGGCCTCTCGGGCGAGGAGTCCCCACGGGAGGGCTCAGCGCGGCGCCTCTCGGGCGAGGCGTCGGCGCGACGACGGAGCTCATTCGCGGGCTTCCCGTCCGGGGTGCCCGGCTTGCCGGCCGCCGCCACTTTAAACGAAGGCCTCTTGGCGGTCGCGGCGCCCGGCGTCGGAGGCTTCCCGAGGGCGGGCGGGCGGCCGCGGCTCGAACCGTCGTCGCTGTCGGTGTCGCGCGGCCGGCGGGCCAGGTTGAGCGCCGGCCTCTGGAGGACGAGGCGCGTCGGCGCCAGGGAGCCGGCGCGCTCGCCGTTCTCGGCGCCGGACGACGACGACGAGCGGCGCACCGTCTGCCGCTTGGCCCTGTCGGCCGCCGAGCCGGAGCGCGTGGGCGGCGTGCGGCGGTTGGACGGCGTGCGGCGCGTCGAGGCGCCGTGCGAGCGCGAGCGCGAGCGCGCCGCCTTCACCGGGTCGCGTTTGTGCTCGGCGCGCGCCTTCCTCCGGCGCCGCTCGTCCTCGTTCCGCGTCTCCAGGTCGACCTGCTGGGACTGCACGCGCCGGCGGGTGCGTCCGTGTCAGCGACCCACACGGTGTTCCCGGCTCCTCTCGCCGCTATCTCGCTGCGGCCATCGGCCAAGTGTCACCCACTGCTGTCGAGCGGGCGACGTGTAAAATATTCCGCGAGAGTTGAATCCGTGGAGTGGCCGACTCCGGCTCGGCGCCGCCACCACCGCTCACCTGCAACTCCTGCGCCAGATGTCCGAAGTGGTCCTCCTGCTCCAACATGGTGCTCTCCAGGTCCTCGAGCTGCTTTAGCAGCTCCTCCACCCCTTGCAGCGAGTCCTGCACGCCGCGCGGCACGGGCATCGCGCTGCAGGACGAGCACGTCGAAAGCCAGAGAGAGGACAGAGCGAGTGGACGGAGAAAGTGCACAGAGAGGAGACGTTGCGATAGGATTTGCGGGGGCTGTGGGAGCGCGGCAAAGGACTCACCCCGAGGTCGCCGTCTGTCAACAGGCCCTCGCGCGTGGCCAGCCAGTTGTCCGACTGCTCCAGCTTGCGACGCAGCAACTGCAGCTGCAGGTTGCGCGCGAGCAGCTCGTGGCGTTCGTCCCAGTTGTCCTGGACTCGCAACAGCACCACCTCCACGTCCTCCGTCTCGTAGCCGATCTGTGCACGCGCGAGCACACACGCACGCGTAAACACGCGCTCGCACGCGAGCGGGCCAGGGTCGGGTTCCGGCGCCTGGCGGGGTCGTGGGATGGCACCCGCACCTCCTCGTGGTGCGTGTGCTCGGGCCGCATGAGCTCCTGCGCGCCCCGCTTGAGAGCGGCAAAGCGGGCGAGCTGGCGCTCGACGTCGGCGAGGACTTCCTTGTGCTGCGCCAACGCCTCCTCCGCCCCCGCGACGCCGCTGCCCAGCTCGGCCGCGGCCATCGACACGTTCACCTCGCCCGCCCACAGCCTGCGCACCGCCACGCAGAGCCGGCACCCGCTCAGCGCCAACACCGTGACCCTGTGATCCTGTGACATTGACATTTTGACACTGGCACTGCGACAGGTGCCATGTGACTCTGTGACACTGACACCCCTGATACTGGCATTTTCCCTTTAGCGAGGTCGGTGTGTGTGTGTGTGTGCGTGGGTGAGTGGGTCAGTGCGTACACGTGTGGGGTCGGTGTGTGTGTGGGCTAGTGCTCGTACTCCATTTCGCGGTACTCGTTGATGAGCTCGTGGAGCTGCGCCGAGTGCTCCAAGAAGACAGTCCTCTCGGCCGCGCGCTCTCGCACCTCCCGCCACAGCTCCTGCAGGGCGTGCACTCTCGTGCGGGCGCTCTCCTGCTCCGAAGGGTGCTCCCGCACCAGCCGCTCCAGCTCGGCCTCCAGCGCCAACACGCGCTCCTCGATCACCTCCAGATCGCCCTGGCGGAGACGATAGCGGAGCGCGGGCGGGATCGCTACCGGTTCGACGCCGTGGCCCCGCGACCTCCGCAGGCGGGGCCAACGCCCCGTCGGGCCAACGACCGCGCCGCCCCGAGTCCCCCGGGCCTCTCGCGCTCGCTCACCTTGGTGGCGTCGTGGCGCCGCATGCTGGCGCGCACGCTGGCCAGCTCGGGGATGTTCTCGTTGGGCGGGATGGCCGCGTCCTTGCGCTGGATCCACTCGCGCAGGTCCTCCGCGTCGCGCGAGAACTCGTGCACCTTCCTCGCCGCGCGCAGCTCCTGCGCTCGGTCGTCGATGGCGCGCTGCAGCTTGTCCCAGCGGCTCGTCGCCCTGGCGACGAGCCGCTGCGCCAGCGCGCTGTCGTCCTGCCGCGGCGCCCTCTCCCGCAGCGCCCGCGCCGCGTCGTGCACCGAGCCCAGGCGGCCCTCGCCCGACACCCGCACCTCCTCCACCAGCTCCTCAAACCTCTTCTCCAGCAGCTGGAACCCGAGCGAGGGACGGGACGGAATCAGCGGCGGTCGGCCGGCGGCGGCGGCGGCGCAGGCGCGAGCGCGTCAGGGGCGGGGCCGGGGGAACACGGCGGCCGTCGCGCTCACCTCCAGGTCCTCCAGGTCGGTGCCGCAGTCGTCGGCGCGCAGCAGCGCCCGGCGAGCGCGCATCCACGCCTGCGCCTCCTCGGCGGCGCGCGCCGTGCGGCCCAGGTAGAGGCGGTCGCGCAGGCGCTCGCGCCGCTCGTCCAGGGCGCCGGCGAAGCCCTGCAGGTCTTCGCGCACCTCGTCCACGCGCGCCGCCACGCGCTCGCTGCGCTCGACACGCGGTGGGGGGGGGGGGGGGGGGGGGGGGTGACGCGTGCTTCATGCGTGCGCGCGCGTGTCTGTACGCAATTGTACGCGCGGGCGTGCGGGTGTACGTGTGTTTGTATTTGTGCTGAATAACCGGTCCTGGGCCTCCCCCTGTATATACATGTGCTCGTACGTACGCGTGCGTGTGTTCTGCGTGCGTGAGTCTGTGCGCGTACCAGTCGTCGGGCCACTCGCGTGCAAGCTGCGCCACGCTCTCCTTGAGGCGCCGCGTCGCCTCCTGTCGTGCCGCCATCTCGGGCCCCAGCGAGTCCAGCTGGCGCAGCTGGGCCTGTGCCCACTCCTCGTACCTGCCCACGTCCTCGTCGGGGTCGCTCGCGCCGCTCAGCAGCGCCCCGCGCTCCTCCAGCCACGCCTCCACCTCTCCCAGCTGCGGCCGCGCACGCACGCAAGCACGACCGCCACGATTACACCGTGGCACGTGGCCTTCTGCGTCCCACCGTCGTGACCCCGCGTCTCACCCGTGACCCCGCGTCTCACCCGTGACCCCGCGTCTCACCCGTGACCCCGCGTCTCACCTGCGCGTCGATCTGCTGCGCGTGGAGCGCGTGCTCGAGGCGAGCGCGCCGGGCCTTGCACTCCTTGCGCAGGCGCTGCGTGGCGTCGCGCAGCTCCTCAAGGCACGAGCTAACCTGCGCCGCTTCAGGGTGCTCGCGCGAAACCAGCCCCGACCCCGAGCTCAGAACGCCCTGCACCAGCACGTGCCGCGCCTCCACCTCGCTCTCCAGCGCCTGCCAGGACACAAGGGGCGGACACACGCGTGGGCTTGTGGGTGCGTGCGCGAGCGGTATGCCGCCATTCTGGACATCCGTGAATACTGGACGTCCGTGAAAAATAGCTTCATAGCTCAACGGATTTCTCCAGGCGAAATGAAGATTCTGATTCTGTTCGAATCGGGGTCTGTATGTGTAGTGCCGTGAATTCACTCGGACGACAACCATCTTCTTCCACCGTCACTTTTTTTCCATCGTTCCGTACACACGGCAATTCCCCTCTTCGCGCTCCGCCAACTCCGACACTCCGATTCACCTCAGCACCGTCCGCGCATCCTCTTCCACACACAGTGGTTCTTCCTCTATCTCCTCACGTACAGTGTGTCCGCTATCTCTTCACACGCAGTGACTTCCTCTACCTCCGCACACACAGTGATCTGTCTGTCTATTCACACACAGTGACTCTATCTATCTCTGCACACACAGTGACTTGCCTGTCTATTCACACACAGTGACTCTATCTATCTCCGCACACACAGTGACTCTATCTGTAACTCTCCCTGTACCTATCTCCTCCGTAACTACCTCTCCGCTAACGCTAACTCTCCCTATCGCTATTTACTGTCCTTTGGGTTCGGCTCTCAATATATTCTTCCCTAACATTGCCAGCTGTCCTCTTCGTATCTCTCCACCTCTCGCCAACAACTGCCCAACAACAACTCAACTCCCCGTTCAAATCACCTAGCGTTTTATCCCCTTTCCAATTAGCCTTCATTAATTGCCACGTGGCTCGCTGGCATTTTCCTGCCAGCTCGCACCTGTCCAACGGTCAGACTTTGAGACGCCGCCACTTAACGCTAACAGCCTCTCGACCAATCACAGCCCTCGTGCCACGACTCCTTTAATTACTTCGGGTTGTTTACGCCACCCGTGACTCGACCACCTGTTCGACCTCATGTGACCCACTCTCCTTGTATGTCTGTATGTACTGTATGTGGCCAATTCCTATGCGTATCGTTTACTCTACTACATATGTATGCACGTTGAACTTCTTTGGCACCGTACGTAGCCAACCCCGCTAATCGGAGGTGCGGGGGAAGGAAAACAAACTGAACGAAAAAAGCAGTTCGTGAGAAACGAGTTTTCAATTTAGCGGATTTAAAAGTGCACAGCTCCAGTGGCTTCCGAACATCGGAAGGGAGAGCGTTCCAGACGGCCGCCAAAGCGCATCTGAAAGCGCGCGATGCGGCGGCCGTCTCTGTTCTTCAATGGCTTCGCCAAAAAAGTGCCGGCACCGCGGGGTGCCCCTCGCGGCCCTGGCCGCTCGTTCACCTGGTGCCGGGTGAGGAAGGCCTGCACGGCGGGCAGCGAGCCGCCGACCTCGGCGAGCGAGGCGAGGGGCAGCCGCTCGCGCACCCAGTCGAACTCGGTCTCCACGTCGTGGTAGAAGCGCAGCAGGTCCTGGCGCTCCTCCAGCGCCATGCGGTGCGCCCGCACCGGATCCGACGCCTCCTCGTAGCTGTGGGGCCACGTGCGCCGCGAGTCAGTCGGGTCGGTGTGTGTGGGGAGCGGTAGTGCAGCGGTGCGCACGCTGCGCTACTGGGGAGACATCGGCGACCGGTTGTGGCGTCGGCCCTTCGCGTGCAGTGCCGGACTTCATCGGTGCTACTCGCTAACAGCACTTTCCCCAGCAGTCTGTGCGTCCGTGCGTGCGAGGTCAGAGGGTGCACGTGTGTGTTTGTGGGCGTAGGCAGGGGGCTGAGAGTGGGTGGGGGGTGCCCGCGGGAGAGGGGGCACCTGTGGTCTAATTCGCTCGCCCGCTTCGTCAGCTCGTCGCCCAGGAAGTTGCCCTGCCGCTGGAGCTCCACGGCGTCGCCCGCCAGCGCCTGCACGCGCGCGCGGTGCGCCGCCACCTCCGTCTCCAGCTCGCCCTGCGCCTGCAGCTCCGCCTCGGCCATGGCCAGGTCCGTGGCGGGCTCCGTGGAGGCGAGGCGCTCCACCGCCTCGCCCAGCCAGCGCTCGGCCTCGTCCAGGTCGCGCAGCAGCTGCAGCGCCTGCAAGGCGCACGCACGAGCCAGCGAGCGAGCGAGCGAGCGCGTGTTCAGGCACCGAACAAAGCTCGATATGTCACCGGTTATCGCAAGATGGACCCTCGAAAGTCAGAAATGTCCCCGTACAATTTACCAGCTTCCTGAATAGAGACCTGGAATCGCTCCTAAATCTGCATCTTGTAGTCGTCCAATGAAACCGCTAGATTTGAACGTTGTCGCGAGGGAAACCCAAACAGTCGCCGGACCTAGTGACGTAAACGTTGGTGACGCCGCCGTCAGTGCCACGTCGTCGTCACCCACCCTCCACCCGGCTACCGTGACCGCGGCGAGAGTGGGTGCTCGGGCGCCGGCCGCGGGGCGCCGGCCGCGGTGCGCCGCACCTGGTACGCCTCCTGCAGCCGCGCACGCTTCACGCGGCACAGCTCCGACAGCTCCTCCCGCAGCTCGCGAATCTCCTGGAGGCGCGGCGCGAGGTCGCTGTGCGCCGCGAAGTGGCCGCCCTTCACCATGGCCTCGCCCTCCTGCGTGGGGGAAGCAAGCGGTTCACTGGGTCAGGGTCAGGGGCGAAATGCCGTCCCCCGTGCCCCCCGAAATCCCCCCCCATCGCCCCCCCCCTCCCCAACGGCGCATGCGCGACTCACGGCCACGATGTTGTCGAGCCGCGCGTTCTGCCCCTCCACCTCGGCGTCCAGCGCCTGCTGCCGCTGGAGCTTGGCCTGCAGGTTGGTGAGCTCCGCCCACGTGTCCTCGCGCGCCATGGCCGCGCGCTCGTCCAGCCACGACAGCTCCTGCACGGGGGGCGCCGCCGCATGACCACGCGCCACCACGCGACACCGCGCGCCACCACGTACAACCACGGTTGCCGCCAGAGGCTTATTAAACCCTGCAACCATGGAGTCAACGCTTCCCTCCCCTCCCACCCCTCCCACCTCGTACGTGACGCCGAGGAAGACGTGGAGCTGCCGGGAGTCGTCCAGCATCCGGGTCCGCTCAGCTGCCACCTCCAGCAGTCGATCCCGCCTAGGTGCATGGGCAGCAGTTACACCCGTCGCCCTAACATGTGTAGTCAGCGTCGCGTCTCCGTGATCGGCGTTGTGCACCCCCCCCCCCCCCCGGTAATCATCGCGTCTCCGCAGTCATCGTCGCGTCTCGCCGGTGCCGTTCGTGTTTCGTCGCCCCCCGGCCACCGCCTCTGCCGCCGTGCAACTGCGGTGCGCACCTCTCAAAGACCGCGTTCATGGCGTCGCTCAGCTGCTGTGGGACGTGCGCGCCCAGGTGGCGCGCCGTTTGGTCCGCGTCGCCCAGCGGAGAGTGCTCGTCCGCCAGCGACTCCACCAGCGCCTCGTGCTTCTTGCTGAGGCTCTCGACCGTCGCCAGCGAGTCCTGCGCGCGCAGACCCGTCCAGCGGTCAGCCCCGTAGCGTCAGGGGACGGGCGGGGGCTGTGGGGGGGTCGAGCCGCCCCCCAACTTCCCACCCCCCCCCCCCCCATAAGTTCTTATAGTTAACTCAAAAGTGTCGGTGTGATATTTAACACCAGCCGCGGTGTTTCCCCAGAGTTGACACCGGCTTGGCGAACGCCCTTAACCATCGACCGTGCGTGTCGAGTCCCACGCACGGTAACAGCTGGGTACGGACGTTAGCTGCGAGTCACAACAAGCACCATCGGGACAGCCGCCGAAGATGTGATTCTGTGGATCGCTCGCTCTCCAACGACGCGACCGGTGGTGGTGCTGCTGAAGCGGTTCAAAACATTGGCCACGTTTGTTCGTCACGTGACGACGCCCGCGTTGGTGGGCGACGCCCGCGTGTGTGCAGACGCGCGCGAGCGCTCACCCCGAGATCGCGGTTCTCCAGCAGCGTCTCCCGCGCCATCAGCCAGCCGTCGGCCCGCTCCACCAGCTCACGCAACCGCTGTGGGACCACGGAGCAGACCGTTCACCGCCACCGCCGTCACCGTCACCTTCATCACAATAATGGCTTGAACTCGTGATGCGACCCCACCGCACGGTATTCGCTCCTCGCTCTCGAAGAGCGAGAGAGGCGCGAGGAGAAACCACGGATGAGCAGCAGCCACGCGGTGGGCTGGCACTCCCAACAATTGCCCGAGCTCTCCGGTACTCTATATATTACGGTGTTATCTGCAAATGAACGAGCGTTTACATGTGGGAGCACCCAGAGATAACCCACGCATGTGAGGGGGAAACGCTCTATCCCATGTGGGCCAGGTGGGTGGCCACCACCACCCGGCTCATCGTCGTCAACATCACGTTCAGCGTCGCCATTACAACCTTCCTCAACATCATCATCGCCTGCATCATCAGCACAGTCGCCTCCACCAAAGACCCCCCGTGTAGCCATCAGAAGACAGTTGAGGCAAGTGCTGTTCGTGAGCACCTATGAAGGCCGGCACAGCCTCACTCGGGGGTGGGTGGCCAGCACCACGCCCCGGCCGCCTTTGTCTCCCCAGTGGCGATGTGTACGCACCGCAGCAGGTACTCAGTTAAGTCTGATTCGACCTCAGGGGGAGGCCCAGGACCGGTTCACATTATCGTCACTGGCCGTGAGCGGGAATCGAACTCGGGTCTCCAGGTTTGTAGCCAAGCGCCTGACCGAAGCGTTACCGCTCCCCACACCACCACCACCGTCACCACCACCGTCGGTCAGCCCGCCGCCACCATCGTCGCCGTCGCCGTAAGCGCCGTCGTGCGCGTCACCCCCCCCACCCCCCCGGTACTCACCAGCGTGTCGCGGGCGAGCGTCAGGGAGGACAGCGCGTCGTCCCACGCGGCCAGCAAAGCCTCGTGCACGTCCTCCAGCCGCGCAAGCTCGCGGCGGATGTCGGCCGCGTCCGGGTGCCGCGCCTCCATGAGCCGCTTGCCCACCTCGCGCACCTCTTCGAAGCGGCCTCCGCGCGCCGTGATCTCCACCTACGGGGGCAGGGGGGCGGCACTCGTCACTCCACCCTGGCGGGTTCCTCGCTGCCGGCCCGAGGCGGCGTGACTTTAAAGTCTTCTCGTCCTCGTTCATGCAGCTTCCAGCTCGTGCCCGGACGGCCAGGAAAACCGTGCAGCGTGGCCTCTCCTCAGAACTCCAAAGAAGAGCCATTGCCCGAAACGTCACCTAGTATATACCTTTTAAGGCCACAGTGTTTTTACTAGCGAACGTGTTGGGGTTTCGGATTGCGTCGGTCGATAACTCTCTTGCCCGGCGTGGCGGTGACGGTGGTGGTGGCGGTGGTGGTGGTGGCGATGGTGGTGGCGGTGGTGGCGGTGGTGGTGGTGGCGGTGGTGGTGGTGGTGGCAGTGGTGGTGGCGGTGGCGGTGATGGTGGTGGTGGCGGTGGTGGTGGTGGCAGTGAGTTTCGGCACCTTGGTCTCGTGGTGCGCTTGCAGGAGGTTCTCGGCCTCGGGGAGGCTGGCCGGCGCGCGGGCCACGCTCATGGTGGCGCGCGTGTCGGCGTCCCACGCCAGCAGCGTCTTGGCGGCGGCGCGGAAACGCTGCAGGTGCAGCGTGTCGGCGAGGCGCGCGCCGCGGGTCGCCGTGTCCTCCTGCAGCCGCAGCCACGCCTCTTGCAGCGCTCGTTGCCGCTGCGACACCTGCTCCACCAGCGCCGGGTGCTGGCGCGACAGCCTGCGGGACTCCGCCTCGGTCTCCTGCACGCGCGGACGGCACGGCGCGCGTTGGTGGCGCCAGCGCGGCGAGGCCGGGGCGGCAGCGGGCGGGCGGGGCGGCGGGCGGTGAGAGGGACGGCACCTGAATGCTGTCGCTCAGCACGCGGATGTCTCGCTGCGCCTCCTCGTGGCGTCGCACCAGCGCCTCCACCTCCTCCAGGTCCCCGCCGAGCCCAGCCGCGTGCATCGCCGCGCTCTGCGCACGGGCGCGTGCACACACGCACGCACGACCGTCACTGTGGGCGAGCCGGAGCCACCGTGGCAGCTGTTGGAGAGGACTATTGAGGTCTGATGTGGGTGTGGGAGGGAAAGTGGCGTAGAGTTAGGGGAGAACGAGAGAGAGTGATGGAGAGCGGGGAAGAGCGAGGGATTGAGGGAAAGCGGGGGGAGAGCGTGGGAGCCACCTTCTCCCCGATGAGCGCCCTCGTCTCGTCCATCTGCAGCAGGAACGCGTGCACGCCCAGTGCCGTGGCGAGCCGGGAGCGGTATTCCTGCAGTGCACTCTGGAACGCGGCCCAGCTGCACGCACGCGTGGGCACATGGGCAGCGTGTTTATGCGTGGGGTGGTGTGTGTGTGCGTGGGGTGGTGTGTGTGTGCGTGGGGTGGTGTGTGTGTGCGTGGGGTGGTGTGTGTGTGCGTGGGGTGGTGTGCGTGGGGGTGGTGTGTGTGTGTGCGTGGGGTGGTGTGTGTGTGCGTGGGGTGGTGTGTGTGCGTGGGGTGGTGTGTGTGGGGTGGTGTGTGTGTGCGTGTGGGGTGGTGTGTGTGGGGTGGTGTGTGTGTGCGTGGGGTGGTGTGTGTGTGCGTGGGGTGGTGTGTGTGTCCGTGGGGTGGTGTGTGTGGGGTGGTGCGTGTGTGCGTGGGGTGGTGTGTGTGGGGTGGTGTGCGTGTGGGGGTTGCTCTGTGTGGGACACCAACCGCTTGTTGAGCTGGGCCCGGCTGCGCTGCACTAAAGGAGCGTCGGGACCACCCTGCGCCTCCAGCTTCGCGCCCAGCGCATTCAGCGTCTTCATCTGCGCGTCGTCCACCGCCCCGTACTGCGGGGGACGGGGAGGGGGGTGGGAGGGTCACGGGCAGCACTCCAGCACCGCACCTGACCCCTCACTTTGTTGTTGTAGTTGTTGTTGTCACTTACGCACAATTTCACCACGACTGTGCTGTCGGTGTCATCCGGTTCCTCCGCGGACCAGCGCAACCGTTCGTGTCAGAAAACAGCCCGCAGAAATGCACATCACAGAGCTACCTCCGAGATCCCTTCGAGCGCCGTCCGTTCCGCATCCACGCAGCGGGTGGGGCGGGGGGGGGGGGGTAGACGGATGGGGATGGGGGGGTGCTCTTTGTCCCTCCGTCGGAGCGATGGCCGGGGGGACTCACCGCACTCCCCTCGGCGCCGAGCTTCTTCTGCAGCTGCAGGCAGTGCTCGTAGTCCTTGCCCACGTCCCCAACGGCCACCATCACCTCCTGCGAAGCCACGGCCGCCGTTCATTCCTCGAGCAGGCGAGGGGCGCCACCGTCGGGGCCCCCACGTGCGGCGAGAAGGCCGAGCGTGACGCACGTATGTTGTTGTGCGTACATCGTACGTATATATGTATGTTGTGTGTATGTTGAACTTCTTTCGCACCGTACGTAGCCAACCGTGCTATTAGGAGGATTCAGGGGGGGAAGGACAACAGACTAAACACAAAGAGCAGTTCTACATAAATGAGTTTTCAATGGAGATTATTCAAAAGTGTTACAGCTCCAGTGGCTTTCTAATATCGGAAGGAAGGGCATTCCAGACGGCCGCAGAAGCCAAGAGCCGGAGTTCGCATGATGCTTTACGCTCCTTGATCAGCGAGGTATTGCGGTCAATCGGTGGTAAGCAGAAGCGCATCTGAAAGTGCGCGACGTGGTGACGGCGCCGTGCGGGAGCGAGCGCTCCGTGTCCACGCGAGGGGGGGGGGGGCGGGCCCGACCCCCCCCCCCAGCCTCGGCCCCACCCCCCTGGGCCTCCCCCCTCCCCACCCACCTTGTCGCGGATCCAGGCCTCGGCGCGCTCCACGCGCGTCGTGAACTCCAGCAGGTCGCGCGCCTCCCCCAGCATGCGCTCCCGCGTCGCCATCGCGCGCAGCAGCGCCTCCCAGTCCTCGCTGAGCTTGCGCGCCTGCCGCTGTACCTCGGCGGCGTGCGACGGCGCTCTGCTCGCCAGCGCCTCGCCGGCCTGCGCAAACCCGCCGCTCGCTCGGATCTCATCATACGCGGCCGACCGCTCGACCGCCCGACCGCGCGACGCTCGCCAAAGACTGCTCGTGCGTGCGCGCGCCGAGTTTAAACTCTCCTTATCTTATGTAAGAATAGGTTTTGCCCTTTTATGGCAATGAAACAGTTGTGTTAAGATGTTAAAACATGTCACTGCATTAACCACACACAGTTCTTGTGGTGAACATGCAAACAAAACACATGCTGTGGTAGTATATGATGCAGAGACGGCTTCCTTTAGAGCCGAGTCTCAAACAGTGTTAGACCAGAGGACGCCAAAAGGCGAACAGCACAAAGACCATGCCACTATCAGGACATTGAGACCTTGGGGTGAGCAGCCACATCATGGGACCTCCCTTGCCAGGATCAAAACATAAGAATAGGTTTTACCCTTTCTGTTAAGACACCAAACTGAAACCTTTGGCAAGGAATCATGTCACTGCATTAACCACACACAGTACTTGTGGTGAACATGCAAACAAAAACACGTTCCGATAATATATGCATTGTCCTTTCATCGCCAAGAAAGGGTAAAACCTATTCTTATATGTTGATACTGGCAAGAAAGGTCCCATGCCTCCTTATCTTATCTTAAAGTCATTTACATAGCGCCTTAAGTAAGGCGCTTTACAGAAAATTAAGAACGGCACAACGCGTGTGTGAATGTAGTGGTGGAGATTCGTTTGGAGGGGCGGGGGCTAATCTGTGATGATGCGTGAATTCGGTGAAAGGGAAAATTGATGGCAGTCAACGATGGTGAATGGAATGAATGAATGGGGAAGCCAACAACAGCGTCAAAGGAAGACATTCTGATGGTGCGGTTGGCTAGGAAATTGTTAAATTAAACAATGCATTTGGTTATGCTGCTCACGGTGGTACACAAGCACGAATAACAATACAACTCGACACGTTCCGTGTTGATAACATTGTGGCCTTCAAAAGAAAAATATATAATAGGTGACGCAATGGTCGGTCTTCACAAACATGTGCTACGAATGTCTGAACGTTAGACTTCTTTCGTACCGTACGTAGCCGGCCGTGCCAATTGGAGGTGCGGGGGAAGGACAAGAAGAAGGTCCATTGCCTGAAACGTCGCCTATTATAATTTTTTCCTACTAAGACCAAAGTGTTATTGTTGAATGTGTTGAGTCTTTTGGTAGTTGGCCAAATCTAATCGGTGAGGGTTGGCACGTGCGCGATTTCAAAAAGTACAGCCCAGAAGCTTGAGGTCAGAGGGTCGGGGATCACGGGGTCACGGAGCGCGCTCACCTGCACGGTGTCCCGGATGGCGCCCTCGCGCGCCATCACCTCGGCGTGGAACGTCTGGTGCTTCTGCAGCAGCGCCATCTTCTCCCGCACGCTCACGCCGTCCTCACCGCGCAGCCCGGCCTGGGCCCGTCGCAGCATCTCGCCGCACCACGCCCCGGTCTGCGGAGCGCAAACACAAAAGGTTTCCCGCTGTGGCCACGTCGAGCGTCGGGGGCCCGGCGCCTATAGCGGGCGCCTATTCGGGGCCGGTACGGCGCGCGACGGGGGCCGAGCGTAGCCCGTGCCGAACCCGACCACCTTTGTCTCCCCGGTGCCGCCGCTCCGCGCGCGCGCGCGCCGAACGCCGTCGTCACCTCGGCCAGGTCGGCGTGGAAGGTGAGGAGGAGGCGCGCCGTCTCCAGCTCGTGCCCCTTGTCCCCGGAGAGACGGTGGACGCGGGCGAGGCGCTCCTGCAGCAGGGTGAGGCGACGCCGCGCCGGGCCCTGCTCCTCCAGCCGCTGCATGCTCTCTCGCAGCGCTTCGATCTGCGCGCGAGCAGGAGTGGGGCGGGCGGGCAAGAGAGAGTGCGAGTGCCGAAGTTGAGATGGTCAAGTTTCCAGTTTGTTTCACCAGGTTAGGACTTAAGAGACCAGGACGGAGACTCATTTGCAAGGGCGACCCGTGTCACCAGAAATCGTAAGGGCGAACCAAGTAAAATCAAGCATAGCAATTAAACAAGCAGAAATCAGAGCAAAGTGTCACATAGTAACAATGTCGACCCCGGAGTCTTTGTAATATTATGAGACCCAACCCCCCTTCCCCCCCCCTCTCACCTTCTCGTCTCGCGTCGCCAGCAGCTGCCCAAACACGCCGTGCTGCCGGATCAGAGAGTCCACCTGGGCGAGCGAGCTGGGTAGCTCGCGGGAATTCAGGTAGTCCTGGTACGGGTGCACGCACGCAAACACGCGCACACACATACACACAAGGACACAGATCCCTCGTGTAGCCTACACAGACAGTCGGGATCCGTGAGCGAGCGCCCATAGATCGGATACAAACACTGCGCACGCAATGGGCAGGATCCCACAAACACACACGGACGCATGTGTCACACGTGTGTGTGTGTGTTACACGTGCAGCTGCACCGAGATACAGATGCTGTGGGATAAGGGGGATCCGGTCGTTGAGGTCAGGGTCCAGGGGGTCAGGTGTCGGGGTCAGGGAAGACGAATTGTGGTGTCAGGATCAAAGGGAGCAGGTGTGAGGCTCCAGTGAGGTGTCGGCGGGGTGAGTGAGCGCGGCTCGCCGCATCCGCTCTGCACCTCCTGGCTGCTGATCCAGGTCTCCGTGAGCTCCGCCTCATGCAGGAACAGCTGCTCCAAGTAGCGCCGCTCCAGCCGCTCGTTCGCCTCCTCCCAGCGCGACAACAGCTCCCGCCGGCGCTGCGTCACCGTGTACAGCTTCTCCTTGACCTGCGCGCCGCCCGCATGGGGCCAGGGAGCCGGCCGATGAGTGGTGGGCACGGGGTGCCACGTGACGGGCGCCGCGTGACGGCCGCCGTGTGGCGAGCGTTGCAGGGTGCTGGGATCTGCACCTCCTTGACCGCAGGGTGCTTCTGGCTGAGCAGCCGCTCGGCGGCCGTGCACATGTCGTGGAAGTCCGAGACGTGCGCCTCCATCTCGGCCCGCAGGCTCGCGTGCTGGGCGCGCTGGGCGCTGGCGCCCTGCACTCCTCGCGCCGGCGCCTCCGCCAGCTCCAGCCCGCGGCCCACCTCGTCCAGCCAGCCGGAGTAGTCCCGCACCTGCAGCGCGCGCACCGGCGGCACGGGCGGCACTCGTCAAGGGACGACAGCGACGACGGCGGCGACGGTGAGAGAAACGACGTGTGTGATTTCGATTTGAAGCTTTCGTGACTGCAAGGATTCATCTTCTTTGGTTCTTTCGGTAAAGTCACGTAGAATGAGAATAAAATAATAAAATAACACAATACAATTCTCACGACTGTCTGTCGTCCCGACAGTTCTGTACCTTTCAGCTGAAGACGGCCGCTTGCGTTGTGGCCGAAACGTCGTGAGAATTTTATTGTGTTATTTTATTATTTTATTCTCATTCTACGTGACTTTACCGAAAGAACCAAAGAAGACGTGTGTGATGATGATGATGATGGTGACAATGGTGACAACGATGACGGTGGTGTGTGAAGCACTGATGATAACGATGATGATGACCAAGATGAAGAATGAAGGTGAGACGTGCGAAATGCTGATAATGGCGATGATGATCATGTCACCGATGGGAGTGATGATTAGAATGGAGATAATGGTGATGATGATAATGATGAAATTTACACTGCTGATTATAGTGGTGATGGCATTGACGATAATATAATTGTAATTATGTCGACGATCTGAAACATGCTGCCGCTGATGACGATGCTGCTGCTGTTGCTACTGATGACGACGATCACGATGATGACGATGTGAGCCACGCTGCTGCTGATGATGACGATGCGGGGATCATCTCACGAGGCCCAAGAAGGAGTGGAGGCTGTACGCATCGCGCAGCTGCTGCTGCCGCGAGTCAACCCGGTCCTTGAGGTCGCCCCACGCCTCCACCAGGGACTGCTGCCGCTCCGCGATGGTTTCGGCCAGCGCCGGCGGGCAGTGCGCCGTCACGGTCTGACCGCGGTCCACCAGCTCCTGCAGCTGCTCGCGGGACGCGGGGTCACACGGCGGACGGGGGGCGGGGGAGGGGGTGGGACACAGGACACGATGACAAGGGGACACGTGGTGACACGTGGTGACACGTTTCACCGTGTGTCACCACGTGTCACCAGGTGGTGACACGTGGTGACACGTGGTGATGCAGGATCACCGCACCCGTGTCTTGTATGACACGAGAGCAAGAGGGGCTCCTTCCCCGTGTAACTCTGTGTGTGTCTCTGTACGCCACCCCCCCCCCCCCCCCCCCGTACACAACGAGTGCACAGGTGTTCTCACGTGCACACCCGCCCCGCGTCACCACCCCGCGTCACACTTTCGCCACCCCACGCTGCGCCCCGCCGCTCACCTGCGCCTCCGCGGCCACGAGCTCGTTCTCCAGCGCCTCGTGCCGGCGCAGCTGATCCCGCACGGAGCGCAGGTCCTTGCCCACCTCCCCCTGCACGCCCGCCTTACGCTCCTACGCTCGCGCAGGGGGTCAGAGGTCGAGAGGTAGGGGCAGGGTATATGGTTAGGGAGGGGCGTACCCAGAGTCAGACACGCTCAAACACATGCACAATCCCCCGGGAGTACCTGCTCACATGGGCGCACAGGTGTGCACACCTGTATGTGTGGCAGTGCCTCAGAGAGCTCCATCACTTACCTGTAGGTGCGGCAGTGCCTCAGAGAGCTCCATCACACACCTGTATGTGTGGCAGTGCCTCAGAGAGCTCCATCACTCACCTGTAGGTGCAGCAGTGCCTCAGAGAGCTCCATCACTCACCTGTAGGTGCAGCAGTGCCTCAGAGAGCTCCATCACTCATCTGTAGGTGCGGCAGTGCCTCAGAGAGCTCCATCACTCACCTGTATGTGTAAAAGTGCCTCAGAGAGCTCCATCACTCACTTGTAGGTGCAGCACTGCCTCAGATAGCCCCATCACTCACCTGTAGGTGTAGCAGTGCCTCAGAGAGCTCCATCACTCACCTGTAGGTGCAGCAGTGCCTCAGAGAGCTCCATCACTCACCTGTAGGTGTAGCAGTGCCTCAGAGAGCTCCATCACTCACCTGTAGGTGTGGCAGTGCCTCAGAGAGCTACATCACTCACCTGTAGGTGCAGCAGTGCCTCAGAGAGCTCCATCACTCACCTGTAGGTGCGGCAGTGCCTCAAAGAGCTCCATCACTCACCTGTAGGTGTAGCAGTGCCTCAGAGAGCTCCATCACTCACCTGTAGGTGTAGCAGTGCCTCAGAGAGCTCCATCACTCACCTGTAGGTGCAGCAGTGCCTCAGAGAGCTCCATCACTCACCTGTAGGTGCAGCAGTGCCTCAGAAAGCTCCATCACTCACCTGTAGGTGCAGCAGTGCCTCAGAGAGCTCCATCACTCACCTGTATGTGTAAAAGTGCCTCAGAGAGCTCCATCACGTAGCGGTGCGCCTCCTCGGCCTGTGACAGCTTTGTTCCTCGGAGCTGGGTCAAGGTGACCAGCTGGTCCCACAGCTCCCTGCACACACAAAGACAAAGGTACAGTTCCCCCCAAAAAATGGTCTATATAGACTGTCAGGGCAAGCGCTGTTAGCGAGCACCTATTAATGCCGGCACGGCACACGAGGGAGTGTTGTGGCGAACACCACGCCTGGCCAACTTTTATTTTCCGGTGCTGATGTATACACACTGCACCAGGTACTAATTTAAGGCTGAGTCGACCTAGAAGACGCCCAGGACCGGTTCAGATATTCGCCACTGTTATTGGCCACGAGGTCGCTGTGAGACAGGTGAGAGCCGCACGTGAGCGAGGCATGAGCGAGGTGTGAGCCAGGCGTGATCGAGGTGCGATTCACGCGTGAGCCAGGCATGAGCGAGGTGTGAGCCAGGCGTGATCGAGGTGCGATTCACGCGCGCGAGCGTGGCGAGTCCGGTACCGGAGGGCGTGCTGCCGCTGCTTGACATCACGCCGGCGCTGGTGCCGTGCGGCGAGGAGCTCCTCGGCCAGCGTGTAGCATCTCACAAACTGCTCGGCGCGCGCCGCCATCGTGCGCTCGAACGCAGAGAACCGCGCCAGCATGCGCTACGCACGCACGGAAAGGAGTGGGGGGGGGGGGGGGGGGTGTCCCGCACCTCCGGTTAGCACGGTTGGCTACGTATGGTGTGAAGGAAGTTCAACGTGCACACGTGCATACACGACTAGCATTGCGCTCGTCAACCGCAACACCTCACAACCGCACGACCACCGCAAAGATTCCCCGTATAGTATAACCTGTTGGTGGGCAAGTGCTGTTCGCGAGCAGCGCCTGCGAAGGCCGGAAAGGCACGCGAGGGGGTGGGTGGCCAGCACGAAGCCCGAACGCCTTTGTCTCCCCCAGTGGCGATGTTTACTACACACCGCACGAGGTATTCATTCGACCTACGGATGGCTCAGGAACGGTTCAAATATTCGCCCCACTGGTATTGGTCGTGAGCGGGAAACGAACCCCGGTTGCCGGGTTCGTAGTGCGGCGCGCTAACCACTACACAACCTCGCAACTACATGCACGACCGCATAAGCAACCACGATCAAAACACCACGTGCAACCACCACATTCACGACCACTCACACCGCGCGAGGGCGATGGCGGTGGTGCAGCGCTGCGCTACCTGCACGTGATCGTGGTCGTCGCCCACGTCGTCCTGCGCGGCGACCGTCGCCAGCTGCTGGGAGATCCACTCCTCGAGGTCGGCGCACTCGCGCAGGTACGCGTGCAGGGCCAGCGCGCCCTCCAAGCGGCCCAGCCTAGCACGCGGCACGCACGGCACGGGGCATGAGACCCGTGGCACGGGACGCGCGGGACCCGTGGCACGAGACGCGTGACGCAAGACAGGGGCCACGGGACGCTACCTCTCCGCGGAGAGCTGGCGTAGGTCCGTCATCTTCGCCTGGATCTCATCGGCCCGCGCCGGCAGCTCCTGCGCCGTCGGGGCGCCCTCCGCCTTGAGCTCCCGCGCCGCCCGCACCAGCTCGTCCACCAGACGCCCGTTCACCTCCATCTCCTGCTCCAAGTCCTGCGAGCGAGCGAGCGAGCGCGGTATCAGCGGCGGGGTGGATCTATCAAGCGCCGTCATTACTATGAAGGAGGGAACGACGGTGGGGTGGGGGGGGGGGGGGATGGTGGGGCGGCACCTTGTGGCGCGCGATGAGGTTCCGCGCGGCGTCTTCATCGCGGCCGCACTCGTCGCTGCGCGCCTGCTCGGCTCGCTCGGCCAGCCACACCTCCAGCTCCGCCGCGTTCGCCGACGCCTGTGTACACACGCACACAAAGATCCCCCGTGTAGCCTTAACAGACTGTAGGGGCAAGTGCTGTTAGCGAGCACCTATAAAGGCTGGCACGGCACACAAAGGGGGTGGGTGCCCAACACCACGCCCGGCCGCCTTTGTCTCCCTTGTGGCGATGTTTACTACACACCGCACCAAGTACTCATTTGAGGCTGAGTCGACCTAGTGGAGGCCCTGGACCGGTTCAGATGATCGTCACTAGACGTGATCGAGAATCGATCTCGTGTCGCCAGGTTCGTAGGGCGGAGCGCTAACCACGACATTACCGCTCCCCATCATGCACTACTAAACAGACACGCACACACTCGCAGGCACACACCCGCACACAACCGCACGCACACACCCGCACGAACACACACCCGCACGCACACACCCGCACGCACACACACCCGCACGCACACACACCCGCACGCACACACCCGCACGCACACACACCCGCACGCACACACCCGCGCGCGGAGCGGTTACCGTGTGCGCCCTCTCGGCGAGCGCCAGCAGCCGGCGCCGGTTCTCGAGCGCCCGCAGCAGCGCGTCCCACGCGGCGCGCACCTCCTCGCAGCGACGCGTGACGTCGCGCGCCAGCGGGTGTTCCGCGGCCTGCATGGCGGCGCCGAGCCCGGCCACGCGCGCCACGTGCGGACCGTGCGCCGTGCACTCGGCCTGCAGCTTCTGCGAATCACACGCGTCGCGCGGTGACTGCCGTTGTCATCGTCGTCATCGTCATCGTCGTTGTCATCATTATCGTTATCATTGTCGTCATCATCGTTGTCATCATGGTCATCATCGTCATCAACGTCGTCATCGTCATTTAATCCCACATCATCTCATCTCACTTGTACAACTGGTACTACACACCCACATTCACGGATACACAATACACACACGTGTACCTACAAAGACCCTCCTCGTAGCCTTGACAAGTTGTGGGGAAAGTGCTGTAAAGCGAGCACACATACGGACACCACACACACGCGCGCACATACAAACACCAATACCACCAATACCCGCCATTCGCCACGAAATAAACGTGACGTCACCACGGTGCCTGTGCCAGACCAGGTGCACTTTGAGGCAACGTGAAGTGTCGAAGGTTCGCTGACAGGAGATCATGGAACAGACCCAGGTGCCATGGGTTGCCTGACTGAGACGACTGGTAGATGCTCCAGCTGTACCCGCTACTGTGCCAACTTGCTGCGTTTTAGCCACCCGGCGCTCTGCTCGTTGTTGTGAGCATCGCTCCTCTGCCCTCCGTTGTTGTTGGAGAGCGACTGCCCCCAACTGCCCAGAAAGCGTCCTTCACGAGCCTCCTCCACAAACACACGTACAAATACCACACGCACATACAGACACCACACACACACACACACGTACACATACAGACACTACACACACTTGCGCGCGTCACCTTCGCCTGCTCCAGCAGGAGCTGGGTGGCGTCGAGGGTGCGGCCCGTGTCGTGGGACTCTGCGCTGGGCACTCGCTCCGCGATCCACGCCGCTTCCTGCTCCAGGGCACGCATCGCCTCGTAGTAGCGCACGGCCTCCTCCAGCCGCGCTCGGCGCTTCGCTCGCGGCTCCGCCAACGCAGCCAGCCTGGGGCGGTCAGGGGGTCAGGGGGTTAGGGTCATAGTCTCAGGGTCAAGGACGCAGGGTCGGAGTCCGGGCTCAAGGGTCAGGGACCAAAGAGCCCGGTCAGGAATTGCCCATGCCCCAGTTGCGCAATTTTGGTTGCGTGTAACCAACTCGCCGCTGTGCACAACCGGTTGCGAGCGGTCGCCCCAGCCAGTTACCCGCAGCAGAGACAGACTCGACTCTCGAACGCGCGTCGGTCATTCATCGCAATGCATTTCGTCACTCGCTGCACATTCGCGAACTACGCCGTCTCGCGAGCGCCCGTGCGGCTGCTCGCTCCGGTGTGGACCCCGGACGAAGAGGAACGGGCGAGCGCCGAGTTCCAGCCCGCGGGTTCGGCGAGGAACCGCTCACCGCTTTTTGAACTCTCGCGTCTCCCGCTGGATCCCGCGCGAGTCGAAGTGCCCGTCGGCGAGGCTCTCGCCCTGCGCCACCACGGCGAGGATCCTCTCCACCAGCGAGTCGAGCGCCGCCTCCGTGTGCACGTGGTGCGCCAGCAGCGTCTTGCTGGAGCGCAGGTCGGTACCCACGTCCTCGGAGCGCAGCTGGTTCTCCAGCGCGTCCAGCCGCTCCCGTGCATCCTGGGGGGGTGGTGGGGGGACGGGAGAGGAGTGGATGACGTGGACGCCGCCGTCCCGCGCTGCTGCGGCCGTGCCTCACGCCGGTGCCGCCGGCGCGTCGCCGGCGCGCCATCCGGCGACCGTACCTGCAGCAGCTGGTTGAGTTGGCGCTGGTCCACGGCCTGACGCAGCTTGCGGCCCCGCTCGGTCATCTTTTTCTCCAGCTCGGCCCAGCGCGCGTGCAGTTCCTCCAGCGTCGCCTGGATCTCGCGGCTCGCAAAGTGGCGGCCTTTCACCAGATCCCGGCCCACCTGGCGCACGCAGCGGCCGCACGTCCTCCCTTCACGCCGCATCCTTTTACGTCGTCTAGATTTTTAAATTAATTTATTTCAAACTGGTTTTGGTATTTAGCTTATTGTACCCCCCCCCCCGCACCTCCGATAAGCACTGTCGGCTATGTACGGTGCGAATGCATACAAAAAACACGCAGCGCTTGGCGGGATAGGGCCAGTGCGGCGACGGGTGGCAGGAGGGGAGGGTGGGGGTGTTGGGGGGGGGTTGAGGAGGGGGTTGGGGGTGCTACCTCCTGAACGGCGGCGAGTGCCTGCTGGTTGGTGCGCAGCTCTCCCTCGGCCGCGTTCTGCCGCTTGAGCTCGCGGGAAAGCAGGCTGAGGTCGCGGTACGACTCGTCGTCGGCCAGGACGCGCTTCTCCGCCACCCACGCCAGCAGCTCCGCGGCGTTCCTCGTGAACACCTGGTGGTGGTGGGGGGGGGGGGAGACGTCACGCCAGAGGTGTTAGCGGGTGCCTAATTTTTTGTTTATTTCACCAGGTAAGGCCCACTGAGCTATGCAGCTCAACGAAGTGGAGGGAAAAACCGGAGGACCCGGAGGAAAATCCACGCGACCACGGGGAGAGAGACACGCGAACTCCAAATATACAGCAGACGTCAGGGTCGGGATCGAACCCACGACCCCCTGTATACCGAGTGAGGTAGTTAACATCTCGCCACCCTGGCGCCCGATTGGGCCGGGGTCGCAAAGCGCCCGTGGCTCCGTCATCGTCGTGGTCGTGCGACGCCGCGTGCCTGGTACTTGTACGCAGCCTCGAGTAGCGCCCTGCGGCGGTCGCTGGCATCCTGCACCGCGTTCCTCCGCGCCACCACCGCGCCGACCTTCTGTTCCAGCCTGCACAGCGGCACGCACAGACGACACCAGGCACGCGCATCGAACGTGACACGGATTTGTTTTTGGTCTGATTTCTGTTTGCTTCGTCTGCCTGTTGTGTTTATCGCTTTGGTCACTCTCGACTATCCTCGTCCCTCTGAGTTCTCACACGCACACGCGCGCGCACACTGAGCACACGTATCCACGTCAGGGGTCAACAGGGGTCACGTACCCATCGGGCGGCGCCACGCCACTCTTCACCAGCTCGGCCGCGTGCTTTTTGAGATGTCGGATAGGCCGGTCCATGGCGCCCAGGCGGTTCTCAAACTCGGCGTGGCGCTTCAGCAGGCTCTCCGTGGCCCCCACCGAGTCCTGCACACGCCACGGTGACACGGGGGTCGCACTCTCTCTCTCTATCCCGCCCTCGCCCCAACCCTAACAAGGACGAAGGCGCGGCGGTGGGGGGGGGGGGGGGGGGTACGATTGGCGGCGGCACTGACCCCGAGGTCGTCGAGCTTGAGGAAGGCCTCGTGGCCGGACAGCGCGGCCTCCAGGCGCTCGGCCTCTTTGTTGAATCGCTGTAGGGCAACGATGCCGCGCAGCTGCCGGTCGCGCTCGTTCCACTGCGCCTCCAACTCCGCCAACGTCCCGCGCAGTTGCTCCGCCAGGCGCAGCACGTCGGCCGCGCCCGGGTCGCCCCGCTTCTGCATTTCCAAGCCTTCCTTCTCCAGCGCCGCGATCCTGTGGGGGGCGCAGGCCAGAGGTCAGCGAGGCCGCTCACCGGACCACCACCCCCCCCCCCCCGCCCCGCGCACCGTCGCCGCACCGTCGCGAACCCCGCACCTGTCGCGGAGCGCGTCGATGTCTCCCCGGAGGTGTTGGTGCTTGTCCAGCATCTCCTGCGCCGTGGCCAGGTCCCCGGGCACCGCCTCGCCGCCACCAGCCACGCGGTCCCGAAGGCGGTCGGTCAGCTCCTTCAGCGCCCGCCCCTCGTCCAGCAGGCCCAGCTTCCTCAGGGCGTCGAGCAGGCGCTGGCGTCGAGCCTCGGCCTCGCGCTGCACCCGCGCGTACAGGCCGTCCACCTCGCGTTGCTTCTTCATCACCACGTCCCGCTCGGCCGGCTCGTTGCTCGCGGCCCTGCGGGGACGCCGGAGCGAGAGTGAGCACACGCACCAGCTTGTACGGTCACACGCAGGCAAGGGTAGTGAAAGCGAGACCACCGGCACGGTGGTCTCGCGTTACGCCACCACGGTTCACGCTGCAGAGCTTTGAGAGCTCGGCCTCGCATAGCCGGGGGCGCCAGCAATCCTGAGGGTGGCATCGTGGCGCCGGTGCGTCTCCCTGGGCTACGGGGGTGAGGGTGGCCGCCGCCCTTACGCTTGTCCCATTTTCTTGAGGAAGTCGACGTTGGCGCCGAGCGCCCCGATGTCACGCTGCAGGGCCTCGTGCTGCCGCAGGGCGGCCTGGACGGCGCTCAGGGTGGCGCCCACCTCGGGGTTGCTCGCCGCCGCCAGCTTCTCCTGCAGAAGCTCCCACAGCTCGGCGAACGCGTCCAGGAACGCGGCCACGTTGCCGGCCTCGGTGAGACGGCGCTCACGGTCCATGCGCAGCGACTCCAGGCGCCGCCACCTGCGCGGGGGGGGTGGGGGGGGGGCGACAACGCGGGCGCCTTCAGGGAGGGGCGGCGGGGGGAGGGCTCCCGCGGGCACGACGCGGGGGCCTCCGGCGCACGCGCGCACCGGGAGCTCCCCGTGTCGTAATTGCCGAGTCGGGCCTTTGCCCCCAAGCGTGGCCCATTTTTGTAATTTTCCCCCTTCAAGGAGAGTAATGCAACAAAGAAAGCGTCGTCTGTGCGCGTACAACACCGGTGCGCGTGAGGGTTTGTACGTCGAGGAGCAGGAGGCACGTCCGTGGTGCGAGGCACGTTTTATTTCGGCTTCGATTTCACGACAGCATTACCAACAAACTTCTTTTGCGCGTTTCTTGTTACGTAAGCGGAAGGTGCTGGGTTTTAAATAACCTTTTATTGCTGCTCAACCACCTTCCAAAGCTGTGTTGGGATTGTTTATTCATACAATTTTGGCTTTTACAAATCGGTTTTATGCGGGAAGACAACGAGTGGCCGTCGAGCGTTGAAATCTGAATTGTCGGTAAGGTCGCCGTACGGCCGCCGCTCACAGGCCTCGCCGGCGTTCCGCGTTTATTCGGCATCCGTGCGGCGTTCCGCGTTTATTCGGCATCCGTGTGCGTAGGGGAGAGAGGGGGCGACGGACGTGAGCCCGTGGGGGCCGGACTCTCACCGAGCGTTGATGTCGTCCTGCCGGGCGCGGATGCGCGCGCGCTGCCCGTGGCCCTGGCGCAGGAGATCCTCCGCCGTGCGGTTCATGGCGTCCAGCCTGCCTCGCCCGGCCGACAGCTCCGTCAGGAGATTCTGAACGCGGGACGGAGTCGGAGGGTGCGGGGGGAGCGTGCGGTGCTGGGCATGAGTACAAAGTTGCTTAAAGTCCACGAGCCCAGACCAGGTAGTTCACTCATCAGTACCGCCTGAGATGGCATCACTTTAGCGGATCTAGTTTATTTATGTGGCCAATAACAGTGAATTACGGAATAACCATCGAAACGAGTGGGGTTATCAAATAAACACCTCACTGTCATTAGCCATTCATAGGACCAAAGTTTGACCACCTTGGGTGGGACCAGTTTCTGCTCTGGAACACGGACTACTACAAGCCTGCTGGCCCAGTGGCAGAGCGGGCGGCTTGCCAGAGGAAGGTTGCGAATTTAAATCCTGGTTGAGGGTTGACTCAGCCGATCGTAACCTCCGGGGTCAACGAAGTATATTCAGCTTGCCTCAGTGCTCACGTGAGGCGGTCCACACTCTTGACATTGAGGGAATGAAATGGGGCTCACCGGATAATCCTATTAAAACTCGGAACTGGGAAAATGTGTTACGGATCGTGTTGTATATGAACAGTAAAACACATCAAAGCCAAACATATTTGCTCCTTTTCGTGAACCCATTTGTTAATTTAACGAGTTTCTGAGCCATTCACAAAACGATCGCGGTGAATAATGGTGATGATATTGACAATGACGGTGGTGGTAGTGGTGACGACAAAGACCTCGAACTGCCGGCGTAGGCGCTCCAGGTTCTGCGACTGGAGGCTGCTCTCCAGGACGTTCTCGCGGTCGGATATCCACGACTCCAGCTCGTTGCACTCGGAGAAGAAGCGGAACATGAGCAGCGCCTCGTGCAGCGCCTTCTTGCGAGCCTGGTGGGTGGCGGCAGCGGAAAGGCACACGCGGCGTTACACCGGGGGCACCGACTGGCCAGAGACGCGGCGGCGTTTGCAGTGGGGGGGGGGGGCGAGGGGGGGGAGTGGGGGGCAGCGAGCACCTCGGCCAGCTGGCACACGCGGTCGTAGGTGGCCTGCAGCGAGCGCTGGCGCCGCGCCACATCCTCCAGCTCTGCTCCCGCCGACTTCGGACTCGGCTGGGCCTGGGTTCGGCTCTGGGCCGAGCCCAGCCGCTGTGCGGAGGAAGCCGTGAGGACCTCGGTCTTGCGTACCACCTGCGGGACCGGCTGAACACGCGCACGGAGAGCGACGCGTGCGTGTGAATGCGTGCGAGCGTGCAAATGGGTATGCGCGCCCGCGCACTCGTGCACGTAACGCGCGGGCGCTGGAATACACGCACACACACATGTACCCACGCGCAGGAACGTACGCACGTCAACACACGCGCACGCAAACACACGCGTACACAAGTACACGCGGTGGCAGCCCAGTGGAAACACTTGCGGCTTACAGCGAGGAGAGCCTGGGTTCGATTCTCTCCTCGGGAGCCTTATCTTTGTGGAGTTTGTATGTTCTTACCCTGCTCTACATGGGTTTGCTCTGCCTCTCCATAACTAAAAAGAACCCAGGCTTGGCAACCGGCAAAATTGTCGGGAATCAAACGCAGCAGCAGCAACATCGTCAGCGTACTGCGAAACACTCGGCAGGACCCTCCTGAAAAAAATAAACCGAGAGCCTTGAGACTCATCGGGTGAAGGAGCGCGATCGTGGCGGACACGCGCGTCGCTGCATCACCTTGGCCCCTATCTCCTGGGCGTACGACGCCGGCACGTGGCCCCTCTGGCCGGCACGCGTGCGCACGTGCCACCACTCCATGCTGCTCTTCTTGAGCAGCACCACCTCCTCGCCCTGCGCCACGCTGATGTCACGACCTGCACGGGGGAGAGTGGGGGGGGGAGGACAAGGGTCTCGGGGCTCTGCGGCGCGCTGCCGGGCGGTGTCATGGTGGGCGTGACGATGTGGCGCGGTATAGGCTGGCGTGGCGGCATGTGGGTTCCTGTGGTGTGGAGCGTGATGTTGAACGGAGCTGCATGGTGCGGTGTGGTGAGGCACGCAGTAGTGGTGGTGTCGTATGGTCGTGGTGTGGTATGGTGGTGGTGTGGTATGATGTGGTGTGACGTGGTATGGTGGTGGTGTGGTATAAAGCGGTATGGTGGTGGTGTGGTATGATGTGGTGTGACGTGGTGTGGTGGTGGTGTGGTATAAAGCGGTATGGTGGTGGTGTGGTATGATGTGCTATGGTGGTGGTGTGGTATGATGCGGTATGGTGGTACGGCGTGTGTGGTGTGCAGCCGTGTCGTGTCGCGGTTTTGCGCCGTGTGGCTCACCCTCAAACTTGTAGCGCATCTTCACGTGCGGGAGCTCCACGTGCTCCACCTTCTCCTCGCTCTCCCTCCTGCGTGGCCCCGCGCTCCCCTGCTCGCCCTGGGGTAGGACACGAGTGGGTGGGGGAGACGAAGGGGGGGGGGGGGGCGGTGAGCGTCACCCTGCGGCGGCATCCACCGGAGGTGAGGGGCGGGGTGCGTGGTGGCGTGGGGGGGCTCGTACCGCCTGCACGAGGGCGCGCGCCTGCTCGGCGAGCTTGCGCACGTCGCCTCCACGCTGCTCGATGTCGCGCTCCAGGCGCTGGTGCCGCTTGAGCAGCGCCTCGGCGCCGGAGTCGTCGCGCCCCACGTCCTCGCTGCTCAGCAGCGGCAGCTTCTCTCTCAGCCACGACTCCATCTCGTCCACCTCCTCGTAGAACTGACACGCACGCGCGGGCACACGGCTAGGCACCGCCGGCACGGGTCGTGGCTCACCCTCGGGTTCGCTTCGTTTAACGAGGCGACGGCTCGAGAGACCGGGATAGGGTCTCACTGGGGCGCAGGGCATGGGTCACCACAGCGACAAAAGCAATACGCGTGAAAAACGAAGTTCAGTAATGAACCAAATGAGAGCAGAGACGACCGAGTAGAGAGTTACAGCAACGGCACTATGGAAGAAATCGAAAACAATGCACCAGCATGAATCAATATTAAGTCAAATACATTTCCTGTAATTAAAACTGGCTCGGACAAAATACTTTAGCAAACCATCTGGAGCTAAATTTACCGAGAAAACCATCAACATGTATGAAGGGGTGGTTATCGAGCGACTGTGGAAACGGACAGGCGAACATGGCGAATACGCTGCAAGTGGAGTCATCGTGCAGAATTGACATCACATTGTGATTTTGGTGGAAGGGCATCGTTGAAGCATCTGGGGAATTCACGCGGAATGAATAAGAACCGTGTGAATATTTTAATCCTCCATTATACAGGTCTTTTGGGTTGGATCGTGTAAATATATAAATGTGTTGCTAAACCCGCCACCACCCGACACAGCCAGAACATGCCAATTCGTTACTAGTGCAGCACACCGATGTGTTGGAGAGCAAAGCCACAACTTTTACAATCTGAGTACAACGATCTGAGTACGACATTTATATATTCATGTGATGTGATTTAAGCCCCCCAAAAAACTGTATTATGGATGATATTGGTCGCGTAAGCCTCCAACGCGTTAAACTGATTTTCACCATAAAATACGCTGCCAAGCTGAGCCGTGTTCATTGGAGCGCTGTCTTTCTGACAGTTCTGTTTCTTCACCTGAGGAAGGCTACTTGTGTTGTGGCCGAAACGTCGTGAGAATTTTATTTTATGTTTTATTTTTATGATTTTATTAGTTCCCTTCTACGTGACTTTACCGAAAGAATTGAGAAGATGATTTTCATCCTCATCATCTCACGATTTTATACAGCGTCGTCGTTCATGCAAATCGAATCTCACAATCGCCGAGGAATCGCAGACAAGCTGGAAGGCTGCCACGCGGTGCCCAACAATTGCTCCGCAGCTCTCTAAATATCAAGGTGTTTGCAGCCAATTAGCAGCGAGTGTTTACGATACACGTGGGAGGAAACGTAAAACGTGGGCAGCAGCAGCAGCAGCATCTGTCGTGGACGACGGGACGGATAGACGGACGGCGCGGGTCACGTGCCACGCACCAGCTGCAGAAGCGCCGCTTGCTGAAGCAGGGCCGAGCGCAGCGCCAGCAGCTCGTGCAGGCGGCGCCACGACTCCTGCACGGCGCCGAGGGCGCGCGCCACGTCCTCCCGCGGGCCCCGCGCCCCGCCGCGCTTCCCGCCGCACACCTCCTCGCCGCGCCGCGCCGCCGCGCGCCACGCCGTCTCGTGCGAGCGGCATTCGGCCTCCAGCGCCTGCGGTCGGGGCGCGCACGCGGTGACACGTCGTCAGCGGTTGTCGCTGCTTGCGCGCGGCCGTGTCGGTGCGGTTGAGTCGGCGGTGCGCGGTCGCGCTGGTGGGTGTGGTTGAGTCAAGGGCAACGATGACACCGAATTGTGTTTGTTGACGGCCGCCCTCCTCCTTCAGCCGCTGAGACGTCTCAGAGAAAGCTGTACACCGCTGTTCCAGCTGCCATTTGGGCAGCCCCGGTGGCAGCTGGGACAGCGGTGTACAGCCCCGGTGGACAGCTGCCACCGGGGCCGCCCAGTGGCAGCTGTCCCTGTGCGGCACAAGGTGACTCAGCACCTCTGGCCCACAAGCGGGCATTATTCGGGCAGTAGGGGCCGATGGTTGCTGCCGAGTGTAATCTCGATGTAATTATTTTCGGCTCATTTTTAGAATGAGGCAAAGTTGGACCCTGACACTGGCGGGCCGGCACACAACGGCCTACTTGATTCGAATTACGTCAGGGGGCATTTAGCCTCCACTGCAAAGCGGACGGCGTGTGGTATTTTTACAGCGGGTTTTACACCCGCAGTAATAAGGGGTAATATAAGAAGAGTGTGATGGTGCTGCTGGGTGTGGCACGGTTGTGGACCCATGGTTGTTGCCGGTGGGTTCCAGTCGGCTTGGTGGGTGTGGTTGGCTCTGGGGATGTGGTTGGATCTGGCGTGTGGTTGCCTCTGGGGATGTGGTTGGGTAGGGGAGGCGGGGGTGAATCGGTGGCTGTGGTCAAATGAGGGGAGCGGTAGTGTGGCGGTTAGCGCGCTGCGCTACGAACCTGGGGACGCGGGTTTGATTCCCGCTCAAGGCCAACAACACCCAGTGACGATTAATTGAACCGGTCCTGGGATTCTCGTAGGTCGACTCAGCCTCAAATGAGTACCTGCTGCAATGTGTAAACATTGCCACTAGGGAGACAAACGCGGTCGGGCGTGGTGCTGGCCACCCAACCCCTCTCGTGCGCCACAGTGCCGGCCTTCATAGGTGCTCGCTAACAGCACTTGCCCCACCAGTCTGTTAAGGCTATACGGGGGGGGGGGTGTCTTTGTCTTTGTGGTCAAATGGGTGGAGAGGGGGAACAGGGGCATGGTGGGGGGGGCATGCCTTGTGCTTGTGAGCGAGGCTCTCAGTCTGCGCCCGGTCTCGGCCGAGTGGCGCCGCGCGCAGGCGCTGCGCTCGCTCCTGCACCCACAGCTCCTCCTCCTCGCAGTCGCGCAGGAAGAGCCACACGGCCTGCGCCTCCTCCAGCCGCGCACGCCTGCAAAGGCAAAGAAGATTGCCCGCCCCCGCTGACTTTTGGGGCAAGTGTCCGTTGGCGAGCAGCACCCATGAGGACGGGCACGGCACACGCCCGGCCGCCTTTGTCTCCCCAGTGGCGATGTTTACACACCGCACCAGGTACTAATTTGAGGCTGAGTCGACCTAGTGGAGGCCCAGGACCGGCTCAGATGATCGCCACTGGCGACGATTACAGATATACATAGAGGAATAAAAATACACACGGGCATGGACAAATATATACGCACACACACGTCTTCACAGGCATGAAGACAAAGATCCCCCGTGTAACCTTTCAGACTGTTTGCTGGAGCAAGCGTTGTTAGCGAGCACCTATGAACACTGACAACATCGGCCATTCAACACTGTTGACCGAGAATTGACCAGAGCAGTCGTGCCAGGCTAGGCGCACTTTGAGGATGTCACGTGAAGTGGGGAAGCTGACAAGGTGGTCACGAGACAGACCTAAACGTTACGAATTAGCTGACCGAGACGACTGGCAAAGATGCACCATCCGTGCTGCCCCCTGTCCCGTATCGCCGCTTTGTATGTGTGCTCAGTAAGGGAGTCCACCAGTAGCTGGGAGAGGCCACAGCTTTGAGTGCTTCCGCCTGTGTCACCACTGCCGTCGGCTACGGCCGACCACTCCGTCCACAGAGATCCCTGACCTGGGCGAGCCACTCTCACCTGGCCTGGGCGAGCCACTCTCACCTGGCCTGGACGCGCCACTCTCACCTGGCCTGGGCGCGCCACTCTCACCTGGCCTGGACGCGCCACTCTCACCTGGCCTGGGCGAGCCACTCTCACCTGGCCTGGATGCGCCACTCTCACCTGGCTTGGGAGCGCCACTCTCACCTGGCCTGGGAGCGCCACTCTCACCTGGCCTGGGCGAGCCACTCTCACCTGGCCTGGGCGCGCCACTCTCATCTGGCCTGGGAGCGCCACTCTCACCTGGCCTGGGCGCGCCACTCTCACCTGGCTTGGGAGCACCACTCTCACCTGGCCTGGCCACGCCACTCTCATCTGGCCTGGGAGCGCCATTCTCACCTGGCCTGGACGCGCCACTCTCACCTGGCCTGGGAGCGCCACTCTCACCTGGCCTGGGCGAGCCACTCTCACCTGGCTTGGGAGCGCCACTCTCACCTGGCCTGGCTGGTGCTGCGGAGCTTGTCGAAGGCCTGGTGCAGCGTGCGCATCTTGGCCACGAGGGTCTGCGCGTTGGGGCTCCGCGACAGCTCCTTGGCACGGCCGTCCAGGAGGCCCATGGCCTCGGCGCACGTGGCAACCTGCGCTTCCGACAGCGCGTGCCTCTGCAGCAGCGCCTGCGTGGCCTCGAGATGCCGCCCCACGTCCTCCGAGCTCACCTTGGCCTGTGCCGAGACAACGGCGGTCGCGCGTTTTGGAAAACCGTCCGCGCCTGGGGCCCGCGTCAGGGCCCCGTGCGCCGTCCCCCAATGTCGGGGCAGCGTGGGCCCCCTTGCCCTGGGGTCTCTACCCCCCCTCCACCCCACCGCCCCTCCCCCCACCCCGTACCTGAAGCTCGCGCAGCTCCGTTTCCAGCGACTCGACGTCCCGCAGCAGGCGAAGTGCCTGCGCCATGCGGGACAGCACCTCCTGGTTGCGCGCAATCTGCTTCTGCAGCGCGGACCAGCGATCCACGATGGTGCTCTTCCTGCAGCGAGGCAGAGAGAGGCACGCGCGGAGGACTCGCACAGCACAGATGCATAAAAAGATGGCAGAGATCCCCCGTATCACCTAAGCAGACTGTGGGGGCAAGTGCTGTTCGCGAGCACACACCCACATACACACGCTTGCATACACACACCCCGGTTACAACACACACATAAAGACAAAGCCTCAACAGACTGTTGGGACAAGTGATGTTAGCGAATGGGTGGCCAGCACCACGTACACACACACCGGGTTACAACACACATGTACGCACACCATTCCCATCACATTGACGCACGCGCTGACATCGTCGACGCCCGTTGTGACAGGAAGGAACCAAAATCCGTGTAGTGCCCACTTTTGAGAGTTGTATAATTGCAACCCACGTCGAGGAGTCGTCTGGATTCAAAGAAGTTGCGTATCGCTTAAAAACGGTCGCGTTAAGACGACACATTCCACCACCAAACAATCTGTTGTCCACCTTTGCTAAAACCGCTCGGGAGGACTGAAGCGTCATCCGAACGACGGCAACTCCACAGGCCGCTTCACCGTAACCGCGCGGCGGAACGCGCCAGGACGGGCACCACCACCAGCAGCAGCAGCAAGCGCACCTCTTGGCCACGTTGGCCATGTCGTGGAATTTCTCCTTCGTCAGGATGTCGGCCATGCCGACCAGGGCGTCGAGGCGGTTGCGCCCCGCGGTCACGTCCGTGCTCACGGCCTCGAGGCGCCGCTGCGCCGCCTCGAGGGCGGCCAGCTTGTCGGGCTGCGCCTCCTGCGCAGCGACGACGCGGCCCATCTCGGCCACGTAGGCCTCGCGCAGCGCTGCTTTGCGCTGGAACCGCTGGCCCAGCCGCTCGAGCATCTCCTGGCGGTTGAGCTCGGCGCGCAGGGCCTTCTCGCGCGCGTACTCGGCGCGCTCCAGCTCGCCCCAGCGGCGCTCGATGTCACGGAGCGTGCGGCCCTCGGGCGGCACGTAGTCGCGCTGGTTGTTGGCGCGTAGTTTGGTGCGCACGGCGAAGAGGTGAGCCTCCAGCAGCCCGCGCTCCTGGTACTTGGGCGGCTTCTCCTCGGTGCGGTAGCACGCGAACGCCGACAGCAGCGCCTGCATGCCGTTGCGCGAGTTGGGGAAGCGCCGGTCGTTGAGCTCCGAGATCTTGCACTCGATCCACTGGAGCAGCGTCGTCACCATGGTCTCGTACTGCGTCTTCAGCTCCTCCGCCTCCGTCAGCAGGCCCACGATCTGCGGGGGCGACAGACGGTGGAGGTCGCGATGTCACCGTGGGCCGGAGGACACGCTGCTGCGGGAGTCGGCGGCGTCGCGAACGCCCCACGACGGAAAGTCACCAAACAAATCTCAACGAGTCGCCAGGTGGCTCTAGGTAGACATTATGAAGACGGCAAAGGCAAATTTGACAAGGACTAAACGTTTTAAACTGATACTAAATCCTTCATATATACCACATTTAGACACCTGATACAGGATCCCTATAATCGATATCTGGAATCATAAATTGATATGGCGAATCGTAAATTGATATGCCATCCTTAACGCGCACCGGGAATTGCTCTTAAAGCTGCAATTTCGAGTCCGTGTCCTGGAGAGTCGCGAGGTTTTGTCGGTTCGGCACAACGACGTCTCACCACTTGGGAGGACGGACTCCAACAAGTCGCGAGAATTTGGCGACGACCGCCAAGTTGGCAACACGGGGAGGAGGAAGGAGGGGGGAGGGAGTTCCACTGCCCCCCCCCTTGCCCCCCACAGCCGGCCCCACGCACGCTGCTAACACCGGTTCCACGTCGGGGACTCGGCTGCTCCGTGCCCCCCCCCATCCCCGTGCCCACCGTGCCCAGCAAAGGCCTCACACCGCCCCGCATGCAGCGCCATCTGCATGCTGCCCAGCGACGCGACGTCGGTCATGGCGAGCGGTTTGTGTCAAGCCCACGGGCTCGGGGCGAGAGGGGATTAGGAGCCACGATCCGAGTATCCCCGTCGCGGTGCGGCGTTTGGGGGGGGGGGGGGGGAGAAGCGATGAGGGGGTTGCTCCACGTCCGGGGCGGGACCAGGGATTGGGTTATCCGCGGGGCTCACCGAGGCACCCGGGTCAGATGGGGTAACACGGGGTCATTCCCCTCTACTCGAGGGAAACTTTGTTTTTGTGTTCAGTTCGTTTGTCCTGACCCCGCACCTCCGATGAGCGCGGTTGGCTACGTACGGTTGGTTACGTACGGTGCGAAAGAAGTTCTACATGCAAACTAGCGCACCCGGAGAACACGCACGCATGCACTTGGAGTGTAATAGCGCCAGCTGGTGGACAGACAGCGCACACGCCGGTGAGGATGTGCACGGGGTGTGTTGGCAGAGCGGAGGAACTGGGGCAAGGGTCACGGAGGACCCCGTCTGGAGGCCCCTGGAACCTGCTAGCGGGTTCGAGAAGGGAGGCGTGCTCAGGGCGGAGCCAGGGCCGCGCTGGGAGCATAAAAGGAGCCGAGAGCGGGGGGCTCGGGGCTGGCGGTTCTAGGAGTGGACTCGTCTCGTCATCGTCGTCGTCTCGTCGCCGTCGTCGCTAAACGTCTCCGCTAGATGTTGCGCTGCGAAGGAGAGCAGTTGGCTATCTCAGCCAGCGCCGTCAGTGTTAGACGGCTCGTGTTGTATACAGGCTGGGCTAAGCTACTGCTGAGAGTGTGTGGACGAGACTGTGGAAGTTGTTAATAAAGAAAGTGCCTCATAGAAACCCTGCCTCTGAATCGTTGACACTACACAAGTAAGGCGGCAACACCTCAACATTTGGAGCGGGTGGAGTCCTTCTCCTGCGGCAAGCCAGAGCGTGGCGCCGTGGTGGCCAAAACTCGACCAGCGCAGCAAGCTACCTTGGCTATGCGCTTGCCACCCGTCTGCTCCTTGTGTATGCGGGAGAAGTAGTGGTAGTAGAGCGACACGTAGGTCATGATGGACTTCTCGTCGGGATGGGGCACGTCCACGTCCTCCGCCTCAAGGAGCCGCGCGATGCCCAGGTCGCCATCCGCGATCCCGAACGCCTGGCGCAGGTTCTTCAAGTGGTCGCGCTGGCGCAGGCGGTCGTAGTCCAGCAGATCCGGCCTGAGAGCAAGCGAGGACAATGTGACACAGGGCTCTCGGTGGAGGGGCATTAAGTCGGGGGGGGGGGGTCGCTGGGGGTCGCAGGGGTTCTGTTCAAGATCCCCTGGGTCTTAAAATATTGCCACACTCCGTCGCACCGCATCCAGTGTGTGTCTCGCTGTGGCTGCGGCTGCTGCTGCTGCTGGCGACGGCGCCACGTGGTCGCCACCTGTGCGCGTGGATGAGCGCGTTGAAGCCGAGGCCGTCGCGCCAGCTGCTCGTGAAGTTCTTGATCTCGCAGTCGCGGTAGCCGGCCGTCTTGCGCTGGCACCACAGCAGCAGCGCGTCCTTGGCGGAGCGGCGCTCCTCGGAGCCGGGACCCACATCCTGGCGGGGGGGGGGGGGGGGGGGCACGGGAGGCGTGAGGAGAGGTGGCGCGTGGGGAGGGGTTAATCTCAGTCATAATCCCGACTCTGATCTCTGATCCAGGATCTAACCCCAACCCTGACTCGAACCTGTGGCTCTCAATGTAATCATGACTTTGGCGAAAGACATAGCACGAACGCCAACGTTAAGCCGATTCTGACCATGACTCCAGCCCCAGGCTTAACCGTAACTTTAACCCTAACCGAGTTATCAACACTAAAGCTATGGCACCTCCAGTCACACCCGCTACCAGGGCCCCACCCCCAAGCACCAAAAACATTTATCCTGCACGGCATCCGTGCCACAGCCTGCACCGCCTTGAAAGACCCACAGCTTGAGCAACGCTGCCATAATCCATAACAACAACTCCAATTCTGACCCCCACCTTAAGCCGTGAACCCATTGTCTCGGGTTCGATCCCCTGGCCACGGCTAACATCAGTGGCAATTCACTGAACCGTTCCTCGGCGTGGTGTGGGCGGTTGCGTGTGCATACATGTGCACGGGGTTGTTGCGGTGTGACGGGTGTGCACGTGGTGGGTGTGGTGGTGTAGGGGTGTTGCGGTGTGACGGGTGTGCATGTGGTGGGTGTAGTGGTGTAGGGGTGTTGTGGTGTGACGGGTGTGCACGTGGTGGGTGTGGTGGTGTAGGGGTGTTGCGGTGTGACGGGTGTGCACGTGGTGGGTGTAGTGGTGTAGGGGTGTTGTGGTGTGACGGGTGTGCACGTGGTGGGTGTGGTGGTGTAGGGGTGTTGCGGTGTGACGGGTGTGCACGTGGTGGGTGTGGCGGTGTAGGGGTGTTGTGGTGTGACGGGTGTACACGTGGTGGGTGTGGTGGTGTAGGGGTGTTGCGGTGTGACGGGTGTGCACGTGGTGGGTGTGGTGGGGCAGGGGTGTTGCTGTGTGACGGCTGTGCACGTGGTGGGTGTGGTGGTGTAGGGGTGTTGTGGTGTGACGGGTGTGCACGTGGAGGGTGTGGTGGTGTAGGGGTGTTGTGGTGTGACGGCTGTGCACGTGGAGGGTGTGGTGGTGTAGGGGTGTTGTGGTGTGACGGGTGTACACGTGGTGGGTGTGGTGGTGTAGGGGTGTTGTGGTGTGACGGGTGTGCACGTGGAGGGTGTGGTTGTGTAAGGGTGTTGCGGTGTGACGGGTGTGCACGTGGAGGGTGTGGTGGTGAAGGGATGTTGCTGTGTGACGGGTGTGCACGTGGTGGGTGTGGTGGTGTAGGGGTGTTGTGGTGTGACGGGTGTACACGTGGTGGGTGTGGTGGTGTAGGGGTGTTGTGGTGTGACGGGTGTGCACGTGGAGGGTGTGGTGGTGTAGGGGTGGTGTGGTGTGACGAGTGTGCACGTGGAGGGTGTGGTGGTGTAGGGGTGTTGCGGTGTGACGGGTGTGCACGTGGAGGTTGTGGTGGTGTAGGGGTGTTGTGGTGTGACGGGTGTGCACGTGGAGGGTGTGGTGGTGTAGGGGTGTTGTGGTGTGACGGGTGTGCACGTGGAGGGTGTGCGCACCTCCAGGATGCCGGAGATCTGGAAGCGCAGGATGATGATCCAGATGAGGCCCAGGATGAGGGTCCGGTCTCCATCCACCACGTTCTCCCCGCCAATCAAGTCCACGTTCACTTTCTGGATGTGAGGAAGCGACACGCTCACGGGGCGAAGTGGTGGCGAGCAGTGGCGAGTGTTGGTTGGCAAGTAGTGGTTGAATGTTGGGTGATTCGTAGCGAAGTGGTGGTGAGTGATGGCGAGTACAGGGACTCCTCTACTAACGAACATTCGACTTGCGTAGTTTCAGAGATACGAACAACCTTGTACGTATGTCCATTTGCCTGTTCGGGCCGAGAGCCGTAAGTTCAACCGCCGCGCAATGGCTGGCGGTGGTGGCATCTACATCTGCAGAACGTGAAGAACCAGTGGCATCCACATCTGCAGAACGTGAAGAACCGGTGGCATCTACATCTGCAGAACGTGAAGAACCGTTGGCATCTACGTCTACAGGCGATTATACAACGTTTAACGCCATTCCCCGTGTTTAGTGCACATGCCGTACAACATGTTTGGATTCGACGGGAGTAAAGTTGCGACCAAATCGACTTACACAGACCGCTGGAACCTAACTCGTTCGTAAGTAGAGGAGTCCTGGTTATCGGTGAGCGGTGGAGACAGCTTTATCACCTTTTGTCGCAGGAAGTTGAGAGCGTGGTTGTTGTTCTCCACGTAGTGGAGGCGCATGCGGCCGCGGCTCGGCTTGGGCAGGGTCTCCCCGGACAGAATCTCTAGTAGCTTCATGAGTACCAGGCCGTCCTGCAGCTCCGTGTACACGTCCTCCACCGTGACATCCACCTGGGCGAGTCCACCGCGCAGGGGGTATGACCGCGTAGGATCCCATCGCACAGAGGACGCCACTCACGGGACAACTTCCCCGGGTCACGCGGCTGTTCATGGGTCCACCACGTGAGTCCATCTCGTGTACCCATGAGTAAATCTCGTGAACTCGCCCCGTGAATCCACCCTGTGAGTCCACCCCGTGTTTCCGTGAGTCCACCACGTGCGTTAACCCCGAGTCTCCGTGAGTTTATCCCCGAGCGCACCCGGTGAGTCCACTCCATGAGTACAGTGAGGGAAAAAAGTATTTGATCCCCTGCTGATTTTGTACGTTTGCCCACTGACAAAGAAATGATCAGTCTATAATTGTAATGGTAGGTTTATTTGAACAGTGAGAGACAGAATAACAACAAACAAATCCAGAAAAACGAATGTCAAAATTGTTATAAATTGATTTGCATTTTAATGAGGGAAATAAGTATTTGACCCCTCTGCAAAACATGACTTAGTACTTGGTGGCAAAACCCTTGTTGGCAATCACAGAGGTCAGACGTTTCTTGTAGTTGGCCACCAGGTTTGCACACATCTCAGGAGGGATTTTGCCCCACTCCTCTTTGCAGATCTTCTCCAAGTCATTAAGGTTTCGAGGCTGACGTTTGGCAACTCGAACCTTCAGCTCCCTCCACAGATTTTCTATGGGATTAAGGTCTGGAGGCTGGCTAGGCCACTCCAGGACCTTAATGTGCTTCTTCTTGAGCCACTCTTTTGTTGCCTTGGCCGTGTGTTTTGGGTCATTGTCATGCTGGAATACCCATTCACGACCCAATTTTCAATGGCCTGGCTGAGGGAAGGAGGTTCTCACCCAAGATTTGACGGTACATGGCCCCGTCCATCGTCCCTTTGATGTGGTGACGTTGTCCTGTCCCCTTAGCAGAAAAAACACCCCCAAAGCATAATGTTTCCACCTCCATGTGTGACGGTGGGGATGGTGTTCTTGGGGTCATAGGCAGCATTCATCCTCCTCCAAACACGGCGAGTTGAGTTGATGCCAAAGAGCTCAATTTTGGTCTCATCTGACCACAACACTTTCACCCAGTTGTCCTCTGAATCATTCAGATGTTCATTGGCAAACTTCAGACGGGCATGTATATGTGCTTTCTTGAGCAGGGGGACCTTACGGGCGTTGCAGGATTTCAGTCCTTCACGGCGTAGTGTGTTACCAATTGTTTTCTTGGTGACTATGGTCCCAGCTGCCTTGAGATCATTGACAAGATCCTCCCGTGTAGTTCTGGGATGATTCCTCACCGTTCTCATGATCATTGCAACTCCACGAGGTGAGATCTTGCATGGAGCCCCAGGCCGAGGCAGATTGACAGTTCTTTTGTGTTACTTCCATTTGCGAATAATCGCACCAACTGTTGTCACCTTCTCACCAAGCTGCTTGGCAATGGTCTTGTAGCCCATTCCAGCCTTGTGTAGGTCTACAATCTTGTCCCTGACATCCTTGGAGAGTTCTTTGGTCTTGGCCATGGTGGAGAGTTTGTAATCTAATTGATTGATTGCTTCTGTGGACAGGTGTCTTTTATACAGGTAACAAGCTGAGATTAGGAGCACTCTCTTTAAGAGTGTGCTCGTAATCTCAGCTCGTTACCTGTATAAAAGACACCTGGGAGCCAGAGATCTTTCTGATTGAGAGGGGGTCAAATACTTATTTCCCTCATTAAAATGCAAATCAATTTATAACATTTTTGACATGCGTTTTTCTGGATTTTTTTGTTATTCTGTCTCTCACTGTTTAAATAAACCTACCATTAAATTTATAGACTGATCATTTCTTTGTCAGTGGGCAAACGTACAACATCAGCAGGAGATCAAATACTTTTTTCCCTCATTGTATATCCCTCTCGTGTCCCCATGAGTCCATCTCGTAAGTCAACCACGTGAGTCAACCCAGTGAGTCCACCATGTGAGACCACTCTGTGTTTCCCGTGAATCCATCCCGCGTTTCCCGTGAATCCATCCCGTGTTTCCCGTGAGTCCATCCCGTGTTTCCTGTGAATCCATCCCGTGTTTCCCGTGAGTCCACCCCGTGTGTTGTCCACCCCGTGTGTTGTCCACCCCGTGTATTACCCGCTGCAGGAACACGTTCATCCACCGTGTGAACGTCGTCTTCTGCACGCGCATCCGCTCCTCCTGCAGCGTGCGAATTCGCCCGGTCTCGAACTCGGACGCCATGGTGAGCGGTCGATGTGTGTCACCTCTCACCCTCACCTCACCCTCACCTCGCCCTCACCTCACCCTCACCTCGCCCTCCTCACGCCCACAAAGAAGACAAAACTGTTTCCGCGTTAGCCTCAGTGATTGATGTATTTATTTCATATTTGTTTAACCGGACGAGAACTCACGTGCACGAACGAGGATATAATCCGTCACTCAATTGAGAAAGTCACCTGGAGAGAGTCAAGTGCCGTTCGCGTATCCGACCCGAGAGTGTAGCCACACAGACTGTTTGGGGCAAGTGTTGTTAGCGAGCACCTCTGAAGGCCGGCACGGCACACGACGGTGGGTGGGAGACCAACGCCGCACCCGGCCGCCTTTGTCTCCCTCGTGGCGACGCTAACACACATCGCGACAGGTACTTATTTGAGACTGACACCACTTAAGGGAGGCCTCGGATCGGTTCAGATGATCGTCACCGGCGTTTGCTGTGAGCCGCAATCGAACTCGTGTCGCCGGGTTCGTAGCGCAGTGGGCTGACCGCTACACTACCGCTCCCCACACTCGCACACCCGTTACACATACCCCGCACGCCTGCACGCATACCTATACACATGCATACCCATCCACAAACCTGCACCACTTAACAACCGCACATCTGCACAGTGGTGGCGCTGGGCATGAACAAAGCAAAGGCTGAGGGCCCCCAAATAGCTCAAGGGCACCGGATTTTACGATAAAAGTGAAACAAATACCAGCTTGAATCTCAATCCGAATGTAATCTCTTAACTGTTATCTCTTTTTACAATAACATTTACAGATCCATCTTTAGTCCACACTTCTCGCATCTCACTACATCTCCACCTCGCATGTGCATCTCTTTTGCCATCTCACTAAATTGGGGGGGGGCGCGGAGGGCGCGGGGGGCGTGGGGGGCGGGAGGCAGAATAGTGTTTACTTCTGCCCCCCCCACCATGGACTAACATATAGCCTGAACAAACTGTTGGGGTAAGTGCCGTAAGGGAGCACCTACGATGGCCAGCACCACGACTCCCACACGCACACACACAGATACCTCTGCACGGCCGTCCCGCATTGACACCCGTCAGCCGTGACCCCTGGTGGAGCCGCGGCGATCGGAGTGGACCTCAGCACGGAACCATAAGGGGGAGGGGGGGGTGTCCGTCCAATGAGGGGTTCCGGCTCAGGCGAGTTCCTCGGGCTACTCGTGGGGCTCAGACGCGACCGGATAGATCCCTACCATTACCGGGGATCAACGAGGACTGGGGACTGGGGTTGGAGCCCTACACCGGGGTAGGCCGGGAGGGGGTCCGGGAAATGGGCAAGGTTCGGTCCATCCAGCGCCCGGCTTTGACCTTGGCAAGGGGATCCCAAATTCGGGTTTTTGGAGTTCCGGGACCGCAGTCCGAGGTCAGCGCAGCGCCTTGCGGGTGACGCGAACCGTCGCGTTGAGCCGCAGGACTCCCCGACGAGGGGGCTCAGGGATGAGGCGATCAAAAGGAGACCCTGAAAAATCGCCCTACTTTGCCTCCCCCCACCCGCCCCTACCGCCCATCCCAGGAGTGAACCTCTATGAGTAAGTGCGCGCACGAGGCGCGGGGGGATCGCGCACGCTGTGGGTCCCCGCTCGCGGAGGGTAGGGGGGGGGCATGAACCCCCTTCTCACGCTGGCAGAGGGAGACACTGGGGGGGGGGGCACGGATGCGAGGGTACTCACAGCGGTGGGTGGGGGGGGGCAGCGCTCCGACCCCTCTACCCTCTCCTCCCTCCCCGGGAGCCGCTCCTCCACGGGATGAAATCAGAGCACCCGGCGGGAGCTGGAGAACCAGTTGACAACTCCAGCACCGGGCGGGAGCTGGAGGAACGGGTGGGAGCTGGAGTCAGGCTGGAGCCAAGTGCGCCCGGCCGTGCCGGGATGGGCGCGGAAGTGGAGCGGGGCGACCTTTGTATTGGGCACGGCCGCTGGAATTTACTGCGCCACAATAAACGACGACAGCGGGCCCCCTGCCTCTCCTTCCCGGGGCCCCAGGGTTGACTGGAGCCGTGCCCCCGCCCTCTCCCCTTAACCCTACCCAGCCCCGCACAGCGGGGTCACGAGTCCCCACACACACCCGGAGCCCACCTTGTCTCACTACAACCGCAGGCACGCATTCACAGTTCACGAGGTCAAAGCTCACTCAATCACAAACACCCGTCTTGCAAAACGCCACAAAGTTCATCGACCATCACCATCACCACGTCATCCTCCATTAAGCTTACCATCCATCCTCTTGGGCGGCAGACTAATGCTCCAGGTCACTCTTACCTACGAGACTCATCCTGGTCTCTTGAGTGTTCATCTGGTTAAACAATATAAACTCGAAGGATGATTAAGAATAATTTTAATTTGTAACGCGCATAGTATTCGCTCACTCTTAAAGACAGAGAATGACAGCCCATCCAGGCAATGAGCCGGCACTAACAATTGCCCAAGTTTGTGGTCCTCAATATATGAAGGTGTTATTAGTCAATTCATGCGTGTTTACACGTGAGAGAAAACGGGAGCAAACCGTTAAAAATAAACCCGCATGTACAAATGAAACAGGTGCATATTCTTTGGTTCTTTCAGTAAAGTCAAGTAGATAGAAAAATAATAACAAATAAAGTGAATAAAAATACATTTAAATTAAAAAAAATATGAATGTAGATTGTAGCCTAGTTCTTAATCGGAGTGAGTGTACTGGCAGTCTATAATGTAGACTGTAGCCTGGTTATTAAGTTTGGTGAGTGTACCAACAGGTGCAGTCCACATTTTTGCTGTACTGCACTGCCTTCTCTTGGCGAGCCAGGGAATGGCACCTCAACAACCCATGGGAAGGGAGTTTCGCAACCCTCGCCTCCACTGCTCCTGCTACAAACACGACAGCGGTGCGTGGTGTGGTGTGCGTCTTGTGCCGTGCCCGTGCGATCTCGAGCCCCGCCCGTTTGGGATTTCATCCGCCGCTCTCCAAGCACGAAGAGCTCCGATCGGACGGGACGCGTGGCGCGGCGACAGAGTGGGCAGCGCACGCGTGTGCGGTGGTAACACTGCGTTTATTATTCACAGTAACTTCATACACGGCAGCCGAGACACGGTGTGTGTGTGTGTGTCCCCCCCACCGCGTCCCCATCGACAACACGACCCAACAAGCTCGCGCCGCCGTGAACTTTTAGTGTTGAGACGCATGGGCGCAGCACCGGCGTGCCCACCATGCGCCACGGAAGGGTGGGGGGAGGAGGGGGGGTGGGAGGGGGGCGGGCACCATCACGGCCCGCCCCCTTTCCCCCACCCCTCCGCCCCATGTTCAACTTCAATCACAGCCTGGGGGGGGGGGGGGAGCCTGTGCTGGCACCAGGGGTTGGGGCAGGCATCAAAATATTCAAGAGACCGGAGTGCAGTTAAACCACTAGCAATTTTTAAGGCTGCCTTACGATAATTTTTAACAAACGCCGCCTCGTAACGTTACGAGGCTGCGCCCTTCGATGTTGACGGTGCCCAGTATTTTGGACGGTGCCCAGTATTTTGAGCGGTGCGGTTTCCCAGGGACGCGAGTGGCGCCAGCAGGCGAGGACGCGGTCGCGGCCACGGGACCACGGGGTTGGGTCGTGAGGGGCTCTCAGCTGGCCGTGCCTGTCACAGCTTCTCGTTACGATCCCCTTAACGATCCGCACCCCCCCCCCCACCCCATTAGGATCCCGCTCAAACATCCCCACAATAAACCACTCCCCGCACTCCCCCACTGCAGACCTCACGGACAAGGATCACGGCAGAGTCCGCATTCCAGTCCGCGGCTGCCCGTGCATTGGTAGTGACACATTAACCCAGATGGCGTGGACTTGGTAGTGGAGGTGTTTTAAAAGCTGTGCTGCGCTCAGGTGTAAAGTCTGCCTTGGAGAGAGGAGGCCCATTGGATGTGACTGACACATTGCAGGTAATAAGACATACCGCAGGTGGCAATAAAGATAGCGCGCCAAGGCGGGCCGTTAGGAGGCGACACGGAGCGCTGCACCGCCACCGTCGCCTCCAATACACAAGCAGCAGCAGTTTGCCAAGCGACGGTGGCCGCTTGGGCCAGGCTCGGTACTACCGACACCAGCGCAGCCAGGGCCGACAGCCCGCTTTAACCAAACCCGCAGAGCCCCACAACTCCCCTGCGTCAACCACACCTCTCCACCGATCACCCCCGCCGGCTCGCGCCAAACCCGCGTCGCCCCCACACCCCTTTTCTCCTCTCCCCTCCATCTCCCTCCATCACTCCCCCCCCCCCCACCCTCTCCCATTCCTTCCCAGGGCGAGGCCTTTACGCATCCACTGGCTTGCGCTTGTTGGGGGGCAGCAGGTGCTTGGGCAGCTCCTCGGGCAGCTCGTGTCCCTCCAGCTTCACCTTGATGAGGTGGTTGGCTAGGGCGAACTCCTCGTCGTCCAGCATGCCGTCCCTGTCCACGTCAGCCAGCTTCCAGATCTTGCCGAGCACAGTGTTGGGCAGCTTGGAGCGAACCATCTCCTTCTTGGCGCTGGCTCCCGATACCTGAATGCACGCACGCGGTGGGGGGGGGGGGTGAAACATTAGAAATTAAAAACTAAACAATTTTTATATTTTACTAGGTAAGGCCCACTGAGCTATACAGTTCTTTTTCAGAAGCTACCTGGCCACAAATGATAGCTCAACTGAGTTGAGTGGCTTATCACGTGGACATTTATAGCAGCCAAATACTCCAAAACGCATATTTCTAAATGTGGAGGAAAAATACGGAGGACCCGGAGAAAAATCCACATGGCCAAGGAGAGAACACGCAAACTCCAGGGTCGGGATGGAACCCATGACCACCTGTATACCAGGCGAGGTCATTAACATCTCGCCACTGCGGTGCCCTCGAGTTCCGTAGTCAATGAACCCCCCCCACCCCTGCGGACGCTACACGCACCTTGCCGTTGACGGGCGACAGCGTGTAGAAGATCTCGTCGTACTTGGGCTTGTCGCGCCCCACGACCCACTCGGCCTCGTCGACGCCCTCGCCGGCACCCTCGCCATAGCCCTGGTTGAACGGGCCATCGCGCGTGCCCTCGAAGGCGCCGCCGCGCACCATGGGCGTCGGAAGCTGCGCCTCCTCCTGCCGCGTGAGCGCCATGAGGCGCGCGATGTCGTTGGTCAGCATCTCGTCCACCTGCTCCAGCAGCTTCGGCTTCATGGGGTTGAACTTAGTGAAGTCCTGGTTCTGGAGCAGGTCCTGTTGGCGGTCACGCGGAGGAGGGGTGGACGGGACGACAGTCATTCTC